TCCCCACCTCGTATAACACCCAAAACACCTCGAATCATAATAAGCAACCTCCCCGCCCCTCGGCCTCACCACAATCTCCGTATCCGGATAAAGCGTACAACTTCCCTGCACCTCCGCCGAAGCCGGCTCCTCAAAGCTAATAAGCTCACAGTTAAAAAGATCAAACTCTTTACACTTCTGCGCGCAATCATCCAGGTACAGACTCTCAAAAACTTGGCTTTGTCCTTCTTTGGGATCGCCGCGGACGTTGCAGTTTATGTCGGAGGGTGGTTCTGATATGAGCGTGTAGGCGGGACATGATGATGTTGTTGTGGGAGCTGAGGTCGTTGTGGTGGTGGGGGTTGGTTTGCAGTTGGATGCGGTTACGCTTGCTGCGAGGGTTGCGACGACGGCGATGGACTTTGTTGAAGGCATTTTGATGGCCTAGAGAATAAAGAAGTGAGGACGAAGGAATAGTGAGGTCGAAGGAAAGAATCAGGGGATATTCAGATTTAAGAACATTGATGCCCTGAGCTAGAGTCAATAGTGTGAGACTAAGAAGACGCCACTGTCGATAGTTCCATGGCGGGTAATTAAACAGCTGCATGGATCTGCATCTGAGATCTACCGTGCTTTGGGGCCAAGAAAACTCCAGATATTCATCTAAATAAAATGGATCAAGTGTATCTATCCACACAGTTGGATATTTCCTATCTCTTTGCTATATCTTGGGCTAAGACCATCAGCGATATCCTAATACTGCAACCTCCTCAACCCTCAGCAACGATGCTATCCCTCATTCTCCTTAAGCACCCTCACATCCACCAAATCTCGACCCCATCATCATCTTCAATCCTCTCCACAGCCCTGCGTGTAGCAGAGAAGCAGTGAGAAAAAGTGTTGCCCAAAAAAACAACGAGTTTTTCAACAGCTATAAACCGAAGAAAGGACGTCGAATGCATTCCGCACTCTTTCAAAAAAAGCAAAATCTGCAAGTATCGTCAGCGTAGTGGTATCTCATGTCACTGCGTCAATGTTAGTAGATCAAGTCACTGCATAGGTTAGTAGATCAGGTTCGAGCCGTGGTGAATAAATTTCGTCGTCCAATTCTAGGCCACTAGGCCGGTGCGTGAGCGCCAATGTAATCTGCGCCAGTCCCTCAGAAACAACAAGTCCCCCCCTTTCATCACGGCGTTACTATACACAAATGCAAGTTTGAACAAAAAAGAAATGCGAAGATCATGACGTCTTCCAAGCCACCCCAACTAAATACCCATAACCGGCAAAAAAGACACAAAAAAACTCCAGCATCAGATAATATGCACAACACCGACTGGGGGGTATCAATATGGGCTTTTGATCAGAAAGGAGGATCACGAAGAACAAGGTCCGATGTGCTTCTCATGTACGTGGCGGAGGAAATCTCGCTGCATTCTGAAGGAGGAGTAGTCGCCTTTGAGAATCACTTCGAGAATGGTGCCCTGGTTGGGATCACGGGCAATCTCGTCCATTCTGTCACGTAGGGAGTTGAAGGCGCCTTTGAAGCGGTCGAGGATGGCTACGGTGTTGGATGAACCGCCGGAGATGTCGTTGCCCGAGTTGTTGGGGTCGATGATGGAGAGGCGGTCGTAGTTCTTGTACGTAAGGCTTCGGACCTCGGACTAGGAAAGTCAGTAAAGAAAAGAAGAGCGAAGGAGAGGGGTTAAGACATACCTTTCGGATGTACCCAATTGGTCTGGTCAGAGAGATGGCGTTGGTGTCGTGGCGGAACTCGCGCCCGTAAAGGTGGAAAAACTCGAGAAGCATCTCACCGAGATGATGCTCGGGGATGAGGTTTCGACTCTGTACCTGTGGCATAAGCTGCAACATGCTGACAACCAGACAAATCACGGTGAAACCGCCAATTCCTCCATTCACAGGTTCATTCAGACCACGCATGAGCAGGAAATGTTTGATCACAGTCACCAGGATAGGCATGGCAGGATATTGGGCCTTCCACTCAAGGAACGTGTCGACAGCATTCACACCACCCAAGTTCTCAAACGACACATCAACCTTGAGACCAGTCTGCTTGTCAACGTACTTGACTAACGGAACTCTAGCGTGGGCAATAACCTCGATGGAGTGTTGGTCGGCTACGTGTTGGCTGGTGAGGAACTTCTGGAACTTGTACAGCCAGCTCTTTGCTGACAGGTATGTGGGTGGACCGCCTCGCATGAAGCTTGCGGAGCAGACGACTAGATCCATGTCTGCGGTGGGGAGGTAGAGGCCTGACATGAAGGAACCGAAGGGGTGGACCGAGGCGCTCGCGAAGTTCCTTCCGTCGCGTCGCATGGCCTTTCGAAGGTTCTCGACGAGGTTGTCACGGATTCGCTGTTCGAAATCGCGGGGTCTGACGTATTCGTAGAAGTCGATGATCTCCTTGTGTAATCTGTATACGTTAGTCTGAGTACAAAGGAAAAGCTTGGCCGATAATGCGGATCTATGACTGAGAAGTGGTAGAAAGGGCGTTGCACTTACCGGAATGGCATGTTCATAGTAGCAGAGTGATCGACAGTATCCCAAGGACATGGGTCCTCCGTTGCCTTCGGTTGCCAACTGGGCAAAAGCGCACCCTTCGACGGCTTCGTCGTAGCCTTCTTCAATTGTCCATAATCAGGAGGCTTAATCTCATCGTCCGCAGTTCGCTTTCGAGATCCAAGCGGATCATTTCTTCGCGCCGTATCCAGAGTCCCATTAGCAGGCGCTCGTGGCTTCTCAGGCAAACGCGCAGTCTCAGCTCTCGGTCCAGAGGGCGCGTTCGGAGGCGGTGGCGGGGGTGGTTCGCGCGGGGGAGGCGGCGGTGCTTCCTCTTCTTCTTCACTGCTCTCTTCGTCTTCTGTCAGGTCAAAGGAGATAAAGTCTTCGGCTTCGGTTGAAGCAGCTAGTTTCTCCGACTGGTCTTCCACGCGTGCTTTGCGGATCAGCTTGACCATGTCACGTTTCTTGCGGGTGCTCTCGTCGGGGCATGGGAGGGCAGTGTAGGGATCGGGATTTGACCACTTAGGTGCAGCATCACCAGATCCGTCTTCCCCAGTTTTGGCACGTTTCTTGGAAGGTCCTTCTGTTTCGGAGGATGAAGAAATGTCCATTTCAAGCTCATCGTCGTCGGATAAGTCATCGACATCGCGGTATTTGGCAGCACCTTCTTCTCCAAGTCGTTCTTCAGGCATATTTGCAGTCGCTCCAGATACCAAAGCGCGTTCGGACGGATGAGGCGGAGGTTGCCATTTCCTTCCTCCTCGACCCCGACCTCGGCCACCACGACCACCATCGCGACGCGGCCCTCTCCTATCAGACGGCCCACGATAATCACTCGGAAAATCAGGCATACCCGCCGGTTTATCTACACGAAAGGTAAAGTCGCCCTGCGGCACGCGCGGGCGGTATGAATCGGAGTGGCCATAATTATCGCGGGGCGGCGGTCGAGGAGGTAAGTCGTACCTGTCGCCGGGTCGATAGCTGTCGGCTTCGGGACGCAGAGGACGGTCATTTCTTTGGCGCGAGTCGGGACGCGAGTTGCGCGGCCTGTTGTTGCGCGGCGGCATTTTGTGTGGTTGGGGATGCAGATGGGATTTGTGTGTTGGATGAAACGATGATGTCGCGAAGGAAAAAAAGATCCTTCTTGCGCGAATGGTTGGCCCGCACTAGACCTAAACGAGGCAGAGGCGATCTCGGAATCGTTAGTCAGCATACTGCGTCACTGATTTTTGTGCTACCCTAGAAAGACATGAACGAAGGTGATTATCGGAAAAGCGTGTGTTATCGGTGATCAGTGATTAATATAATTTGCCGGTCTGTTTTATTGATATTCTGCAACTTGGGACATTTGTTTTTTTTGTGTAGTCTACGTATCTGCGTGTGTGTTTGTCTGTTTTGGAAGCTCAAGCCTTGTTTGCACCATCCGGGTCATAAGCCGACACTTCAATCTCACAGTACATGGTCGGAACACCAAGCTGCCTCACTCCAATCTGCGTCCAAATGACCCTGTGATTAGGCATCCACTTCTTGTAATTCTCCGCCATTCTCTGTCCGACTTCAGGTGTGATTTCCGTGTGGTACGAGTTCACCCTGAAGACCTGTTCCCAGCCCTTTCCACCAGCAGCCTTCAGCGCCTTGTCCACATTCTCGAAAGCCAAGTCAATTTGCTCAAGTTGAGTCTCTGCGAAGACGAGGTCGCCGTCTTTAATAAAGCAGCCGCCTGGGATTGTATGTTAGTGTTGGGGTGAGAAATTGGAGGGCGTGGTGGTTCACCTTGACCACTGAGCTGCAGTTGGTCGCCGACACGGACAGCTTGAGCGTAATTGAGGAAGTTTGTGAGAAACTCGCCGACGCCTTCGTATGTGTAATTCTTGAGTTGAGACATGTTTATGGATTGCTCTGAGTACTAGTCAACTGTTTAATGTTTGTCCTATGCCGGAATTGGTGGGTTGAGATGCTCAATTGATCGTGGCTGACTCTGCCATTTATATTCACGCTTTAACCTCAGTCGCATCATGCAGAGTAAGGCGTGCAGGATAATCTACATCCATCGAATCGAGCATAACGTTGTCATAACGTTGATATAACGTTGGCATAACGTTTTCTGGCTCCATATCTGAGTAAGATGCGCTCAGAGTCGGTCCAACAAGGATGGTGATCTTCGGCCTCCAACCTACAGCTGGTCTATTGGAATATCCACAGCTACTCGCCAAGACGGTGTAACAAAGAGGTGGGCATGACAAATGCAGTTGAAACGGAACCATTCAGCGCCCGACTCGGATAATAACCAATGCCAACGGACACTGAGTGATCTCCATGATTATTATGCTTAAATTATCTCGTCAGATCTTAGCCTCTTGGCTTCCGCTCCACCATTCATCAAGCTTCTACTCAACTCCATCCATCTACTGAGTCTATCTACTGAGTCTATCTACTGAGTCTTCTTATTCTTATTCCTCGCCTTTGCAGCCTCCAACTCAGCATTAACCTTCTCAATCGCCTCCCTCGCCCCATCCCACTTCTCCCTCTTCCCCTCCCCGTCAAACACCCTCCAAACAAACGGCGTAAAAACCCCATCCATTAACATCCTATACAGCGCGCGATCATTCCACCACAACTTCCATCCTTTCGATCCCAACCCGAGATGTTCATATACTTGTGACCCAGCTGCCCTATCAGCCCACGCAAGCCAGTCAGCCTGTCGCAGCCAACCAGGCACCACGCTGCCTCTGTTGGCAAGCTTACATATTGCCTCGTGGTGCTCATCTGTGGCGCGGTTCATCTCGTCAATTGATGGGAGGGCAGAGTTTCCTTTCCAGATTTGAGTGATGGCCATGGTGCAGAGATCGCTGATGGGGAATGCGCTTGTTGCGACGAGAACATTGCCCAGGAAGGCTAGTGAGTCCGGGTGATCGAGCGAAAACACGTTCTGGTATAATCGCGGGAGAGGTTTACCGCGAGATCCGATTGCTTCTGCCCATTTTGGCGTTGTGTTGCGCGTGGGATCGACGCTGGCGTCTAGGAGGCTGAAATCTGCCTTGTATCCGGTGCACCAGATGATCGCGTCAACATCCAGACGCGTTCCGTCGGTGAGCTCAATCTCTTTGGGTCCTGTAACGCGCTTTATCTTTGGGATGGAGGTGATGTCGCCTGATTCGAGCAGGGGAATGAGATTATCTGACACGACGGGCAGAGCGTGCAGTACGGAAGCTGCAGGAGAAAGACCCCATTCGGGCCTCATCTTGAACGCGTTGTCCTGCATTTTCTTGCAGATTGCATTGAAGATGATTTCGTATAGAAGAGGGAATCTACTCTCGAACATTGCCATAAAGGCCATTGTGCGCGCAGTGAGGGTGTGATCGAAAGGGATGCCATCGCGCTTTCGTGGGATCTGGGACAATAAGCATCGCGACTTATGTAATTGATCATGGGCGACTTACCACTATGACACCATGGCTGCGAGATAGCCATACTTTTTCGGCATGTCCACAAAGAGCTGCTGCAGTGTCTGCGCCCGTGTTCGAGACGCCGACAACAACCACGCGTTTGCCCTCGAAGAGTTCTGGTCTATCACCATCGTTAGTCAACCTACGAGCCAACAGAGATCATGATGGCACACCGTTTGAAAGCGCGCGAATGTAGAACCTCGCCTTCAAATTGCTCCACGCCCTCGACCTTTGGAATGTGAGGACGATTGTTTCCGCCTGTTGCCATAATGACCTTGTCGAAATATTCAGGCCCAGAGCCCTGGATGTCTACCACCCAGCGATTTCGCTCGACATCGCGTCGTACTTTCTCTACCGATACACCCAAGCGAAGCTTATCGCGAAAGTTGAAGTGGTCTACGTAGGACTCGACATACTCTTCCACTTTGGCGGACGGGCAATGGCTGGGCGTGGAATCTGGGTATGGGAAGTCTGTGAAGGCGGCCTGCAATAGTAAGTATCTCTGTGAAGACATACAGCAAATGAGATGGAGTAAGTACCCTTTGTTTGGAGATGTTGATGACGGTACCTCGGGCTTGTCAGCGACGCATCCTGTACGGCTTTGGGTTGTGTGCTTACTCGGTAAGACTGATGTCTTGTCTTGCTCGGTGTAATGCCAAAGACCTCCGACATACTCACTACGCTCAAACCCAGTGACGTCGAAACCGGCTTCGAGCAAATTTTTGACAGCGACAAGGCCGGCGATGCCTGGGTTGTGTCAGTGTCGTCCTTAATTGAGAAACCTGGAATACCCACCGAGGCCGATGACAGCCACCTTCTGAGGCTGCTTATCCATGTTTAGTTGGACTCCAGCACAACATTCTGGACGTAGATTGACAGCAGCGCCTCAGCTTATTATAAATATTCACTGTCATGGAACGCCCGGCATCATCTCAGCTGACAGGCAGTGACAGCACAGACCCATCAGGGTCGGCAGTCAGCAAGACGGAGCATTCCGGCCTAGCCTGGTAAACGTTGTACCTTGTCACAATTAACCTTAACAGCCGAACATCCGTTGGTGTTTTTGCGACAAGCGCCCGCTATGAACAAGGATGTCTGTGAGTTAATTCAAGTATCATCCCGATTTCCCAGAAGTAGATACGGATATCTCGTCTTGATTAAATGAAAGTGTAGTGAGGCAGTTTGAGCTTGTAAGGCGGAATTTATACCGCAAACACGCCACCAAGAGCTTGATGGCTTAGGATCTAATGCGCGATGCTGGAGAGAGATCAGATCGATTAGATAACATGTAATGTTCTTACTGGTCCAGAGCCGAGCTGAACGGTGAACTGTGCGCCATGAACCACGAGCCGGCCTGAAGTCGATCCGACGACCGACTTCGGATCATCAAGAGGGTCAGAGGTCTACATTGCATCAAGGTGTCAAGGAATGTTTCTTTACGCATTTCTGTTATAAGTATTATTCAATGGCAACTGCTTTACAATCTCTGATATAAAAAAGAAGATCTGTTTGGTGAAAATAAGCTCTCAACCACAAATCTCAACTGCCAAAAACACCTCTAACTAGTAACCAATCGCCCCATACACAAATGCTTTTCCCTTGATCCCGTCCATTTCATTTTGTCCGCAGTATAAAAACATGAGTCTAGAACAGACTTCCCTCTAGATTCTTTCCCTCAATTTGGTGAAACTTCCAATGACAAGTCCACGAGCCACCGTAATCGAAAATAGTGCAGCAATGACAATGCCGAGATAGAGGTACACGAGAGGCTTTGCGCCCGCTTTATCCAACATGACGCTGCTCAAGGGATTAGCGATGAGCAGCGCTAATCCTACAAGGATGTTGCTCGAGCCATAATATCTCGCATAATCCTTTGGATCGCATGTCTTGCCGACGCAGATTGGAGCCACAGTGTAGAAAGATCCCGAGAGGAGGCCCCAGAATGCTGCGAATGCGTAGAGAAGGGGGCGGCCATATGTGGTGAAAGGGATGAAAATGGCGGACTTGAGAAGAGCCATGAGGACCATTGTGCAGACCATTGTGTTCATGCCTCCGAGGCGGTCGCTTGAAAAGCCAATAATCAAGCGGCTGATGCATGAGGTGCCGCCTATGACCGAAAGAAGGATGAATCCGTCCGTGGCAGTGAAACCGACGGTGGCTGATATAGCTGGGAGCAGACCGGCTACACCACAGTTGACAAACTCCATCAAGAAGAGACTGAGGGACACAAAAATGAAGCTCTTGCTCTTCCATGCCGAGAGATTGAATACCGAGCCTGACACAAAGGGGTCAAAGCTATCGGTTCCCAGGACAAGGTTTTCGAAAGGCAGAAAACAGAGGAACCCTATACTTGTGCAGGAGGCAATGATTATCGCCACGATCCTCATGGACCAGACCCAACCAAAATGCTCAAATGTTGAGTGAAGAACAAGTGGAAAGACAAGTATCCCAAGAGAAGCTCCTGTGACAGCAAAACCCATAGCCAAACCTCGTCGGCGAACGAACAACTTCCCCACTACGCCAACAGCAACAGTGCAATTGATACCAGTGCCGATACTGCCAAAGACACCAAAGGCGAACATGAACTGCCAGTATGTCTTGCACTGCCCCATTATGAGAAAAGTGGAGGTTGAGAGAATACCGCCGACTGCACTTAGGAGTCGAGGGCCGTAGCGGTCGAGAAGCGAGCCGTAGAGGAAACTGGGGATGCAGGCGAGGAAGAGGTATACACCGAGGATCCAGCCGATTTGACTGTTGGTGTTGTTTTTGAGCTGGTTATCACTAAAGTACGACTGGAGTGTGCCGATGGAACCGCTGAAACCTGGGTTTTGTTAGTCAAATCTGCTAGGGAGAGAGAATGATTTGGGGATTTGTGAGACGTACCAGAGGAGCAAACTAGGAAGAGGAATGAGCCAGAGACACAGAGCCATACACGCCACTCTGACTCATGGTCAAAGACGAATGGTTCCGATCGGTGAGATAAAGGGCGAGTGGGTGAGGCCCCATTACGTGCGGGTTCATTGGTGTCCCGAACCTCGTGTGAAATATCAACATATGGGAAAGCGGTCTCAAAGTGGACTGAGGGGGGCTTTTCCAGATCAAACGAATCGGCGTTGTGTTGGCGGACCATTTTTGCGAATAATGTGTCGTGACAAGAATAAAATGGGTTGCATGTTTAAGTCCAAAAACTGGTCTCGCAGCTGGTATATATACATGTTTCCGTTCATCTTGAGTTTGGGAAGTGGAAGCTTGATAAATTCATCTTGAAGGCTTAAAGCTTATGAGCGAAAAAAATGGAAGTTTATACATTTTCTCTTCGTCCTGAGTGGGAGCCTGTGATATTGACTTTTAAATATCAAAACTGATCAGAATTTGCAGCGAGTAAAGTCTGAGATAAACGCATTTTTGAGTTAGAATTTTGCGCCCATTTCGTCTGATCTGGGAACCATCTCTTAATAATTACTCTAATCTTAGTCTTGATTAGTTGAATTCAGTAGAATATCATCATAAGGCGCATCTTTTGCCATTATTCTTGCCGTAATGGCTGTGAGGTCGACGCACTTTATTATGCGGGTCTGAGCTTGATTCCGTTGACTCATTGCGGCTTCTCACTCGAGATTCACGGTTGCTATCATAGGCACCCGTGGAAAGTTGTAGAGTAAGAAATGCACTCAGAGATGATGCTGGAAGTAACATACAAAATCATCTACAGATAATCAAGGCTATTGCAAGAGTAATAAAGCTTTTGCTCGTTTGGTGGAAGAAAACGCTCGTCGTATCAGACTGAGTTATTCGGCGATTAAGAAATGAGCTAGAAAGTTATTTTCTCTTCAATAATATCGTTTTTCTCAGTCATGTTAGAAGACAAAGTCCACTAAAAGAGGAAAGAAAACTCGGGACCTTGATACAAGGGTGACAAAAAGACTTAGGTAACTTGGTATAAGTTTAGGATGAGTCAAGTATAGACTTAGGATACCTTTTACTGAATCTTAGGATACCTTTTGCTGAGTTTATTTAATATCTTACACTAAGGTCTGGTGTTTTCTTGCTCCCTGAGGGTCGCAGGGTTGGTCCTAAACGCGAGTGAGTGGATGTCAAAGTTAAAACGAATCTGACGTTTTCAGAACTAACCAACCACCTGAATCTCACCATCCAACCAATCACATGACCCATCAAACCACTCAGCCCGGAAACTACGGCATCATGATTTTATTCGTCATCAACACCAAAACACCAACAAACATCATGACAAGCCCATAGTCACCGCCTCACGACATGCCACCTCTAAGCGAGACCATCCGAAATGGCATCTCCGACTCTTTGGCGCGCACCCAACTCTGGCTCAACACGCCCAACGGCCGTGGCGTTCTAAAATGCACTGTTGCCTACACCATCGCTAGCCTTGCCACCTTTGTACCATTTTTGGCGAATTTTCTGGGGAAGCCGGAGGGTAAGCATGTTGTTGCTACTATTACGGTTTATTTTCACCCTGCGAGGTCGGTGGGGTCGATGATTGAGGCTATTCTTATTGCTGTTGTTGCGGTTGCTTACGCGGAGACGGTTTCGCTGCTTTCTATGGTTACCTCTGTTTTCTTTGGGTCGACGATGCATTTGGTAACTCTATCGCACGTGTTGGTAGTCGTGGTTTTTATCGGCGGTGGCTTTGGGTTCATGGGCTGGGTGAAGCAGAGAATGTTGAACCCGCTCGTCAACGTCGGCAGCACCCTCGCGGCGCTTGCGATAATTGGCGTTGTGACCAAAGAAAGTCACGTAATGTCGAACGTTTTCTCCAATGAGAAGGTTCTGCAGGTCTTCAAAATGCTTGTTATGGGCATCACGACTACTACGGCGGTCAATCTGCTGCTCTGGCGAACGAGCGCCCGCACGTCACTGCGAGAAACGATGAATCGAGTTTCGATACCGTTGGGAGATATGTTATACATGATAACGAACAGTTTTCTCAGCGGATCTGAAGAAGGACTTGTGTCCGATGGATTTACGGCGGCATCAACACACTATGCGAAGTCCTATGCTCAGATGATGAAGGACATGAGAGAAGCCAAGTTCGAGCATTATTTTCTTGGGCATGAGGAGATTTACGAGCATGAAAGGACTGTTGCGAGGTCCATGGAGACCTTGGCGCAGGCTTTAGGTGGTTTGAGAAACGCGACAAACACTCAGCTTGAACAGCTCAAGCACCCAAAGCCGCTCAGCCCGAAGACATCGGGAACGGCTTCTCCGAATACGGCGCGGCAGCTGTTTGAGCAGTTCAACGAGTCGATCACGATGTCTATGACAGGGGTACGCCAGAATCTCTGCAGGATTCTTCATGAGCCTCAGTTTGGACAGCCTCCCAGCTACGAGATCAACGTAGATGAAGATCTGAGGCGCAACTTGATGGATTCGTTGAGCACTTTTGACACAGCCAGATCAGATGCTTTACAAGGACTCTACGATAGAATCGAACAAATGGCCTCATCCCATGAATCAACACGCGCAAATCTCGAAGAAGTCGCCGCCGCATGCGGTCACTTCACCTTCAGTCTTCAATCTTTCGGCGAAGATGTTCTTCAGTACCTAGATGTTCTAGACGATCTCGAGTATGTGATTATACGTAAGAGCCGAAGTTGGAGATGGCTGCTCTGGTGGAAGAGTAGCTCAGAGGAAGACCGGAATAAAGCGATCAGGCTGTTCGAGTCTGCGGAGGCTGATACGTTGATGCGGACGAGGCAGAGGTCTGTTAGTGTACCTGATGGTCCAGCTGCCGTTCCTGCCCCGGTAGACTTGAGGACATGGTATAATGCACCTGATCTGAACAAGATACTGGCTTGGTTCTGGAGAAACATCTCTGCGCTTTTTAAGAAAATGGCGCGGGACGATAGTGAGTTCCCCTTCTTTAGGGAATAAGAAATCATCAGACCTTGATATCAAAATGGACTCAGCAAAAGGTATCCTAAGCTTAGGATAAGATTATCCTAAACTTATCCTGAACTTATACTAAGTTACCTAAGTCTTTAGGATCAAGGTCTCGAGCTTTCTTCTCTCCCCTAGCCCTTATTCTCAACCCCCCGCTTGCTAACTTCAAGCAGTTCAGTTCGGCCTCAAAGTCGGTATCGGCGCCGCTCTGTGGGCAATGCTCGCGTTTCTCGAAGAAACAAGAGAGCTATACACCGAATGGCGTGGCGAGTGGGGTCTTCTGTCCTTCATAATCGTGTGCAGTTTCACAATGGGAGCTGCAAACACTGTCAGCCTTGCTCGTTTCATCGGCACACTATTTGGTGCTTTGTTCTCTGTGATCAACTGGAAGATAAGCCATGGTTACGCCTTGGCATTGATTCCTCTTGGCTGGTTGACGAGTTTCATCAACTTTTATCTTGTCATTCAGCATGGCAAGGCTTCTTTGGGGAGGATTAGTCTTCTAGCGTACAATGTTTCTACACTATACGCTTACAGGGTCAAGAGGAAAGCAGATGGGAATGATACGACTGAAGATGGGCAGTTTAGTCAACCTGATATTATGGAGATTGCCAAACGCCGAGCCATCGCTGTTACAGCAGGTATCATTTGGGGTCTGGTCGTTTGCCGAGTTATATGGCCCATCTCCGCCCGCCGGAAGTTCAAAGAGAGCTTGTCTGTTCTTCATCTACAGATGGGTCTTATCTGGAAGCGAGGGCCTCTCACTGTTCTGTTTCGCAGCGAGGGTTCTCAAAGTTATCTCAAGTCAGGGGAACAAGCTGCCTTGCAAAGGTATGCTGCAAACCTGGATAGCTTGAGACTAGCCGCCGCTTCAGAGTTCGAGTTACGAGGCCCATTTCCTATGGAAGTCTACGGCCGCGTCCTGAAAAGCACTATGCGTATCCTCGACGGCTTCTACAACATGAGCCTCGTTGCTTGTCGAAAAGGTCATCTCACAGAAGGTGAGAGGGCATTGCTTGAGTATACAGCTCGCGAGCGCGCTATTCTGTGCGATCACATCTGTCAAGCTTTTCAGGTGGTTGCCAGTTCAACGATGCTGGAATATCCTTTCGCCGATGCTACACCGAGCATTGTATCGGCACGTGAGAACTTGTTGAGCAAGATCTTTGAGTTCAGAAAGGAACATCCTCGAAGATTGATCAACGAGGGTGGTGAGAGCAGTGAATCAAGTCAGCTACTTGTTGAGGAGAAAGACTATGCACTGCTTTATGCGTATGCTCTTGTCACTGGACAGGTTGTAGGTGAACTACGGTTGATTGGAAAGGAGATAGGGAGTCTTTTCGGTGTTTTGGATGAGGATACCCGGCTGTTGCAATAACAGAGACAGAACTTCATATTAGTATCCATTCAATGATGCTAGCATTTTATTTGCATATCTTTCCAAATTTCACAAATACTTCATATCGCAAAGACGATCTATTCCCATACAGACACTCCCATTCTGCTGTATATCTGTCAAAACCCTAACATGAACATCTAAGCAAATCTAAACCCAAAACACAAACATAGACCCGAGAGCAAATCTAACACATCAGGGGACCTTTACATGTACCTCCACACCGAAGTCAAGCCACAAGTACACAGCAACGTCCAAACCTCAACGCTTCAAGGGAGCCACTCACAGAAGAGCTCGGGAAAATGGAAGGTTAACCAAATACCCAATCTGCCACAAAGTTCGAACTGGTCTGAGGAATGAAAATACTCAGCGAAGCTCATGACATGTAGCTCTCTATGTTGGAGGTTTTTCAGCATACAGCGAAAGAATGCATCTTCAATTGGAAGTCCACTGCGAGGCAAAATAGCAATATCAGTGCAGTAGTCTTCCACATCATTTGATCTCTTGATCAGAGTGAGGCTACCGTCAGGTAGCTCCTTTTTGATTCGCTCAAGGACCTCGTGAGATCTCTCCCATGGATTGGGAAACACGAGACTATTAGGGGGAATCAAGATATCCCTAACAAGAATGCTGGATGAACTCATAGTAAGAACGTCAAGGAATCCGTCAAGAAGGGTGAGGTCGATAAGGCCTTCCTGCTCAAGTTGCCGGTATTCGTCAGACAATGATTCTTCCCAAGACCAAATGTGCACAGTATGTCCGTATCGAGTAGCGCATTCTACTGCAGGTCTCATGTCGCTGTCACCAGAAACAACAGCGAAAATAGCAGGATTTCCCGCGGCATTGGATTCGAGAGCCTGCACTGACATGTCGCTGACAAGAGAAGTATCAACCTTTTTCTCTTTTCGATTGACCAGCCGAGAAAAAGTCGTGACATTCCAAGTGTGAAGCTGCAGATCTTGATATACAAGGCTATGCTCAATGTTAGATCCATAAACCATGAAGTTTACCTTTTCGTCCACGCTCATCCCAGAGTGTTTGCGGATGATGCCCTTGAGCACGCGGACATCGTAATGCCAGTTGAGATTAGGTTGAGGAAGAGAAAAACGACGCTTGCTGGCATTATCACCATTGATACGGAAGTTGGACTCGTCGAGGTAGATAAAAAACCGGGCATTTGGGTCAGGTGGGGTGCCAGAATGGCAAGCAATCTGAGATTCTGCCATGCTTCTCAAACTGAGAGAAACACAAGATTGCTGTGAAAGGAATAAAGATGAATTGGTATCACAGAATAGAGTACGAAAACATATGATAGAACCACAGTGATGAGTGAGAAAAGTTCAAGATGAATCGCATGGAAGAGGTTGTCATGAGAGCGCATTTATAGTTATCTCAAGAAATGGTGAATGACCATTATGAACTTGGTTCATGGTCTCGACGTGAATCTTTTAGTTCTTGGCGAAACGAGTGACTGCTCATTTCTCATAAGTTCGCGTAAGGCTCTTTGTTATAAGTTGTGGCAGAGCCTGCATGATATGTGACTGCGACAAAGAATATTGGACTTTAACAAGAACTGCATATTAGACATGCTTCCTAATTCTCTCCATTCAATTCGCCAGTACTAAGCACCTTGTCACTTCACCGACTTCTGATAGTGAAGGAATCTGCTGGTTCTTTGTCAAAAAGACCACTAAGAAACTGATGAGCAGCAGAGCGATCATTCTTGAGTCGTGAATGCGGTATTCTGAAACGATTCTTGTTGTTTTAGGCCATTTTCTTTGTTCATATACTGCATTCATGAGATGAGGCACATATGCTCCTCCGCAAGAGCACTAAAGTTGACGGGTACCCAGATTGTTACCGAGAACTGAATTATCATCCAGCATGAACAACGTAACTAAGTATAGTAGTCGTCATTCCATGCAGTTACTCAGTCTCAGTCCCCGCGGCATATACGTTAATTACGATCTTTATCTTCTGGTGAGAGTGCCAAAGTAAATATTGGCTTGAACACTTCCGGCTTCTGCACCAGCCCAAGATTATAGCTATTGGAACTATGCAGCTGATTGCTGGACGTGAGATTAAACTCAGCGTTGTTATTACGCGCTATAAGGATATCGCGTTTACTAATTTTGACTTACCAGAATCAAAAGAAATTTAAATAACTTAATATAAACTCTAAGTTCTGTTCGCTGATTTAAGTTCTCAGCCACAAGTCTCAACCACAAATAACACAAACAGGAGTCGGCCACGTTATGTAATAACCCCTCGGTATATATAAGCCCTTTCTTTGTCCGTTTATTATTTTGACTCTTACACCACCACTTTCACAAAAGATGACGGACTGGATACCTCCACTTTTGCGTCGCCGCACCCCATGGTTCCGTCGTTACAACGCGAACGTCCCCGACCTACAAGAGGATCAAGAGTTTCTTCTCGCTAGATCCGAATCAAATCATTCCCAGGATGCGACAAGCAGCACAGGCGGGCTCCATTCTCGAAAGACATCACTCCCGGGTCAGACACTAGATTCACAAGACGATGCCGCTACTCATGGCGTTACGCAGCCATGTGGCGATGGTCCTACTTCTCTTCAGTATTGTAGACCCTGCAAAATAGCTAGAGCTGCTCCTGGATATGCTGAGCGCGTTGCTAGGCTGATGGATCACTTGTATTGTGCGGCATGCAAATGCGAACACCCCGCAATCCTTTTTTCTCTGTCCTCTCGCCAGAAGCTATTACCGTCCAGAACCTGTATTGCGCATGAAGGATATTTGCGTATTTGTTCTCATTTGAAACTCTCATTGGAAGATATTGGTTCTTTGCGCACTGGAGGAGAATCAGTAGATCTCGAATGCAAAGAAGAGTCATGCCCATGCCCCGGCGCCAAGATCCAGTATGTCCTTCTCAACGACTCGCCTATATATGACTTTGTTGTGGTTAGGTGGACCGCAGCACTAGACTGTCCGACCTCGAGCAGCTCCTTCATGCAACAATGCATAGCCAAAACAAGACAACGACATGCACTATATTCGTCAGCATTTTGTCCAGCATTTCAGACCACTCCTGATCGCCTATTTCAACCAGATCAATTCAAAGACTTTGCATGGCCCGCAGAGCCACCACGGCTCAAGTGTATCTGCGATTGTGGATTTAATGTTCACTACGATCAAGAAAGAAACATGGTCGACGCCAGTTGCCTCTTTGAGTTGCCGGTCAGTCGAGAGAATCCCAGGCCATCACGCTGGATTGAGAAGTTAGACCCAAGCAGTTACGGCCACTTCGAGGACCCTGAGACTCAGAATATTACCTGGTGTAACGATCGCTATTGTATGACGACACGCGAATTAGTGAGGTACTATACTATTAGTACATACCCTGAAGGGGACTTCTCCCCCGAAAAGTTAGGAGAAACACTGGGATATTTGGACAAGGAAGTGAAAGAAAAGATCGAAAGGGAGGCAAGAGTTTAAGACTACCTGCCAGCTCGACATCTGGATACGATTCTACAAGATAAATATATGCTTAGTATCATGTTTGCACGAGTGAATATCAATCTAGAGAATGTTGATGGCCCTGTCAGCGAAGATGCCAAAGCAAAGATCGCCATGGGCTAAGGTTGGCCGACTGTGGAGAAATACCCCAGATTTCCCACGTTCTATCGGGCCGTTTTCCTGATGACCAGTAACACCGGGATATGTCCTGTAAAGAAAAGGTCTCGGCTTGGCGACCAGTTCGACAAAGAATGTTAAGAACCCTGCCTCGATTCAGCCAACGTTGGGCGTCAGCACCGATAAATTGATGTATTTCAAGATATGATCGGTCAAGAATGACCAGAATAGGCAGTTTTGAACACCTCCAGGTCCTCATCTACCGGTCGACTGTTCTCTCCCCCGCAATTTCTCAAATAATTCCCTCGACGTTCCAAATCAGCGGTTCTTTAAGCACTCCATCGAATGTGGGGTCAAACCCTGTTCATGACGTCTAGTCCGGGGATAGTGCTTAAACTTGAAGAATCAAGCAAGTCCCTAGCATCTAATCTTAACGAAGTTACCCCATCCAGCAACTCTAACCACTCAAGGTCCAAATGCCATGATTTATCACCAGTTCCTGATCGGCAGTCTATAAAGACAACAACCTCCTCACAATGGACTTGACCGCTTCAGCAGCGCTGAATTACACCATGCCCAACATGTTTTCCCAACTCGTCGGCGCTTTCGCCCTCTTCACTGCACTCCCCTTTGCACAGACTGCACCAAGTCATGACAAGCAATGCTCGACTGCGCGCACGGAGCACAAGCGCAGATTGTTTGTGCTCACGGATATAAGCAATGAGCCTGATGATCAAATGAGTCTTGTTCGGCTGCTGACGTACGCCAATGAGATTGATATCCAGGGCATTTCTGTGACGACTTCGACGTGGATGCCTGATAAGATCGACTATGAGTCTGTAGTGGGTGTTTTGGATGGTTATAAGAAGGTTGTGAATAACCTCAATGCCAATGTTCCATCTTACGCGCCTTATCCCTCGTACAAGTATCTTCTTGACAGAGTTCACAAGGGTCATCCTGTTTATGGACGAAAATCACTCAATATGAGTTTGAGTGACGGTGCGAAAGCGCTTGTTAAAGTTGCTGACAAGGCGAGCGTCGGCGATCCTCTGACTGTTTCTGTTTGGGGTGGATCTGCGATTTTGGCTGAAGCTCTTCAGCATGTTTCTCGCACTCGAAGTGAAGACGCTGTTGACGCTTTCGTCGAGAAGCTTCGCGTTTACGCTATCTCTGATCAAGACGATACCGGTATCTGGATCCGTCTTCGCTACCCTCAACTCTTCTACGTGGTATCTCTGCACGGCTTCAGCGAGTATACCGTTGCAGCATGGAACGGTATCTCAGGCGAAGAATACCGAAACTTTGATCATGGCGGCCCAGATTCCAGCATTGTCTCTAATGACTGGCTCGAGAAGAACATTCGACTTGGTCCTCTGGGATCCCATTACCTGAACTGGTCTTTCATCATGGAAGGCGACACACCCGCTTTTCTACCTCTCGTCCAGAACGGTCTTGGTGATGTTAACCACCCGGAGTGGGGCAGCTGGGGCGGTCGCTATACCCTCCTGGACCATACAAACCAGTCGCGAGTCTACGCTGATACGAGTGACTACGTCGTCGGTGCCAACGGAAAGGCATTCACCAGCAAGTTCGCAACTATCTGGCGATGGCGTAAGGATTATCAGTTCGACTTTGCTGCTCGTATGAAGTGGACTGTCAACTCCAAGTACTCCGAGAACAACCATCAACCCGTTGCCATCGTCAATGGCTCTTGTGGTACTGCCCCGTTGAAACTCAAGTATAAACCTGGCAGCAGTATTGTTCTTGATGCATCAAACAGTTGGGATCCCGATGGTGATGACCTGACGTACGATTGGTTCCACTACCGCGAGCCTGGTGGCGCTTACGGACGAGGCTTGGAAGGCTTTGACCCTTCGCTGAAGATGAAGCCAGTCTTGACACCCAAGAGCCCGAATGTCAATATCACAAGCATCAAGGATAATAGAAGTATCGTCAAGCTAGAGACAGCCAAAAGCCTGAACGATGTGAGTCATCTCTATAAGACGAAGTGAACATATGCTGATTTTGTTTTAGACAATGCATATTATTCTTGCTCTCCGGGATACGACAGAGAAGCCACTGGCTACCTACAGGCGCATCATTCTCGAGACTAAATAGTCTATACGAATGACGAGTATCATATAGTAATACATAAAAGCATTCCATTCTGCCTTATATTCTATAGTGAACGAGATTCCGTCAGCTCTCTTATGACCGTTGTCAAAATCAGTTGGCATTTTCTTGGAAGCAAACTCCTTCCAAACATACCCCAATCAATAGAGCCTGGGAAGTATGGTCATCAAGACAGCTATTTTGACAATGCCCCTTGTATCTGAGTAGCCCCGGAGATCCCACCGGGCAGCCCACCGTCATAGAAACATCAAATACCGCACCCATGTCGACACCTGCACCACAATCCAGTGAAGAAAAGGCATACGGGTAATGAAATTCCGGTAAGGTAACATCTCGTCCATCCTGGATCATGGTCATTCAGAAGTGAGGCCTTTGTGCACCATAGTCAATGTCACGATACTCTCCTACTTATCTAGGATATAATCATAGCCGTTTAGCCTTTATAATTCTTATAACCAGACTCTTAGGTATTCGTGCGCTTGAGTTTATGAATAACCTTATTTACTATATGAATAGAATATTCGCGCGCTTCGTGGCTATCAACTCCACTTCCATCCTTTTATCCAGACGATGATGCATGCTGAGATGATGCATATATCCGTCGTAGGGCGGCTGTCAACGAGGTAGACAAACATTAGCTCGGGCAGTGAAGATCATCAAACACTCTAAGACTGTTCATTGATGCGCTTCGCTTTACCCCACCAACCTTAACCCCAGGTTCAGCATGCCGACCCTGGTTACCAGCTAATATAAATATCAGACCATAGTTAATGGAGTACTAAGAGTTCAAGTATAAGCAAATACTTTCCTGCAATTCGTGGTTTTATAAATATGGGCTTCTGTTCTTGTTTATGGAGTCTGCATCTTCATCAACACCAATTCTTCGCCTGCTTAACTCTTCAAGATAATAATCTTTTCCCTATTCTTGGCCGCAGCTGCGGTCTTTCAGCTGCCAGTCGCTGCTAAGACTTTCAATCAGCCTCCTATCTTCCAAGACTTGCCAGACATCAACTTAATCCGTATTAACAATATATACTACTACTCCGCCTCAACCTTCCACTACTCCCCCGGCGCCCCTATCCTACGCTCCTATAACCTAGTCAACTAGGAATATCTCTCTCATTCCCTCCCATCTTTTGACTTCAACGATCCTAAGTTCAACTTGACAAAAGGAAAGGCATAAAACGGCGGAGTGTACGCTTCTTCTCTTCAGTATCACAAGACGCAGAAGAAGTTCTACTGGCTCAGCTGCATCCAGAAGAATGGAAAGACCTACGTTTATACAGCGCCGAAGATTGAAGGGACGTGGACGAAGGCTTCGACTATCTCGAATTATTGCTTGTACGATGCTGGCCTTCTCATCGATGATGATGACAGTATCTACGTCTCCTCTGGGCAATGGACACCCAATGGTGCTAAGTCTCAGACATGGATCTCTAAACTCGACAAAAACTTACAAGTTGAAAAACAAGAGACTGTCTTCAAGTCCAACCAAGAGCTCGGCTACATCGAAGGTTCTCGGTTCTACAAGATCAACGGCACCTACTTCCTTTGGCTGACGAACCCTGGCGTTAGTAGAGGCCAAATCATTGTCAAATCCAGCGGTGATGTTTAGGGCCCTTATGATTCATGGCATCGTGTTCTCAAAAATAACGGAAAACCTATCAAAGGCAGTGGGTCGCCTCATCAAGGTGCCTTCGTCGAGACACCAGAAGGGGATTATTAGTACATGGCTTTCGTAGAGCTCGGAACAAGCGGAAGGTTTCCTGTTCTTGCACCATTGAAATAGGATAAGAATAGCTGGCCTAACGTTGAGCTAGACGGCAACGGTAATTGGAAGAGTTCTTACGATTATCCACTACCAAGGCGTAATGTTGAACCTGTTGAAGGGACATTTGAGTTCAAGGACTCCAAGCTCCCGCCTCGTTTTGAGTGGAACCATGACCCAAACAATGCCAAATGGACCACTTGAGCTGATGGTCTGGTGTTACATACAGCTACTATCACCGACGACTTCTTTTCCGCTCAGAATACACTGACACACCGTATTCTTAGCCCGCAGTCTAACGTCACCATTGAGCTTAACTACTCCTCCATGGTAGATGGAGACCGCGCGGGATTGGTTTCGCTGCGATATGATGCTGGCTGGATCGGTATCGCCAAAGACGGTAGTTCAATAACACTGCAGATAGTTGACAATGCTGCAATAGACCCTGACAACAGCTTCGTTACTACCTCCAAAGGAAACCTCATCGCAAGCAAGTCTATCTCTGGTAGCAAGATCTGGCTGCGCTACCAAATCTCTACAGTTTCTCCGAATCGTTCAACTTTCTTGTATAGTACAGATCGCAAGACCTTTGTGAAGTTTGGACAGGACCATATTACCAAGCAGGGAGGGGTTTAGTTCACTGGTACTCGACATAGTATCTTTAACTTTGCGACCAAGAAGAGTGGAGGACATGTTATTGTCAAGAAATTTGACATTCGTCTTAGCTAGATACTGGAAACCGATTAGTGATTCCTGTCTTTATTGCTTTTAGACGGTATCGGGCAGATGCAGGTGGAGAGAAGAAGACCTAAAGACAGCTAAGGACATTGATCAATAAAACGACTGGATAGTACATGGAATAAACTGCCGAGTTGGTATAATGCTGAAATTCACCTGAAACCACACATGTGTGGTATGTAAGGAGCCTCAACGTATCAGAGTGTTGAATTATCAAGAACAAGAATTGCCATTGTCCTGAGAAGCAGTTCTGCTCCACTTAAGGACGAAACAACCAGTTCTCAGCTCCAAGGGTACATCGAGATTCTCTTCATTGACCGATTTAGAATTTGGATATTTCAGCTAGTTAGGGAAATGGAATTTGTTCGTCAAGCCCCGACACGCTCAGCACGCCCGTAGCCGCTGATGTAGCTATAGAAAGTGTGACAAGTCGATGTTAGTTACAGCACGCCCAATTTGGCTGTGTTTATGTGTTGGTCCACGGCCAGGATTCATGCTTCAGCCCCTGTATTATGTCTACCTCTGGGACGTGTTATAACTTCTTCCTCTGGGATGTGTTATAACTTCTTCCAGCGTAACGTCTTGGGACGCCTTCTAGCCAATGTGTACTGGCGAACGGCGAACTATATCTCAGTGTCTCATGCAGACTACCGGAGAACGCCGGATATCGAAAAGCTGCGACCTAGGCCATACAGCGATGGGTAAGATGCTAGAATCCCAAGATACCTATTGTCCTTGTTTGACTGACATTTCTTGCTGACAGAGTTTTCTGGGGATCTGGTGGTATCGACATCACGACCGCTTCCGACTTTTGAGAGACGTTCCACAATGGCGATGTTACTATTCATTCGACTGAGATGGATAGTCTTTCCCATGAGGGTCTCGTGAACTTGAAGAGCGAACACTGCATCGCAGGCGATATCGTGATTCACTGCACGGGATTTGACAAGGGGGACGATGAATTCGAACCTAGTCTTAGATGTGAGCTCGGTCTGGAGTATGACCCCAAAGAGTTCTCCAGATGGATAATGCTCGATGAGAAAGCTGATAGGACTGTGGATGATCTCCTACCATACCTTCGTGATGCGCCAAGCCAATACGGCGACTGCAACGTAACCAAGAGAACGAGGCACGGCCCTAATAGGCATTACCGCCGTCTGGTGGTACCTGAGCTGGCAGTACAGGGCGATCGATCGATATTATTCCCCGAACACATCCATTCCGTATTCACGCCACTGGCAGCTGAGCTCCAAGCACTCTGGGGTGTTTCATAGATGCTCGGATGGCGAGACCTACCGGCAAGAGAAGAGATGGAGGTCGAGGCTGGAAACCTCAATGCGTGCACAAGAAAGAGGTACCTTGAGCAAGGCAAGAAACATTCGTATTTCATATACGACTACATTGCTGTAAGAGAATTCAGGGTGCATGTATGTGTCACTTCATCTTACTGACTGTGAGTAGTACATCGACACACCGATGAAGGACCTGGGACTTAACCCGTTCCGCAAGAGCAACGTTTTCAAAGAATGGTTTGTGAGATATAAGCCAAGTGACTACAAAACTATCCTAGACGAGTACCTGAGCCTTCGACGTCATCGACAGGAGATTGAGGGTGCAAAGGGGGAGAACGGAAAGGCTGCGTAGAAAATATGCTGTGAAACACAATGAGTCACATTCGGATTGTGTTTGGGTACTAGTTTCTCTGAGATTAAACACGATAATTGCATTCTCTGTTTGTGAACATTAGCCGCCACGATCATAACAATGCTAAGCAGTGTAGCTCCCATTGAGTTCTGAGAACTCCTATTCATCCTCTAAGCTTGTTGCATTGTGGTCACTCCTCCATTCCATCCAGCAAAGTCTTGAGCTCACCACTGGGAGTCAGTGCATTGGCGTGTTGTTGGACTGCACGTCTAAATGTGGCCAATCGGCGGCCTCCCTCGGTGTTGAGCGGACTAGCGCACAGAGCGGGGCGAATCTACACCAATCGCAGATCTTGTTCTGCTCTGTCGAGACAGCCCCACTATATCCGCGTCCGCCCGTGTCCGTCCTTGCTCTCGTATAATCTCGCTGCAAGTCTCCTACTTGACAAAAATGCTCCCCTTTCGTGCGGAAAACCAAGAGTTACCTTATCAGCCTTCACAGTCAAAGTACCAAGATCCCACCTGAATCCACACAACTATGAGTGATCAAAGTACCGAGAAGCCTGCAGATGCAGCACCCAGAAGCCCGCATGCTCCCGGCGACCTTGCTGGTAGTAGCGACGACTCTCTCACTGAGACCGGGCAGCGTAGTATCCAGGGATGGAGAGTGAGTGCTTCCGAGATTCTTGGCCTTTCGAAATATCTTGCTAACAGTGGACGACTTCGTTTAGTGGGCCGTTGCCTATGCAGCGATGCTGTCTACAACGCTCCTCTTTGCTATCGACAATACCATCGTTGCAAACATCCAGCCCAGTATCATCAACGACTTCGGCCATCTCGAGCTCATGACATGGATTGGTACCGGCTTCGCTCTCGGCACCATGTTCATCTTGCTCTGGGGCAAAGTATACGGCGTTTTCAACATCAAATGGGTCTACATCTTCAACATCTTCCTCTTCGAGGCCGGGAGCGCGGTATGCGGTGCTGCACCTAATATTCAAGCACTCATAATCGGCCGTGTCATCGCTGGCATTGGTGGTTCTGGAATGTATTCTGGCACCTTGACATATGTCTCTGTCCTTACCAATGAGCAAGAGAAGCCAGCATATCTTGCTGGAAGTACCGTTGTCTGGGGCATTGGCAGTGTTCTTGGTCCTGTTGTAAGCTCCCTCTCCCATCGCATTATTGGCTCTGGACTGACCATTATCGTTAGGTTGGTGGCGCATTCGCAACAAGCAGCGCGACCTGGAGATGGGTATGTATCTTTCCTCCTTTCTCTCGCTCGACCTTAACTGACTTGACAACCAGGGATTTTACATCAATCTTCCCATCGGTGCTGTTTTTGCTCCTGCATACTTCCTGCTATTCCCCAGTACTGATCCCAACCCTACCAAAACCCTGGCAGAGAAGCTCCGCCTTGTGGATTGGATCAACGCAGTCATCTTCTTGGCGGGATCTGCTTGTCTGACCGTTGCGCTGACCTTTGGCGGTGTCGTCTATTCATTTCACTCGGGCACAATAATCGCACTCTGGACTGTCACCGGCGTTCTACTGGCGGCTTTCATTGTTCTACTCAAAATACATCCTCTAGTCTCTAAGGAAAACCGCTTGTATCCCTTGCACTTCTTCAAGAAGTGGATTCTTATCAACATGCAGCTCCAAGTCTTTTTATCTTCTGGCATCATCTTAGTAAGTTACAAAGAATCGAAAGGAATACTTTGACTAACCATATCCAGGCCATGACTTACTTCGTCCCGTTGTATTTTCAGTTCATCAAGGTAGGGGCTTTGACTGCGTCATGAAATATTTGTGACTAATATCTTCAGGGCGATGGAGCACTCGAGGCTGGCGTTCGTTTACTGCCTTTGATCATGTTTATGGTTGCTGTCTCGATGTTAAATGGCTTCCTGATGCCAAAATACGGACTGATCCCTTTTTGGTACATCGGCGGTAGTGCTCTTGCACTCATCGGTAGTGCTCTAATGTGTAAGTGGCCAATCATTCTAGTAGCCTGTTCTAACGCCCTCCAGATACGAGTGATGACAAAACATCTAACGGCAAGGTATATGGCTACAACATACTTGTCGGAGCCGGAGCCGGGTGCTACATCGTCGCTGGGTTCGCCATCATGCAGTCACTGGTCCCAAACCACGAAATTGCCAACGCAGTTGGTGCCATGACGATTTGCAAGTATTCCCATGGCAAACCATTCAAAGCTGTTTCCAGCTAACGTTGAACCTAGCCCAGGATCTCGGAATGGTGCTTTTTCTCGCTATCAGTGGCAGTCTGTTCCACAACGTCGCCGTTGACAAAGTAGGCAACGCTCTGCCAAGCGCCTCTGAAACTGAGATTGGCAACTTGATTGCGGGCACAAGCAGCGCTGTGTTCAAAGCTCTTTCTGAAGACGAAAAGGCCGTTGTTATACCAGAGATCGCAAGTGCTATGAAGAGCATCTGGGCCTTTTTCATGGCGGCCGCTGCCCTCAGTTTTGTGTGCGCTTGTCCACTAGTTGTAGGTGTCTCATTTCATAAATATGTTGATTGACTGGTGCTAACTCCCACCAGACAGATAAGCTTGGGGGAAAGAAGCTCAAACCAACTGCGATAGCCTAAAATGTGGTGGGACTTATCGCAATATCATAGATGGAGAAGATCGGCTTGAGCATCTACTACGTCAGAATGTCTAGGACTTTTGCTGTTTGGAGGATGGTTAATGGTTCTTTTTGTTTGACAGGGAAATTATAATAATAGTGACACAACAAAACAAACATCAGTTGTGATAAGAGAAATAAGAGATGATGTATAGTATTGGATGAGCCCTCAATACTTGCCCGGATTTAGCTGTTTCCAAAACATGGCAGCTTAGACTTATAGACTCTGAATACAAGAACGTCAGAAAGCTCTTACAAGTGTGTTCATTAGTGTCCTTTATCTTTGTGCCCTGGGGGCAGAAGCCTCCTTTGGAAGCGTAGCCTTAACACAGCAAGTTCGCTCACTTAACCTCCAACATGGCCACCTCATGATCTCACAGGCTCATGGTAGATCAATGGTAGTACTACCGCTGCTGCAGTGTTGGCAGTGAATTGTCTTAGATCAACTTATATTGAATTACTACCTTAAATTCGACACGAACCTTCCGAGCTCAGTAAGCTTCTCTCAAGCTCGCGTTGTGCAATTCAACAAAACCTGTTCTGTCCAACCTAAAGCCAAACACATGATCCCGAGAGGCGATCAGATGAAATGCGCATATAGCCAACCACAGAGCAGCCACTATCGCCATCACGTGCGGGAAAACAGCTTCAAATCCACCATTCCAATTATGCCAAGTCATTCCCGTTCGCCCATTCTCCGCAGCCTTGCCTTTCATTACATACTTCTTCTCAGCCTCCATCGTGTCTTGCCATCCCATAATCCCTCTCTTCTCTTCAAACTCGACAAAGCTCAGTTTAGGCGCTGTGACACATAAACCTGCAATCTTCTGTGCTAATGTATCAAGTCCTATGATGGGCGTCAGCCATCGTTGTGTGATATATGCCTTCCATCCGTCGTATGCTTGCTGCCTCGTCAAGGCGCCTCCTGCTTTGACTATGGCCCGAGCACGTTATACTCATTTGTCTTGGTACTATTCCCGCATGGCATTGTGTAGCTCTACGTCGCTGGGCTTTTTGATTGGTTGCCTCGCCAATAGAGCGCACAGCGTGTTCGTGATTACAACAGCATCTTCCATAGCCGTGTTGCCTCCAAGGGCCGAGTTGGAGGTGACCCAGGTAAGTTAGACGTGTCAAGATACTGATGAAGCATCGTTCAAGGGAACCCGTACCTTGTGAACAGCGTCTCCAGCCAGGGCAATTCGGCCGAAGGTCCAATGCTCCAGAGCCCCCTCTTCAAGGGATATCATTTGTGCCTTCAGACGTCGCTTCCACAATTCCCCGAATACGGCTGTATCTGTGACGGGACGCTCAGATATCTTGCTCACGAGCGTTTCCATATCGGTCTCAGTATAACGTCGGCGCGTGGGCCATGTACACTGCTGGTTCTCAGGGATCTTGCTGTGCACAATGATAGATATCCATTCTGGCTGGCAGAGGAGGAGAAAGGAGTACCTGTCATTGGAGGTGATTTCCATGTCGTGCGCACCGATGCCAGGGACTGGCGAGCAAGCTTGCCATGACGATGGCATTGTATTGAGTGACCATAGCTTGAAGGGCGTGAGTAGCTGATGATATCCGCCATAGAATGATACATACTTACCTCTCTTCTCATCAACTGTGATCATACCAGGGTATCGAGCGTTGGCTTTGTCCCACATGATTTTGCGGACTTTGGAATGAACGCCATCAGAACCAACTACTACATGACCAACAAACTCACGACCATCAGCCAGGATGACGTGGGCAACAGAGTTCTACTCAATTATCTCCTCAACGGGAGCCTTTTCATAGACTCGACACTTATCAGGCAGTAGCTCGTAGAGCTCACGCATGAAGACTTGACGGTCAAGTGTCCTAGTATCATAACCCGCGCTTCCCACGATTAGTGAGTGAGTCCCAGCTAATAGGGAGTTGTACATACAACTTTCGTACGACACCAAAGAAGTCGGAGGCAAAGCTCCTACCGGTGGGATCACGGCAATGCGCACCGCCCATGGTATCGCACTTGACCAGTACGGCGTCTAGGCAACCTAATTGGTGTAGGATTCAGCGACCATGTGGATGTCCTTACAAACTCGCCTAGCTCTGGTCCACGCTTGCTGTTCTTTGACATCAACTATGCCGTCGCATGCGTAAATCTATGGACGGTCCTTTAATCTCGCCGTCTCGGTGTGCGGTGCTTGTTCCTGAGGTTTCCAGCGTGGGCAATGCTCTCTGCAACTTCGACGGTGCTGCTATGCTGCTGGCACTGTACATGTTTCTACTCTGTCGTAGTAAGGGACGCTTACGCAACTCTAGCGTACCGTTATACGATGCGGTAATGATGCTGGTGACAACTGTGGTGATTCTGCTTCAGCCGCTGGTTATCTTTGCACCAGCATGGTTGGGCTTCGATGGGAGCGAAACCCATCATGCATTGATTGCCCTTTTTCAAGTGGCCCCTATCCTTGTTCTTAGCTTCCATCTAAGCCTTGTATCAATTCCCCCTGAAGGGCCTGTCATACCAGCATCATGCAAGGAAGCCAAAAGATAGATCGTTGCGACCGTCGCTTCGGCGGTACACATCTATACTGTAATCAGTTCACTATGAACTCGCGATAACGATACGTCCCTCGTAAGACTCTTTGTTCCTGCCTGGGGTTTCGCTGACCCAGGTACGATCCTCAAAACTACTGAAGGAAGATCCAAAGAGTATGCAGCGCTGCTGGAAAACCTTCACCTGTTTCCCTAATGGGATTGGATCGTTGTTTGTCTGACGATAGCGTTGGCTATCCACTTGGTTCTTTCTCGTCGAGACGGACTTAAGGTTGACAAGTTTACATCGCCACACGAGGTCCAGGAACCAGTCTATCTTGCAATATCTACAGCCGTTCTCGGGCCTGGGGGTGCTGGTTCATTTGCACTTACAATTCGAGAAGCGCGGATATGATTTGAATACTCCGAGACTCTCGTTCTTACCGGATACTCAAGAGGGCATATTAAGGAAAATAGAGGTAATGAGGAAGCAGAATGAGGGTTAGTTCTTATCTTTGCTTATCTCTCTGAAAAGACAATCGTGTACTTGAAAAGTTCACCCTATCCTGTTGTCGTTTTGGGATGCCATAAGCTGTGAATATCAGCCAATCGATCAAAGTCGAAGACGAAGCTTCTGGTCTACTTAGTAGAAAGGGATAATCATTAAGAGGTACTAATTCCACCTGATTTGGCAGGCTGCCCAAGGCGTTCAAGGCACACCGGCTCCAAATCAACACTTCTGCCCCTTTCGCTATCCCAACAAGTAAACGGCAATCTTGAGCTTGAGATGGAGGTCAAACTGTCAATTGTTATCCTAAATCGTAATGACGTATCGATAGAAAAATGTCATAAGGAATTTGGTAGCTAATAATACGGCGGTGAGTGGGTTGCCTCGGCTTCCAGCAATGGCAAGTACATCAAGTTTTACTGAACAAACTTATTGCTTCCTTCGCAATTGCCTCTCATCTCCTTTGTCTCCTTCTCATCCTATGATCTTTCTTCGCCCAGCAAGTGTTCACTGCGGTAGAAATCGTGTCCAAATCTGAGGTCACGACACGTCCTATAAAAAGGACTTTGATGGAATGCTCGACGGTCATCAGCTTTGCATAGGACACTCGAGTCGTCCCGTCTATTCTCTCGCCGGGCTCGAGCATATGAACACGAATGGGAGGAAACCCTGGTTCAGGTTCCCCTTCTAAAAGCTGCGGTGAGCCATTACCTGACTCACATACGATGCCATGACTTTGAGGATCAACTGCTTTCTTTTTTAATCCCTTTCCGCCATATGTTGTGATTGGCCTGCCTCGTTAGCTCCTGCTTTTCCCTCTCAATGGTTTGACTGACACGCATGTGCAATGATCCCCATCATTGGCGACAACAATGAAGCGGCGAAAGCTGACAAATACAAATGCGCCATATTGATCACGATCACGATATAGTGTTTCCTCGCCGGTAGACGGGATTCCAGGGGCAGGCTCAGGCCAGAGAGTTTTGAACGTGTTGAGCTGCCGTGTCATTGACAAACATCTTTCAGCGTCAATTGAAGCTAATTCAAAACCAAGCTTGTCGTAGCCACCCAAGGTTAGGCTGATTTTGCTTAGATCGGATTGCATTACTCCGAAGACCATTGTATAGTCTAATCACATAGAAAAAAGCGTCCTCATCTGATCAGTATCTGGCATCATGGTACTCAGAGAAGTTGGGTACTCAGTGGTGTTCAACTGGACATCCGTTGTGCTTTTGTTGTCGTTTTCAAACTGCTCTTGTGTCGATGGATCATCAGAGCCAATCTTGAATAATTTGGAAAACTGACTTCCATCCATGTTGTTGTCCTCACCGGATATATTCCTTGGCGGAGCAAATAGTGCAATTCGCTCGAGATGATTTGCTAGATGATTGGTCAGGCCCTTGGGAAACGGCTATTCTTCGAAGCAAATAGGGCAAACATCACGGTCATCGACGAGCGCCAATTTAGAGACATTAGTTGGGTCCTCGAGTTGTTCGACTGAGAGACCTCTATCATGCTCTCGTAACAGATGGCTCTGAAAACTAGCAGGTGTCACATATAAAGCATCGGGGTGATCGCGGCATCGCCAACCGGGTCGATGCACAGCTTCTTCATGATCCACCCATGCTTTCCTTGACTGATAAAGATCGTTGGCCGAGTTGCATGCTTCATTCGTGCATACATAAGGTCTCAGATCATGGAGGACATGCGACTTCCAGGTCTTCCCTCTCCCTTCCTTTGGGGGGCAAACAACCCAACAACAAGGGCAGGTAAACGAGTCCCCATTCAGTGCCTCCTTGGGGGGGTTGGGGACCTCAATTCCCTTTCCGTCGGCGCCGAGAGCAGTCGATGCCAGTGATAGTATGGTTTGTCTCTCTGTTCTATCATCTAGGGCGGGGTCATACGGTGTCGCATTAGTCCCCCAGAGGTGACTCTGTTCCTCGACCGAGTAAGGAAGCTCAAGCCGCCGCCCTTGTCGAAGTCCTGCATCTTCTGGAGCCTCTGATGCTGAGGGCCTTTCTCTACCAGCTGTCAAGGTCACAGGGATAAGCTGAACACCAAGCTTTCTGGCATGCCTTTCCCAGTATCTAAATTGCTTTCGACGTAAGACATTAGATGTTGCGAGTCTTTCGGGAAGGAAATCAGAAGGTCCATCGTCTCTACCCCTTCCTTGACGCATTGCTGTGAGAAGTTCAATCAGGTGCTTTGAGTCAAACTCATGAAGCGTATGGAAGAGATCGATCCCTGTCTCGTTGTCCACCTCTTGGACCAGGCTGGCCCTGGTTGAGCTGGGGCGCAGACCAGAGTTACGAATTTTGGAGGATAATCGGTATAGGTTGTTAAGTATTTCAGTAATACTTGTAACCTTCATAGATAGCTCTGTTGATGGAAAGTTCCCGTGGCTTGTGTCATCATCGGATTCTTCGCTGATATCTGATGGGATGGACTCCTCATCGAACGGAGGCCTTTCTCCTGATACGACAGCAGTAGCTACTCTATAATTAGCTTCTCATCTCTGCAAATCTTTGTTGACAAAACTTACACTCTTCCAATGCTATACCAAGCTGCTGGAGAAGTTGCGAGATATTATTGTGCATCAGAGCGGACTTTCTCAGCCTATAATCAAGCGAGGAATAGCCCGTCTGCAAAGCACCAGGATTTCCACGCCAGATTCTGAATTTCCCAAGCTGTATTTCTATTGTCGAGGGAGGCATCTGCTGGAGGAAACGAGGTGCGGTCTCTCTGAGGCCTGACAAAAGATACTGGAAGCCATTAATGCATGACCGGCTCAGGCTTTGGACTGTGCTCAGCGTGGTGTTATTTGCAGCTAAGACTTGTGACTGAGGGCTTAGATCAGCAGACAAAACTTAGTGGTGATCAGATTGCCCTACCGATGCCTCCTGTTTGCATGCACCACTGCGATGGCCAGCTGATGGGAACGCCAATCTCAAAAGGGATATGGTGGCGCTGTGAACTAGATTTGTTGTTTATATTTGAGACTGATGGCTCAGAGGTTAAATCAGCATAGAGAGTTTAGGAAATGGTGACAGGCTCAAGATAAACTCAACTTTTCAATAGTGCATAATTCCTTTTACCCCGCTTTGAACAATGTCTGCTTAAAATCCCTCGATATGCGTAAGCGACATCAATTCTCACCTTGGATGCTTAGCTGGCGCTGCAACGGCTCTGATGATTGGCAGCCTCATTTTGAATATGCAGGCTGGCAAAATGGCCGCGAATATCATCTTATCACCCCAAGGCGGGGTATGGTGACTCTCTCTCTCTTCTCATTTCCCTGTATCATACTTAAGCCTGATAACATTTTCGGCAGCGAGCCAGATGTCTGGGTTTGAGATCGCGGGCATTGTTCTTGGGTCTATCCCTCTGCTTATCTCAGCGATAGAGCACTATAGCGACAGCCTTGATCGTGCAACTGCTTTCTTCAAATGGAAGGATGGATTGAACTCGGCTTTGCGAGAATTCTGGTATCAGCACTCGTCGTTCGAGTTGACTTTGCGGAATATCCTCAAGGATGTAGCTAGTCCATCCGAAATAGAGGAGATGATTGGAGATCCTCATCATGAACTCTGGAAATCACGAGACCTGTCCCAGGCCTTGCAGGAGATGCTCAAATTTGCATACCGACCTTACATATCTACTATCAAAGATATGCATGGGTGTATGAAAAGGCTGGCAAGACATTTAGATGTCGATCGTGATGCTGTGAGTAATTCTGACAGGAGCTAATTAGTGCGTGGGCTGACCTGGAACTTTCTTTTAGGGGACTGCTGATGATCTTGAGGCCATCATGAAAGCGAACAAGAGATGCCGTCTGCTGGCGGCCTTATAAAGTTCGAGTTTAGGCGTGCCGTCAAGTTAACCATGAAGAGAAAGGAGGTCCGCATACTCCTTGAAGATATGAAAGCATGCAACAACCGCCTGGATGAGTTCATCAACAAGTCGGAGGCTCCAAGTAACAACAGTATGGCTAAAACTACTGCTGAAAAGTTGGGATTGAGCTCCTCATTACAACAGATACAAAATTACGCAACCATGTTACATCAAACTCTAGGAAGGGCCTGGTCCTGCTCATCCCATGCTTCTCACGAAATTCGCCTACTCTTGGACGACAGGGTTGTACGCCAAAGTGAGCCGAGATCGCTCAAGAAGGTGAAGCGGTCAAGCAAACCACCCAGTTTCACAATAACCCATAAATCGCCAATGAGCTCTGCACTTTGGAAGTCAGCCAAAATCGAGATTATTGATTCGGATAAAGAGGTAGATGAAGAAAACAGGGCGATCCGATTCAAAGAAGCGCATCTCAAGACATCCATTAAAGACCAGCATAGCATGAACATCCGAAGCGTCCATGGTTTAACAGTAGTCGGAGACCTATGCACCGTCTTTCGCTGTTACAATGGGTTTGGTTTTGGACTTGACGACCAGGGTGTGCTTTACGAGACCTACCAAGACGAAACTAAACCTGTTTGCTGCACGGAGAATCTGATTAGTCTTCAGGAGCTCCTATTGACGCATTCTGGCATGAAGTGCTTCACCCCTTTGACAGAGGAGCAACGGTATCGACTGTCGATTATCCTGACTTCCTCATTTCTCCAACTCCATTCAACCCCATGGCTCAACAGACACTGGAGCCAACACACTGTCTTCTTTTCTTCAACCCCGATTGATGGTCAGCTTGTGATTGACCTTGGACATCCTTTCATTGCTGAGAGCTATAGAAGTACTGCATTTCCAACCACCACCTCAATCGAAGCTAAGGAGCTTGCAGATGATAGCGCAAATCTACTTATGCTGGCGAGGATCCTTCTTCAGATCAAGTTCCATGGTCGGACGAGTTACACACAAAATAAAGAAAGTGTAGCAAACTCGACAGCTTTCGACCGAGTCCGTGAATCTCAACTCCTTAATCAATGGATATTCCAGGAGAGGGAGAACTTGTCTTTTGCGCACTATAACGCCATTCAGTTCTGCATAGCGTCTTCAAATAGCATTGACGCTGATCTTTGGGATCTGAAATATCGGCAAGTGGTTCTTGGCCGGGTGGTTGTGCCTTTGGTTAACGAACTAAGTCACTGGCAAGGGGCTACATAGCTTGGACACGAGAAGATGGCACTTTACATCCATCTACTGAATATGAGTTGAAGTATGAGTCATAAATCCTTTTTGTAGAGGTCAAATATTATCCATGATGTGATGATGGTCATCAAGAGCCACAGCCTGATTCAATACATGAGCAAAGTACTGTGGGGGCCACTATATTAGACGAATTAGAGTTAAATAGACTCATGCAGGTAAATCATCGCCCCGCCCGCTATACCTCCTTCAGTTGAAAAGGCTGCCACTTGCATGAGCACCTGAAGGACTCAAAGGATCAGATCGAAGATCGAATCAGATGACAAAAGAACATTATTCACCAAACTAAACTACCGTGGGGCATGATGGCTGTCGCCAATGTTATATTCTTGTCTCTTTCTCGGGGAGCCTTATCTTGGTGCAGCGTTTAGAGAGGCTACCGCCAACATTTCACTATTCCAATGGCTCGAGCGATAAACCTGCCTTGTGCCAAGGTGGCGCTTGGCTGAGAAGATGACTGCAGGATGGAGGGTAGCGTAGCGAGGCACCATTGAAAATGTGCCTCTGTTGTTTCAGCTGACTGACTGGTGGGCGGTTACCCATAAACTGACGCAGCCACTTGGTGCCCCTCAATCGAAACCTCATTACTTTCTGCTCACTTTTCTTCTTTTTGTTGAATGTCATTTTCCGTCTTTTTCACAAATCCAACCGAACCCTGCTGTATTAAACTACTAATTTCATGATGGTGAGACCACGAGAAGGCTCGTCTGTCTCCTCTACCTCCGACTCAGAGCCTGAGGATGAGAGCTTGATAGGGTTTTTCGAGGGGATCACTCAATCATGTGTCGATCCCAACTTTTCAGACGGAGATGAATCGACTTTTCCTTCAACATATATATCCTGGGGAACGCCCTCAAATGAGTTGTACGTCTTGTTTCGTGTTTGGCTTTTCTTCTCTAACATAGCTTAGTATCAAGGAACAGGCCGTGAAGTTCCAAATATCATCTCGATGCCGCATCTGCAACCATCGAGGGCGAGCTGGAGAGCTTGTCTTCTGCACTGGCTGCGGTAATTCCAAGCGACCAGCACATAGAGAATGCTTGGCGAGGGATCGGCAACACGTTATGAGTCCTCGACGAAGACTTAGCGTTGGCGAGGAAGAGTGCAAAGAGGTGGATTATTCCGACTATGTCTTCACTCGGTATCTCCTCCAACCCCCTGAATCCAAGTTAAAACTGGAATTGCATACCAAAGATGCAACATGTGCTTGGATCGGAGTTCCGTCCCTACAGCGCTTTGAGAAGCCACAGATCCATGTTTGGCCTCGCCTTCAAGATCTGCTCCAAATGTCGCGAAACACCAAGCCCGGTCAGTATCCTAAACTTGTCTCGTTTATTGGCGAGACAGGTTCGGGGAAGAGCACTCTTATAAGAACCATGATCCAAATGGCTCGACCCGATCACCCCGAAGGAGAGTCTGTTCCGGTGCCTGGGTCTCCAAGCGATCGGTTTGCCTCCACGAGCAGTGATATCCACGCCTACAGCGATCCCCTTACCCTCTCCACAAAGTATCCGATAGTCTATGCCGGTAAGCTTCGAAGGACTCTAATATGATCTAACAATCTACTGACATCTTTCATAGACTGTGAAGGCTTTGTGGGCTCCGAAAAGCCCATAGCCCAAGAGATTATTGCTGCTCTTTCTGAACCAAATTGGCTATTCCAGTGGGAATTTGGGGAGGATTCTGCCGAACAAAGAGTACTGAGACACTGGCAGGCCAAACAGGATAAGCTATTGAGACAGATGAACCAGTTCCTGAACGGTGCTGAGAGCAGAATCAATGTTGAATGGGGTAAACTCGACTACCCAGACCCACGAGCATCTGTTATTGTGGAAGACACAGATGGGCGAAGGTTGTGCACTGTCCAGAACAAGACTCGAAAGCTCATCGTCAAGTATCTGTATCCCAGAGTCCTCTATGGCTTTTCGGATGTAGTTTGTTTCGTCACGACCAACGGAAGGTTTGTGCGAAGAGACCATCATTAGTCACTAGATGTTAACAATTGCAGGACTTCGGACAGTTTCTTGGGGCAACTAATTGACTGGGCTCAACACTCACATGACCGAATCCTCAACCAGCGTACAAAACCTGCTCTTATTGTCATTCTCAATATCGTTGTTGATATGGACGACAGCTCATCTTCTGATGCGACGGAGGATCTTCTGCGAAGTTTTCAAAGAACTGAACGTTTTCGAACACTACAGGCCCTCTGGAAGGAGAGAGAACATCCAATTAGAAACACCGCTGATTTACTCCTTTGTTACTACAGCGACTTCAAAGTAGTCCTTATCCCAGCCATAAGTCCCAGGAGCACACCAGCCGATGCGACCGCTGTTAGCAAAAGCATCAGACAGCTATACGAGACCATCCGAGGATCGGTATCCAAGATCCGCACTGCCAAGGCTGACAGTGGTACAGAATCAGACTTGGCTACTCTCAACACTCACATGAACAGATCTTTGAGTGTTCTAGGACAGGACCTTCGCGCCGCACTTGATCTTCATGATGTAGTAATGAATGATTCATCAATCCCGACTCAGCTGAGCGACCATATGGCATCAACCCTTCGTCAGATGTGTATCTTGCGAGAAATGGACCGCACTGATGCGATCGGAGGTGAGGAAAGGGTTGTGGAAGAATTCGCCCCCTACGTCGGTGCATGTATCGTCGCCCAAACTCGCCACATCCAAGACAATGGTTTGTTCATACCTCCACCTGTGATATATGCAAGGTTCTAACGATATAAGAAATACGAAAGAGGAGAAGGGAAGACCTAGTGACCGAAGCTCGAAGCGGTCTCCAGAAGTTCCGCTGGCGATACTGGCGATGTGAAGCTCTAGAGCGACGAACTGGCCGAAGATGTCGAAACTATTACGATGGACACTACAAGGGTCACCAGTTCAACAGACCGGACAACGATTTCGAGGACGTGGAGGGTCTCAACCGAAGGGGTGGTGAATCAAACCACAGATGTTCCTGGCATCCTGATCAGTTTGTAAGGCTTCTACGGGAAGCAATCGCACAGAATCAGCAAGATGGTCGAGTCATGGAAAGGCTTACTTACTTGGCGAGGACTATACGACTGACAGAACTACAAAGCCAGCGGACATGCTTCTCTTGTCTGTCCAACTGTCCAACTAACATGCTTCCGTGTGCCAGGTTTCAGCATGGGATTTGTCAGACATGTCTTGAACGGTTTGCTATGCAGAGAAATGGAGGATCTATCTTGGTGATTGAGCATTGCCCCCTTGGATGTGCTCTTAGAACTGGAACGTGGAGCATTCGAATTAAGCCAGAGGACGCAGCGCCACGCGTGTTATCACTAGATGGGTAAGTCGCTTATCAATGATCTGTTCTCATCTGAGGCTAATTGTGGGCAGTGGAGGTGTCCGTGGTATTGTCGAGCTTTGTGTTTTGCGTCGGATCGAAAAGCACGTGGGCTATGGCATCGCAATCCATCAGCTTTTCGATCTTGTGGTAGGCACAAGCACAGGTTTGTCTACATCTTTATCTTAATCCTAAGGAAATTTCTCATTCGTCAAGGTGGCATCGTCGCTCTTGGTGTCTTCCACCAGCGTTGGTCAACGGACGATGCCATCAATAGGTTCCGAGCACTGGCGCGAAGAGCTTTCACGCTTCGATTGGGACTCGGGAACTCTTTTATCAAAGCTATTGCGCAGCCATGGTATGAGTTTCTGTATACGAGTGAGGGTATAGAGCAGTCACTGCAAGACTCTTTTGGTGGCTCAAATCTGTTTGGCGCAAGTTTGAATCATAGAAATAGGGCTGGCGGAAGGGACTGGGTGAAGGTAGGTGTTGTTTCTTGTTTGCAGGGAGGAAATCAGGCAAAGTTGATTGCCAATTATTCCAGGAACCCAAAAGCGGGCACTGATGAAGGTAAGCATCGAGAAACTGCGAGTAGGTGCGGGCTGACTTGTTATTCCCCCTCCAGCAGAAGATTATCTTTCTCGTGAAGATGAGCAGTCGAATGACTTCAAGATCTGGGAAGCGTTAGTTGTCCTCTCGAGCGTATTTTATCAATAATTAACTCTTCACAGGGCGAGAGCGACATCTGCAGCACCGACATTCTTCCAGCCCTTCGTCCACCCCGAAACGAAACGAACATATGTGGACGGAGCTCTTATGCACAACAACCCAGTATCTCTAGCCTATTCCGAGGTTGATAAAATTTGGCCTGGTTCCCTTCCTCCTGATATCATCTTATCAATTGGTACTGGATTGGTTGTTGATCCCAAGTCAGGAAAGATGAAGACAAAACACAACTCCAAGCTGCAAAAGATCAAGGGATGGATTCCTAGAGGCTACCTCATGCGAATAGAGGCTGGACTGGGAATAATCCAGAGCTCGACTAGCTGCCACGAGGCTTGGAAAGAGTTCAAAAGCATGTCCGTGTCAGACCGTCGACTTCGAGAAAACTGTCATCGGCTCAATGTTGGCTTGAAACAGCGCGTCGAAATGGATGATGTTGAGAAAATGGATTCTCTTATTGAAGAATGTGAGGAGTACCTTTGCGATGGTACAAACATGTTCTATTACGACAAAACATACAGAACAGCCCCTGAACACCTTCACACAGTAGCAAGGCGACTTTTGGCATCCTTGTTCTACTACGTTGGGCCTCTCGAGCGGACCATGAAGAGAGGGAGATGTGTTGGGAAGATGTTTTGCAGATTAGAGGCAGGTTCTGCATCGGCGAAGGAACTGTTACGAGACAATGTGCGATTCCGGCTGGCTCAAATTTCGGAAGACGGTACCAAGGCAGTATATCCTCGCATTCTTCATCATCGGGATAGTCCACGCTGGGATCTAAGGGATCTTTCAGCCCTTGTGGTTCTCAAGGTGGAAGAAGGGACGTGTAGGCGATGGATTGAGGTGAACCTGCCTGACTGGAGGGATGAATGGGAGCCCATCTCTGGATTCCAGTCTCGTGGGCGCACTAATGTGTGAAGTCTCTGATTTACGGCGGTTTGGGCGGAACTGGTGACCTTGACCTAGTGTGTAATGTAGTAAGGCTTTCAAGCGCTCTATAGGAATATATTCATAGAAGAATAAAACTGAGCCTCTACTGATCCGCTGGTTCATCGAAGCTGAGGCTGATGAACACGAACTTTGTCTTGGTCGAAGCTACAGACGCCATATTGGTCTTGAAGGAAGTAGACTCAGTAGTCAGGCTCATCCAAGTCGCAGAAGCAGTCCATGTCATACCATATGTATGGCATCTGTTGATCAATTTCGACACCAAGGGTCCCGGCATATATGTAGCAAGATTGACCAGGAGTGACGGCAAAGAAAGCACATTGGTTGTTTTCATGACAAGCGTTGCGGCAGGACTCCATAGTTATGACACCGGCTGGACTGTCCAGAAAGGTCCTGGAGTTCCCGTTGTAGTAGCCGCGCTTGTTGCAGACCTTATCAGATGGGGCGGGGTTCTTCTCATTGCTAATGCAGGACTCGCCTGGAGCAGTGGTAGTGGTTGTAGCAGGAGCGGTCTCTGTGATTGATGTTGGTTCGACGGATGAAGCTGTCAGTTCGGTAGCCGCGCCGCTTGTCGTGGTTGAAGACTCGTCGCAGAAGCAGTCGTCCAAGCTCCACCAATAATATTCCGATTCACTCTCAATGACACCATCAAGAGTGCCTGAATATAACCAGCATTCGCTACCAGGTTTCAAGTTAAATGCGCTACAGCCATTTGCATTTAGACAGGCCTCTCTGCACGATGACACTGTTTTGGCGCCATGGAGATTGTACATGACATTCAAATCGCTGTTCTGATTGGCGTTGCCTGCTTTGTTACAGGGCTTACCGGCTGGAAGTGGTTGCTTTTCATTGTTGACGCAGGAATAGCTTGGCGCAGTGGTAGTGGTTGTAGCAGGAGCAGTCTCTGTGGTTAAAGTGAGTTCGACAGATGAAGTTGTAAGTTCGCTAGTTGTAGCTTCGGTGGCTGTCGTCCCGGTAGCCAAGCCACTTGTGGTGCTTGAAGACTCGTCACAGAAGCAGTCCATGTCGTACCAAGACCAAGGCGATTCACCACCACTGGTACCGGTGAATGATCCAGCCCACAGTGCGCACCACAAACCAGGCTGCAGGGAGATTGCAATACACCCAGGCCTGTCCAGACAAGACTTGTAGCAGGAGGCCAGCGTCAACGTGTTCGCGTTGCCCATTGTTTGCAGGTCACCTTGGCCACCACCCTGGGCATTACAGCCCTTGCCAACCGGAGCAGGGTCCTTGAGGCAGACATATTCGCCCGGGCTGGTGGTGGTAGTAGCAGCTTCGGTGGTGGTGGTGGTGGTTGTTGGCTCTCCAGAAGTGGCGATGCTGGTTATCGAGGTGAAATCGGTAGACGCAGTGCCAGTCGTGGTTGTTACTGGCGAGGGCTTGCATGGGCCGGCCTTGACACCAACTGCAAGACCAATAAAGGCGGCGATAATATTTTGGGCGATCATGCTGAAAGAGTGGCAGGCTCGGAAAGGAGCCGATAAAACGAGTGACAACTAAAATTATGACGTTTAATGTGGCTTTTGCAGCACAGCGTCATGTTATATACTCTCCTTTTTAAAGCGTTTTTCAGAAGGCAGCTGAAGCAAATTTCCACCACAAATGGCCATAGCGACACTACAGAAACGCTAATGTAGGGGTCACGGTTGGAGAACGAATCAGATCTGAGGAGTTTGTATAGGGCTACTGAGCTATTCAGGGTCCAGACCCCAATAGTTAAGCATAATGGAGAGACTTCTTTGGTTTTAGGCGCGCTAGTGCCAATAGCTTGCTAACATCGCACTTTACTGCTCCTCTAGCTTGTAGTCAACTCCTAATTCCACGTGGACATTTCTATTCTTGCTAAATGCCAAGTCAATATTGATCAAAGTTGAATGTTCTTGAAGCAGTTGTATGAAAGCTGCCTCTGTTATTATCTTCAGTGCCTCTTGCAACTATTGAGTTGATCGTGGGCCACAGGTTAAACCTCAGGCTCACTGACTCTTGTTATCTCCGACGATCCTACCTCCGTCGACGACGACAATCGACCCAGTAGCAAAAGTACACTTCATCAAATAAACATAAGCCTCCGCCAACTCCTCAGCAGTCCCAAGTCTACCTACAACAGAGTCCTTCTCCATAGCAGGAAAGATAACATCCCTGACATCTTGCGGAAACCCATCAAACAAAGCGGTATGCACAAAACCCGGCGTGACACAATTAACGCGCACTGGCTTGAGATCAATACACAAAGCACGAGTCATCGGCTCAATTCCCCCAGCCGCTGCCTTGAGCAGTGACCAACCTGCTCCAGCGGGACGAGAATCAGTAGTTGTTCCCGTGATGGTGAAGGAGCTGGTGTTCGATTGATTGATATAATTCGAGAGATGCTTTGCAACAAAGACAGCGCCCATGACGCGAACCATGCCGATTTTAGAGATGACACTAACAGTCGCTGAGTCGAGACTTGGCGAAGGACTGAAGTCTCCTGCCGTGAAGACGACATGGTCGAGTTTTCCGTCTTGAGAAGCAGCCTCAAGCAGCTCTTTAACGTTGGCCTCGATTGTTTCCGGTTTGGCGAGGTTGCAGACTTTGCCAGAGATCTTTCTAACTGGCAATTGAGTGCTTTTTATGTGGTTCTCCAGACGCTTGATAGCAGCATCGATTTTGGATTGGTTGGAGCTGCTGATAACGACATTTGCGCCATGTTCGAGGGCTGCTTCGGCGACGGCGAAACCAATGCCTGTTGAGCCACCGATCACCAGGACGCGCTGGTCATCAAGTTTCTTGGTGAATTTGGTAGACATATTGAAGAGGCTTGTGTGATCTGTTTTATTTGTTATTTTCTTACACATCGCTGCGCGTCTTTGGGTCTTTTATATCAGCTCAACTACATTAACATTATTATGATCATCAAAAGTCCGCTTTTCCGTAGGATTCAACACCTTGCCTAGCCATCAATCTTTTCACTTCAAGAAACGCGAGAATATTGCACTTGAATACGAGAAATGCCAAATGCTCAAGGTATTTGAGATATGAGGTTACGCTCGTCGCGAAATGATTCGTCGGGCCAAGTCCGCTGTTCGGCCTTCGGTCTCCGCAATACTCCGAATCTTGAATCCCGACGCGTCTTGACGCGTTTTAACGTCAAACGACGATGGTGGTCGTAAATCTGGGTATTTTAATAAAAACGGCTACAGGATTATCGCGCTTGTCATAATACTCTGAACTGTGTGGAAGATTCCCGAGATAAGAACGAATTTTGATGAGAATATTGAAGCACGCTGATGAATCATGTATGAGGCGCGTGATGTGAAACACTGAAAACCAACTGCTGGGTATGTCAACTCAAGATACAGCATTAATTTCGCAATATTTCTCCAAAGCTGGCACAAGAGACTAATGGTCCAGGGACGCCAGAATTTTTGCTAATCTCTCTTATTCAGCGTGATGAAATCTTGGATTCTTTTCTCTGTTTACAGTTATTCTGTACTTGGAGTAATAATTAATTATCAGCTTCAGGGTAACTTCTACAGATAAGATTTACTCCCATCACAATGAGGTTTCTAACATTACACAATTGATGATTTATGCATTAATGATTACCGTGATGATCAATAAGATGTTACTATGCATGAACAAGATCAACAATCGTATCCAACCTTTTAGACACGTACTGCAAGCCATACCTTGTGAATGTTATCTAAAGCTCGTTCGTGTTCAATCAAGAGTCAACTCAAACTGAATGACACAATAATGATGAAAGTTTCACCGCAGCTGTTACTGAGAAGTAAGCAAACAGTAGATCGCGATTACCAGACTGACTGTTTGCTACTGCAGATCGCAGCTCAGCTGGCAAGCGGGACGGTTATGGGTCGGGTGACACAAGCGAAACGACGATCACCATATTATTTCCTTCTTCCATGCATGTCTGACATGTACGACACTCCCCATCACAGTGATAATCTAGATGAAACGGACGCTAGTCTAAACTCTATCGAATGTCAACTGTCACCTCCAACGCCCCATCTCGCCTAAGCTACATGAGATTCCACATACGCCAGCTCAGGCTCATACTTGATCTCGTCAGTCTCCCAGGGCTTCACAGTCTTTCCTTCTTGATAATCACCACCAGCAGGTCTCCACATCTGTCTAAACGTCATGGGACCCAATTCCTCTTTAACTTTATGCCATTCTTCACCGGGATTCTCTTTTGTAGGTTGAATGGTGTTGACGTTAACGATTGTGAAGCCATGCTTCTCATAAACAGGTACACCCTGCTCTGTCGCATCCAGCCAAAGCTCAACACCCATCTCATCAGCCTTCTGCTTGCTCCAGTTCATAATAACATTCGCCACGCCTTGGCGACGATGGTCTGGATGTGTAAAGACGATATTAACATCTAAATCGGGTTTAGTGTCATTCCTCACGATCCTCTGAATAGAAAACTTACAGACTTGAGGTCTAGCCCCCATCTGCGCTCTAGGCGCATCGAATTGTTTCAGAGCTTGTGTGATAAACTCTCGCCTCTCCCCTTCCGGCTGCCAATAAGCGTAGGAATGATCCTCATCAGTATCAAACGGATTCTCGGAGCAAATCTTCCATAAACAACCGCCCACGATTTTGCCATCGTCGTTCACCACTTTTGCCCAGTAGCTTGTCGGGTCTTCATTGTGCCATTTAAGCTGAAGTGCTACTGATTCTTTGAGAGATTCTGCGTGTGTTGGAGCGTTGAGTGGACAGAACATGCGAAAGAATGGCTGGAGGGGATTTTCGTAAGATGCCCATTGGCATGCGATGAGCTCTTCAAAATCGGTCGCAGTGTCGACCTCGATGAGTTTGAGGGTCATCTTGACGTTGTATTAGGTATATGACACAACGTTTGGGATGGTAGCACAGAAGGATAAATCAACTGAATTAAGTTGCATTCAGTGGCAGAGAGGCCTGCCATGGCAAACAACCTACCCGAGATAATCAGAGCATTAATCCAGTCAATTTATCCCCGGTGGAGCCCACAGCGGAAATAAGCAAACCCAATCAGCCCATCAAAAGTCGCAATTCAAATCCTTCCTCTCTACTCGTACCATCTAAAAACGAGCAGTCGGAAGCTCGATGCCTTTTTCGGTTGACAATAAAGCCACTCAGCGGAGGGCTTGCAGTACCGAGGCAGCCACGAAGAACGGTTGGTCGAAAAGCTCAGACATCCATGTCCACAGCGATCTTTTCCTTCTTTAGCAGCAAGCCACGCCACTTGTAGCAAGTTCAACCAGGGACTGCGGGCGGAAATCTCTGACGAGCAGTGCATAATTCCATGAAGCGAATTTGAACCATTTTTTCTCTTTCTCTTCCTTCCACCGGATGATCCGCCCGAAAAAAGTAGGTCTAAACAGAGTTTGGAAGGTCGTTTTGCTAATTGTAACCCGCGGATCGATCTCCGTTCGGATAACAAACCCATTGGGCTTAACGCGTGGGCCCAGATTCAGGGGATGTTTAGAGGAGAAGCACGGACTGGTTCGGTGACGATAACGAGAGAGGGCTCCTCTTCACATGAAGATTTGCACTAACAGGGGGGTGTAGACTAACTCTTAGTCTGCGGCTCTCACTTAGCCCTACCAATCGATGTAAAGAACCTCAGCCGTGTTGATATTTGTGCCACGATTGCACAGAATTTCAAATATTGCGATCTGCAATAATACATAGATTTATGTACAGATAAACTTTCAACCGGTGAAATTTCACTGGAAGGTCCGGCTGTTTCGGATGGCTCATTGTTGCTGAGCCGCTCACCTGCATAATTCTCCTCTCCGCGATATCAAGCATCATTGGCGCCCTTTCACATCACATCAATAGAACCTTGGAATTATAGCGCAGAATACAGGGGGGCACTACCCATGTTGAAGATTTGCTTTTTCTTCCTTTGCAGACACTGGCCTCAGAGGCTGGTCTGAGGAGAGGAGGGGGGAGATTCCTACGTAATTGTGATATAGCTTCATTCCTACCATTTATTGGTCCTCATGTCCCGTTTCACGAAAAAGGTTCCAAACTGCTTTTGGGTGTCAATAACCGTTATAATCACCGTTTCCGGGATATGCCCAATACCAGTCTTTTGCCGCCCCAGTACCTGTACCTGTGCCTGTGAGATTTGTCTTCACACCATGATCCTAATGTACCGTAACTGTACCTTAGCTGAAGCTTCCCTTCCCTTAATCTACGCTCCACTGTCAACTGTGTCTGTCTTAGCTTTATGTGATACCCTTTTGTCTTTGAATTGAATCGTCGCTCGAATTTAATATTGTTTTCGTGGATCTCTCTCTCTTTTCGTAATATCTTTCCGCTCGTTTTTGCGCAGCAATTGCTGCATTCACCGGCCCAATATGAGTTCGAACCAACGAATCATCACCGGCAACAACAAGTCGCCGCTTATCCAGGTCTTGTCGTTAATGTTCCTCGTCATCGCGATACTATCATGTTCTGTTAGGACTGGCACCAAGTTTTACATGATCAAGACAGTGAGGGTCGACGATATTCTCATCATTGTCGCAACTGTAAGACATTCATCTCACTTTATGCATTCCGACATGCTTATGTTTATGTGCTCAGGTGCTTGCGGCTTGTCAGACTGCGATTGTATTTAATGCGTGCGAGCATGGACTCGGCCAACATTTCGATGATCTCAGCGCTGGCGATCGAGACACCTTCTTCAAGGTAACACCCGACAGACAACCCCGCGACAGCAAACAAACAAACAACTAATACACCCTCGTACAGAGCCAATATGCGACAAACACGATGTTAATCGCCTCACTTCTTTGCTGCAAGTTGTCGGGTACGATGAGTCTACGAATCATGGCGCCCAAGAGCCAGAAATGGATCATCATCGCTTGCGAAGCCGTCGTCGGTGTTTGGGGCATCACCGCGCTCCTCGTCAATTTCTTCCAATGTCAACCACCGACACCCTGGCTTTACGGCGATAACGATAAATGCATCAATCTCAAGGCATTTTGGACGTACTACTCGACCGCCAACATTATCACCGACATCATCATCGTCATCATTATGGCGGAGAACGTGGTCAAGATCCAGACCTCATGGTCCAAAAAGATCCTTGTGATGAGCGTTTTTGGCAGCAGAATATTGTACGTACTGCGCGGTTTTATTTTCATTTATTCTCCGGCTAACAACCTTTAGTGTAACACCGGCAATCGCAGCGCAAATCCACTACTCCAACAAGGCATTCAACTCTGCCGATCACTCATTTAGCATCTGGCCCGCCTCCATCGCCATCCAGCTAGTGCAGTGCCTCGCCATCCTCACCGGATGCCTGCCCAACTTCAAGCCCTTCCTCGACAGCCTAGAGTCGGGGCAGATCCGCGTCGACGACATGCGACGGCAGGGCAAGTCGAGCAGCAACGGGTACCCGACAAACAGGCCCGGCTACGCGGGGTACAAGTCAAAGACAGGGCAGAGCAGCAGATCGCGAGCCCTGGATCATGCATCCAAGACGCAGCGCAGTGAGAGTCACGAGATGGAGGACTTTGCTAAGAAGCCGAAACATGACCACGAGAGGAGCTGGGATGGACAGAGTCGTTCGAGCCACTCAAGTCAAAAGATCTTGATCCATCAGACGTGGCAGGTAGACATAGAGACAACGCAGGATGCAGCATCCCGACAAACATGAGGCAAGGTAATTTGCTTTTTTTCTTCTCAGTCATGTTTGTTTTCTCGGTTATTCATCCCTCGGAGAAGTTTTGGTTACAGCGCAGCAACGTTTTATGCAAGTGTACGAATTTAGAGTAAAAGAAAAAAGACCCATTCGCTGTTTTAAATATAGAACGTTTTGTATCAGGAAAGCTGCAAGCACTCTGAGAAAAAGCAAGATGAAATGTTTGTCAGGCGTGCATGAATATCCTCTGACCAACAGCATAACAAATGTTGGACCACTACAAAAAAAGAAAGATTAAAGAGAAAAGATTTTTCTGACATACAGGGGCTCAGTGGTTCGCTCGGTTGCATATGATTATGATACATCACCATAACGAATAGAGCAGGTCACCTCAGCCAACCCGCAGCACAGCGCAGTATGTACGTAACAGTATGGATCCATCCATGCACCCAGGCACCTGGAAAGAGGAAAATAAGCCGGGCCCTGATCTACCCAGATCTGGTGGCTCTAGAGTTTGAGCACGCCCGGCCGCTGTCGAGAACTTGTCTCTCAAATCGTCGTCTGTGGCGTTTATTCAGGCCGCTCTGTGCCGCTCTGTGCCGCTCGCTAATAACGAGCTATGAATCAATAGAACTCTAAGCCAATAAACCTCACCGGAACGTGTTTAGTCTGAAAATGGTCAAACGGAGGGGCGAAGATCTTATTTGCGGGGAGATACGGAGAAAAAAAAGAAATGTTCAATTTATGCTGACAGCTTGTGTCGCAAATGGCTCCCCGTCGAACAACTGTCAATTTGGCTCGTTGATTGCTGTCCCCTGCAATGCCCGCTAAGGGACATGGACCCTGGCCCTACAAAAAGCCCGGTGGGAGGGGGAAACCCTTGTTAGGCCCTGTTAGCGGGCTTTCCGGGGGGCATCGGTGCATTCTGCCGGATCTGCAACAGGAGGAGCGAGGTGATGTCCGGACAGATAGCGGAGCAATGCAACGCAACGTCGCTGTAGATGTAGACATAAAGTAGACTAATACTAAGACGATTAAGTTAATCTGTAACATATCATGCTCAGTCTTATTCCCAGCCTCGGTTGGTGGCGGCCGTCCCCAATGCTACCGCAGTCGCGACCATTTCCCAGGGGGTGCAACCAACACTCCTCTATCCGTACCTTTCTTTTCCCCTTCCTTCCTTCTCTTCCTGCAGTCCTCTTTTAACTTTTTTTGTTCTTCTCTCCTCAATCCTTCTCTTGTCGAATTTTTCTCTCCGGTTGTTATTCCCGGTTCAACATCATGGAGAGTGTTAACAAACCCAGCTTTGAGATGGGCAACAATGCCACCGTCAAGGCAGCAGGCGATGTCAATGTCTCGTCAAAGGCAGAGCCAGACTCTGGACGGAGCTCCACAATCAATTATCATGATAAAGATCAGTTGGAGCGGATGGGGAAGAAGCAGGTGCTTCGGGTATGTTACACCGTCCCCTCATTGAGATGCATCGACTGACAGACAGCTCAGCGCAACTTTGGGTTCATGACGATTCTGGGATTTAGCTGTACTATTCTCATCACTTGGGAAGCCATCACCGTTCTCTTCGCGCAGGGCCTCAACAATGGCGGTACTGCTGGTGTTATCTACAGCTTCCTTGTCGTTTGGGTCGGTAACTTTAGTGTCTTTGCTACCATGTGCGAGCTGGTCTCGATGGCGCCTACATCCGGAGGACAATACCACTGGTAAGTGACTCCGTGTCCATCTCTCAATCATCATCTAATGGTAATTCAGGGTCGCTATGATGGCGCCGCGGTCGTGTTCCAAATTCCTCAGTCACCTCACAGGCATGCTCACGGTCGGCGGATGGCAAGGCTCGGTATCGTCCAGCGCCCTGCTCACGGGCAACATGATCTTGGGAATGGCGACTCTCAATTATCCCGACTTCCAGCCTGAGCTCTGGCAGGGAACATTGCTGTTCTGGGCCATCTTTGGCTTTGCCGTCTTCATCAACACCCTCGTCAGTTCGGTGCTGCCCAAGTTTGAGGGATTGATCTTGATCCTGCACATTCTCGGCTTCTTTGCCATCTTGATCCCCCTTGTTACTCTTGGACCTCATGCTTCGGCATCGGATGTCTTTGGTACATTTGTTAACAACGGCGGATGGTCTACTAATGGCATCTCGTTCATGGTTGGTATGATGGGTAATGCCTTTTCCTTCGTCGGCACTGATGCCGCCTTCCACGTAAGTCCTCACCTCTCATCTCCATGAACTGTCACTGACTGTCCCTAGATGTCTGAAGAGACCGTCAATCCCTCCGTCGTCGTCCCCACCTCCATCCTTCTCAGTCTCTGTATCAACGGTGCCTGCGGCTTCGCGATGGTCATCGCGATGGTCTTCTGCATGGGCAACCTCGACGATGCCATGGCTTCAGGCCCCGGAATGCTCGGCTTCCCTTACATGTACATCTTCAAGCAAGCGACAAACTCAAGAGCCGGCGCGACCGTTATGTCCGCCATTATTGTTCTTCTCGCTGCTTGCGCTACTGTCGGTATGCTTGCATCGACATCTCGCGTCTTCTGGTCTTTTGCTCGTGATCGCGGTCTTCCTGGCTGGCGCACTCTGTCAAAGGTCAGCGACCGAACCACTGTCCCCGTGTACTCTGTTTTTTGCACTGCCGTCATCTCGATCCTGTTGTCGCTCATCAATATTGGATCGCCTGTCGCGTTCCAGAACGTCACTTCACTCTCCATCTCTTGCCTCTACTCCTCATATCTCATCGCCGCCGGTCTTCTACTGTACCGTCGCCTCACCAAGGGCTTCACGCTGCCCGGCGCATCTGATCTCCCAGCTTTGGCCAACACCACCGGCGCCGAACTTGTTTGGGGCCCGTTCCATCTCAAGGGCGCGTTTGGCATTGCCAATAACATCTTCGCCATGTGCTACCTCATTGTAGTTGGCTTCTTCAGCTTCTGGCCTCCCATGGTGGATCCTACTGTGGACATGATGAACTACAGTGTCGTGGTCACTGGCGGCCTTGTCATCTTCAGTGTCATTTACTACTTCGCCTGGGCGCGAAAAGAGTACAACGGACCTATTGTTGAGAACTAGATTCGTGGCTTTGTGATTAGTGGCGCGGCATCAAAATTTGTTTTCCAGTTGGCGATGCATAACAAAATGTTATTTCTTTGAAGAAAATCTATAGACTCTGTATATATCCCACGGATATTGAGATAGGATATCCCAATAATACGGCTATCTCAAAATTCTGGAGCTCTTTTTGTGTCACTCATTCTGTCATAAACGGATGAACTTGATCAAGACGTCAAAGCACTCGACGCTGCCTGATGATCATGCGGTCTTCTTGAAATTCTTTTGTCGCGATTTCCATGTCTCATACGCGTCGTCGGGCGTGTATTTCCGTTGAACTGGCTGGAGTCCCAAAGCCCATCCAGCCCACGAAGCAACAAGTAGAATGAGGTGTGAGACCAAGATATCGATGTTCCGTAATAAGCTCCTCAATCTCTGATCTTTCACTCCAGACAGATTAGGTGCGTTCAAGAATACAGGAATATTGTCCAGGGACTGGAAGATAATGAACAGGTTGAGAGGAATCCAAATATCGAGAAATAGTCCTTGCAGCCTTGATGGCAACCTGGATACCACCGATGTCTTATCACTCAACATTTTGGGGCTATTGAGGATAACACCATTGAGGTTCCAAAAGAAAATGGCTTTGTCGTTATCATCTGGCTCTGTCCTCTCAATCACGATGACCTCTTCGCCATCTGGTGCGGCTCGCTGCCATTCATGCCACGCATAGCGCGGGACTTTGATCTCGGGCTGGTTCCCATCGACAGCGCTGATGACTTGTCGCAAATCTCCTAGCCGAACTCGAATTGTTCCTTTCACCACTCTCAAGTACTCATCGTGAGTTTCATGCCAATGAAGACCACTTGACCAGGTCGAAGATTCGGGGAGTTTGATGCGTATTTGTCCGACGGTTGACATGTCGTAGATGACGCCGTTGGGAAGCGGGCGCTCGATGACATTGAGGACCTTCTGATCAGTCATTTCAGCATCTCGGATCAAATGCTATCACAAACAACTCAAGTTCCAAATGCCCAAAATCTTAATGATGCTGCCCCTCATTTGAAATAGGAAGTGAATGACATAAGCTGCCGGATTGGGCAGGTCACGAGCGTAAGCAGTCGGAATCCGGTGCGACAATTGACTTATTTGACCTCTCATCAGGGATGCAACGAGACAGCATAAAAGGCTTTCCTGATATTCAGTTTAACACAAGCACCTCAATCAATGGGTTGCCAATCTTGAGATGGAACCTTGCCAATGTCTTCGGTGAAAGTAACTGGCTCCCGTCGAGTACGGTTCACCTTCAGATCGAAAACATCCAAGCGCTGATATCCTCCAACAACATCATGATACTGCTTCCCTTCGATACAATCCTCGATATCAAGATCAGCATAAAGAATCCCTTCATCGCGCTGGAGAAAGTCAGTGGCTACAGCATCCCCAGTCTGACTGTCGATAGTGAACCCCTTCATAAGAGCTCCAGTTGGATCAAGAAACTGTGTCGCACCACGTTGAGACTGCTGCAGCACCTGAGCCAAGTATTCTGAACCTCCAGAAACTGCTTGAATGGCATCATTTCCCAGGACGCCTGAACACAGGACACCGAAACACTTGGCTTCGAAGCAATGAGCAGCCGCTCTTGTTCTGTTTGCGGTAACGTTATCGTAGTTGGGTTTATCTGAGGTCTTCTCAGAAGATCCAGAAGCTTCAACTGGCGGAGCAACTCGGGTTGGCCAAATCGGTGGCCAAGTTGAAATGTGAATGTTCTCTCCTTGAGCCATGAGGCTATACCGAGCCAAAGGGTTGGTATTCTCTCCACATATCAAATTTCCAATCTTTCCATATGGCGTGTCTGCAACGCGAAGGCCGTGTCCATCTCCAGGTGCCCAAGTAAGCTTCTCGAAGAACGTAGGCATCAATTTCCGATGATGAATCATGACCTTTCCAGTACTTGCAATGAAGAGGTTTGAGTTGTATAAAGTTGCACTGCTGAAGCGAGTTTTCTCAGAAAAGCCTACGCTGACCATGACGTTTGCCTCTTTTGCAGTGTTTCGAATGGTGTGGATTTCATCGCCATCAGCGAATATCGACTCATGCGCCATTTGCTTGAAAAGATGATGGTTCTCGGTGGGAGCCCGTATTGAACTCCAAATTGGGAACGCCGAAATGAATGTTTCCGGAAACATCACTAGATTTGCTTTGTTCTGGGCAGCCTCTTTGATTAAGCTGATTGCTTTTGAGGTCGTAGCCTTCGCGGAGAGGAAGATGGGAGAAACATGGCATGCGGCAACTCGAACGACAGTCATTTCGTATCTCTGTAGCCCGGTCTTAGCGACGTATGGAGAACCAGTCCTGTTGTATAATGCCAATAAGTCTCTAATGTACTTCTAATGAGTGGTGAACGTTGTGTAGCCACTGTGAGTGCCCCGGATGCTTAAAAGGTGGAGGAACGGCAATATCGGGTATCACGGGATGATAAGATCACAAAGGCTCGGAACTTCTTTTACGCTCCGCTCATCGTCAGTTACTACTTACTTAACATTGTGACCGGGAATTCAATTGATTGATCTATGTCATCTTGAGCTGGTTCAATAAACAGATCGAGTTAGCACTGGAGGCCTACCGACATGGCCTTTGCAGAGGCCTCACGCTCGCCTCTTTAGCAGCCTTTATTCCCCAACCTTGCCGTTCGTAGGCACCAAGGCATATTCTCAGACACAGTCACATTTTGATTCCAACATCTGAGTGTGAATGCATGACAAAGTGGCTGGTGCGATGGCATATATCTCTACATGTGTCCAGACCCTCAATACGCTGGGCTTTCTCTGAACAATTTGTATGCCTAAGCCATTTGGCCAAGAGAGGGAGAACTTCTGTTGGTTGGTACACCAATTAGAAACCTTCTTTTTTGAACCATTTTCAACCTATTGACCAATGGTGGTGTGCCATGATGTTGTTGGTCCAGCTGCGCCATCGGCCTTATATTGAGGCCGGGATGTACCTATATAACTAACACAACCTTATCTGACCTCGGTGCTTTGTTAAAATTTTAATCTCCTCATCTTTCGTAAGACCCTCATACTCGGAAAAGAACAAAACGTTATTTTTAACTCGCTTAACTCCTTTGAATCATCTGTCATAAACCTCTCCCTCATTGGCTTCTCCACATGCCTCAGCTGTTCGAGCCCAAAGCTGGCCAAGAGACAAATTTCGCGTTTAATAAGACTCCAACTTATCTTTTCCGTCTCTACGATACTAAGTCAACTGGTTTCACGAACACCGACTGCGTTAAATCTCTAGCTGCCTCCAAAGGATCGAGTGATGAGCTTATACAGGATCCTTCCTGCGGTACCGATCTTTTACAGCTTCCCCCAAGAGTGGCCGGTACCAGACTGGGATACCATTTGTTAAAATGCAAAGACTGGGAACATAATCCATGCAACCTGATGTCCTGGTCAAGCTCTCTCCTGTTTCTCCTCCAGTACGGCTTGCATCGCACTACTCCGAGATCCGAAATAAATTCAGAGCTATCAGAGATTAAGTTAATCATGATTGACACTCGAAACTTTCCAAGTCAGACGTTTCTGCGGGATATCGATGCTCTAAACTGTTATTATCCATACGATCGGTATGTAGAGAAAGTGAGAGGTTGGCGAATGGACGACCTTTACTTCGGAGAATACCTTAGTCAGGGATGCCTCGATATCAGAGGGAATTGCGTACAGATGACGATGCAGCAGCTCATTGATGGGGGACTTCTCACAGTCATTTGTCCAGCGTTGGACCGGAAACCAAACTGGAGCTACTGGCCGACTGCCGTTCGAGCGTTGCGAAAGGGTATTCGGAATAACGATGCAGTCGATGCAAAGCAAATTCGGACTGCTATATCTCTAGGCCAGGTATATGGGGGGGACAAATTTGCCATCCCTCTCGCACTAATGCTACTGGGGCTACGTAGTCAACCTTCAGATGATGAACTGATTCTCAAGACCTTCAGCTACTTGTTTACTGGTAAGTGTGTTTTTTACTATCCAGTTCTCAGCTTACATGTCCACTTAGATGAGGAGCTGGATTTGGGAGAAATCAAATACGAGGTGGAGGCTAAGCGGATGCTGTATGGCGGGACATCGGTTATGGAAGAGCTGAAGCGCTTTCAAGAGTTGATGGAAATGATCAACAATTTTTCGAATGACGCCGTCGAGAAGAAAGAGCAGGAAGATGTCGTCGCAACTATGTCGGACTCCTTTGTGAGACTGACAACCAATGAGTCGCCAAATGCGATCTTTAGCAGCAGGCCACACAGGTTTCGCAGGATTTTTGAGAATGCATAAACGACTCGATATAGGTTTATACAAATCGACGGCCCCAATTTCACATGACTATTACACTTGGGAGTATTTGGTGCTTCCTGTCATGAGCAGAGGAATATAAACATATACAGATGTACTAGATGTACTCAAGTAATTGTTGCCTGCGAGCTTTCGATCGGTGGCAATCGCAGGTTCTATCCTATGAGACCGACAATAACCATCGAGTCGGCAGTGGCAAGGACAGGTATTTTAAGATCAAAATATGTAATTTCAGAGATCCCAATCTTACACGTTATCTCTAGGAATTGTATACGAAAAGTCCCTCCCAAAGACGGCCTTCTCATTCTCGTACGCATCAAGACGAGCTGTAATGATCATGTCAGTTTTCGTCGTCTTCATCTTCGTCCAACCCGTCGTCTTGATAACAATATCATCTCTCTCAAAGTCCCTCTGAAATCGCTGCTCAACCTCCGCTGACAACGGATCATCTGGCTTTATACTCGACTTCAAGCCTGTCCACCATCCATATTTCCAACCTGTTTCGTTGACTTCCCACATACCATCGTCGCAGTCCACGCAGAGAGCAGTCTCGCCAGAATCCCAATCGTTCGTGACATAGTTTCTGTGCTTCGCTGGTCGGATCTCAGTTTGTGAGAGGGATCCGTTGACGGCTGGTTTGAAAGGTTTGAGGTGAGAATCTTGAGGGTTGTCGTCACGTTCTGGGAGATCTAGAGTGCTGTGGGCACAGTCGATCGTGAGTGTCGTGACCTCGGGAGATGGCCAGACTAAGGGGAAGTACGTCGAGGACAACGCAAGACGAAGGCGACTTCCAGCACCGATGCACTGCCCAAAGTGATTCAGTTTGAGGGTAATGTCATAGAACTTCCCAGGCTCTAGAGGTCGCACGTCTTCATGGCCATGCCGATGTGTCAAGTTGAGAACGCCATGAGAGACTTTGGTAGCTGCGCCGCTCGGTAGTACTTCCGACAAGGTCGCTGCAACGAGAGCATTTGCCTTGTCACTCGCAACGCGCAGCTTCAGAATAGGAGCCCCGAGCAAGTTCATAGGTTCAGTCAAAACTGGTGTGTCGAAAACGAGACTTCCTCCAGCTTCCAAACGTTGATCACCAGGCCCTTCGCCCTCAACTCCGAAGACTAACCATCTACCGCCCGCAAATCCCACTGTTTGAGGGGAGCAGATCTCAAGCTTCTCGTCGCTGCCTGAATTTTCGGTCGTCAACTCTCCAGGAGAAAGACCCAGCCTCAGAAAAGAAGGCTTCGAATCAGACCAATCATCCTCCGCGACCCAACGTCCAGGTCGATGTTTCATATACGGGGCAGGAGGGGTCGGATCTTGAAGATAGCATCGAAGCATGGGTTCATGCATAATCCCCGTCTCGCTTCCTTTCAACCACTTATCCCACCACCTAACTGACTCCTGCAGGAACCCAATCTGCGGCCCGGGATATCCAAAGTTAGGGTACTTGTGCCCCCATGGACCAACAAGGCCTTTTCTAGGCACCTTCAAGTTCTCCAACATCCTGAAGATGGTGTTGGTATAAGGATCCATCCATCCGCCAACCAAATACACCGGACATTGGATGGAGCTGTAGTCCTCGCCAATGGACGCGTGTTTCCAGAAATCGTCACGCCTCTGGTGCTGATGCCATTCTTCTGCGAACAGGCCACCTGACTCAAGTCGTTTCAACCAGAGATCCCGCCACTGATCACCGACTATTGCCGGGTCGGGAGGCGACGAGTTGATTGAAAACATAGAAGCAGCCCAGGTCAAATTTTCTGTCAAGATACAACCGCCCATATAATGAATGTCGTCATCATAGCGCATATCAGTGGAACAGATGGATATAACAGCCTTGAGCTCAGGTGGTCGACGAGCAGCAACTTGTAGCCCATTGAAGCCGCCCCATGAGATGCCTATCATGCCTATTGATCCAGTACACCAGTCTTGCCCAGCGATCCACGTCAGAATCTCTAAAGCGTCGTCTTGTTCCTGCGGCAGGTATTCGCCTCGTAGAATACCTTGAGAATCACCTGTTCCTCGCATGTCAACGCGGACGCAAGCATAGCCGTGAGCTGCAACGTATGGATGGTTCATAGCATCGCGAACGGCGGTCATGTCTCGCTTTCTGTATGGTAAGTATTCGAGAATTGCCGGGACAGGGTGTGATTTGGCGTTTTTGGGTAACCATATCATAGCTGACAAGGCTGTCCCATCACTCAGCGTGATGGGCTCATGATAGATGATGTCAATTGCTGGGAGCTGCATCGTGAATGTTCCCAAAATGCTGCAACGCTTGGCGAGACCCTGTTGTATGAGACGATCCTTTTATTTTGCCTGGTCAATGGTCATGAACAGAGACACAATGCCGAGAATTAGTAAGGGAGAGAAAGTAGACCTCATTGGCAAGGCAGCTTACTCGTCTAGGAAGGCAATCTAATCACCATCGGCCAACCACCTAAATATCTCAATCTCATAAAAAGACACTTGCTCCGCCGAGCGGCCGAGTTCCAGGTTACATCGCGACCGATTTATCATGTTATTCCCCGCTCTTCAAACCAACCCCGCCCCCATTCATGCAGATCACGACTCCATACGGATTGATAGTGATGCTTATCGCTGACCCAAGGATACAATTACCCTTCTGAGCTTCGCTTTATCTCAAAATTACAGGCCATCGGGTGCACTTTTAATACCCGGGCAGAGTTGGCCGATGAGGTATTATATAGCGAGATACTGTGTTCGACGCGTATAACCGGCGTATAAAATTGCGGCCGTCGGATAAGACGGTATTTAGCTTGGTTTCCTATTTCCAGGTCTCAGATAAGATCGCTGAAAGGTTTGTAACAAGTTAAAGGTGACCTGGTATCCGAGCTTTGTCGATCTTTTGATCATGTATGACACTTTTTCCACTCAATATCCCATGCTAAAAGGTGAACTGTCACTTCGCTCACAACATGTCAGCTCTCGAGATTACACCCGCAGCGGCGGGTCATGAGCTTGATGACACAAAGAAGGTTAACATAGAAGACATTCAAGATGTTGAAGTCGGAGATGTCAGAAAGCCAGATCTATACAGCAAGGTCTCGGTCTATTTGACCATGGTCTTCTCGGGTCTCGCCTTGGGATCAGATGGCTAGTAAGCGCAAGCATCCCATTACACTCTGTCCATACAAGCTCTGACAAGAAACAAGCAATGCTGCAGTGATTGGCAACCTCGAACTTCTCTTCGCGACTCTCTATCCCGAAGCCCTAACATCAACAATGCGATCCCGCCTCTCTAACGCCTTCCTTATCGGTATGATTGTCGGCATGATTGGTTTCGGCGTTGTGGTAGACCAACTGGGTCGCAAAACCGGCGCCGTCATGACAACGCTCATCCTCCTCCTTGGTATCGCGTTGAGCGCTGGCGCAAGTGGTTTAACCACAACTGGTCTGATGTGGATGCTCGTCATCGCTCGTGGAATAGCTGGCGTAGGAGCAGGAGGAGAATATCCCGTTTCAGGCGCCGGCGCGATGGAGGCTTCTGATGAGGATGGCCAGTTTCGCAAGTCGAGAGGGTTCATGTTTGCCATGGTTGCTGATCTCTCTGCGGGACTGGGATATACTTTCGGTGCGCTTGTTCCGTTGCTCTTATTGCTTTGTGTGCATCAACGAACGGATCGATATGAGACTGTTTGGAGAGTTGCTCTTGCACTGGGTGCTGTTCCGCCACTGTCTATCTTTTGGTTCCGATTGAGGATGAGGGTATCCACGGCGTATCGAAACTCAGCCTTGCGAAAACAAAGAACGCCGTATGTTCTGATCTTCAAGAAGTATTGGAGACGCATCATTGGCGCGGCGCTGAGTTGGTTCCTGTATAACTGGATCTCAATTCCCTTTGGCATCTTTAGCTCTGTCATCATTTCAAGAGTCAATGCTTCGAACTCGCTTGTCCAGAACCTCGGTTGGGGAGCCCTCATCAACAGCTTCTACCTGCCTGGTCCTTTCATCGGCGGATACCTGTCTGATAAGATCGGAAGGAGAAAGACTATGGCTTTGGGATACACTCTTCAAGCTGTTCTCGGCTTCGTGCTTGGTGGCGCCAACGAGCAGATCCAGAAAGTCTTTCCGTTGTTCGTGGTTCTATATGGCATCTTCCTCACTCTAGGTGAAGTCGGCCCTGGAAGGTTTGTGCACGCTCGAGGACCCATATCCTACCAGTTGTGCTAACATTCCTGCAGTACTGTTGTCATTGTGGCGACAGAACCATTCCCAACTTCGGTTCGAGGCCATGCTCTTGGCTTCATCTCCGCATGGTCGAAAGCTGGTGCTGCCATCGGTACTCAGGTAAGTCGTCCCTTTGTCTCTGTTATTCTTACAAATGCTAACTCGGTCAGGTTTTCACTGCTATCCTCAGCTCATACACCGATACCGTCAAGGGCAATCAAGTTGTCTTCTTAATTGGCTCAGCATTCGCAGTTCTGGGCGCACTCAATGCATGGTTCGTTGTTCAAGATGGCGAGAAACATCTCGAAAAAGAAGATCAAATCTGGAAGAATTATCTCGAGGAGAATGGATGGGATGCTAGTTGGGGTGACCATCAAACACAAGATCCTGTCGGAACCTTGAAGGATGAACTCAAGCCGACATCTTGAGTCGAGGATATCGATAGGTTATGGTAGTAGTAGTGGTGCTTCCCCTCTCGACAATCTCCAATAATTCGTCGAGTTCAACAATTCCTGGCAATTCATGATCGTCCACCCCCATTTTAGCAAGAAGTCTGGTGTTATCTCCCAACTGTTTATCAGATGAGGCTCTCCCCAAAGAATAAGCCCTGAGCCTGAAGCCACTGTCTCCAGGCTACCGGAAAGATTTCTATTGTTGGTAGTAACTGGCAGAAAAGGTTTCTTAAACAAGTCCAAATTGATCAAGGTCCCGACCAAATCTCTGAGAAAGTCAACGTGGCTAAAATTGAACTCGTTGCTCATAAGATTCTCCCGCATTATCGGACAAGGAAGACAATCGATCCAAGAAAAGTGATTGAGTCTCATCTGACTCTGTGTTGGTGCCAGCGAGCCACGATATTCTGGCGTCTTAGGCAGTATGGAGGAATATCTTGGAAAGGCGAAGCCAGTTGCGATCGAAGGACCTGGTGCATAATAAGCCACTGTCAAGCTATCCACCATGAATTTGTTCCGCCAAAGTCCACGAAACACATTGTATTTGACAATATGTATCAGATGATCGATTGGGAGAGGGAACCATAGCTGTTGGTTCCGCGTCGCTACGCTGCTGCTTTCTTCTGTACTAGTTTGTGTTCTCGTGACTGAGGCTACAGTGGACCTTTTTGGAGGCCTTGGGGCTTTTGTTGAACCGAACTCATCAAGCCTCCAGCGAGTTACTTGGTAATTTTGTCGCCCGTCTCTGCTTCTCAACTTCTCGCCTGTCACTTTACGTAACCCTAGTATAACCTGGTCAACTCCATGACTCTTGACTCCTCTGATGGCGTTTAGAGTATTCAGTATATAAAACAGCAAGACTGCAATAATCAAGATTTACGCCAATTAGAACAAGTGAGATACGTACTCGAAGCTCGTTTGTAAAGTCGATTCTGGACTTTCTTTCTCCGTTTGGCCGCTTCATCCGACGCATCGTGCAGTCCAAGCTTCGGCTGCGTGGCGTCATTAAGCGACTCGGTTTCTGTCGCTGGAGTTGCCATGGTCAATTCAGCCTACTATATGGGTCAGTCTACCTATAAAGTAGGGCGAACAAAGGATGAAGGAATACAGGAGTAAACTCGTATGTCGAAGAGTTTTGTCATCAACATTCGTCGATTACCTGAGGCTATACCGAAAGAGGCAAAAATGTCAGAATCACGACACCAACAGGAGTTTGGAGCTAGGCTCAAATTGGGAAAAAGGTCAGGTCCTGTAAGACTCACTACGCAAAGCAAGAAACATGATTGTCGACAATGGAAGTCTGAAATATTATAAAGAGCTCATTTATCACCTTGAGAGTTCTCATAATTGCCAATCGGTTGCTGTATAGATTGACTCATTATCATCATGTCCTCAATCGTCGGCTTCCTCCGCCGTAATTGGCAAGCCTCCTCTCCACCAGAACCACCAAAGAACACCAACGCCATCAAATTCGGTATCCTTGGGGCAGCGAAAATTGCGTAACTAGCCAGGATATTTCGATATTCGAGTCAGTAATACTGATGCTTTACAAGGGCAACCGCTTTGATCACTCCAGCGAAATCTCACCCTGACGTTGAGATCCATGCTGTAGCGGCTCGTCAGAAAGAAAAGGCCGTGGCATATGCTAAAAAGCATAATATTCCTCATGTCCTCGACAGCTACCAAGGCACACACTCATACTAAACTAATGTTCTTTATTAAGCTAACTTGGTCTTTCTAGCAATCCTCGATGACCCCTCCATTGATGCTGTTTACATCCCCCTTGTCGCCAGCTTACACTACGAATGGGCTATCAAAGCCATTGCCAAAGGAAAGCATGTGCTTATTGAAAAGCCAGCCGCGGTCAATGTAGCCGAAGCAGAGATGATATTCCGATCACCGCTGTTACGACAGCCCAATGCACCTGTTCTTCTTGAAGCAATGCACTTCCGCTTCCAGTCGAGTTGGCTATACTTTCTCAGCTTGATGGACAGCCAGAACATACAGACTGTCGATAGCTGTGCATCGCTGCCCTCGTATGTTATACCTAAGGGTAATGCACAGCTCGAGTATAATTTAAGCGGCGGCACTATGCTTCATCTTGGCACGTATCCTATGTATGCACTGCGTCAGATCATGGGTGACGAGCCAGAGGAGTGTACGGCATGCAAAGTTAGGAAGCTTCCTCCTCCTGAAGATCTCTGCGATGAGTTTGCTGAGACAAGCTTTCGATTTCCAGGTGGACGAGTTGGGAACGCTACGATAAACGCGCGAGCATCAGTCACCACTCTCCCAACCTTCAACATATCTGTGTCTCAAAAAGAGATTAAGGTTGAGGATATGTCACTTCCGAGAGGACAAACCAAGTGGAAGCGCAGGAAGCTAAGCTTCAGCAACTTCCTTATATCGTCCTTTTGGCACCGCATTGACATCGTGGACGAGTACAGCATTCGGGATGAGACGAATGAGAAAGACCTGAAGGGATGGACAGTCAAGCAGTCCAAGAAGATCTATACGTTCAAAGACGCCGGAATTGATCAACCAAGTGAACCATTTTGGTCATCATATCGTCATCTGCTAGAGCAGTTCGTCAATCACGTTCGCGGGAATAAGGGCTCTGGACTTTGGGTTAACCATGAGGACAGCATTGCGCAGGCGAGAATGATCGACATGGCTTATGAGAAGTCCGGACTGCCCTTGCGGCCAACAAGCAAGTTTAGACCTGAAGAGTCTATGAACACCTTGATGGGTTGAACTTGTTGGCGGTGAGGGCGGCTTGCTCGGGCTTGAGCTGTGCCAGTCTTGGAATGCTCTCAGCAGCCACCCTAGACACAAGCGGAGCAACGGCTCCGCCAAACTTGTCTTGGAAATCGCTTGTGAGATATGCTTAACCCTAAATGGTGAGGCTGAATCCCCAAAATAAATGCGTCGACGTTCATTTCGCCCTGTTGACTTAATAAATCTGTGTATGATTGAGACACTTTTTCGCCTTGTTGCTCCCTGCATAACGCAGCCAAAAAGTTCAAGTCGGGCAATCCCCTCAATTGTCTGCCCCCTTGCCTAGATTCAGCTCTTGTTGCCCGTAAGCTGTTCATTTTCCGAAGAAGCCGTAAATCCCCCAGCGGCAATTGTTAGTTGCTTCGGAAGCCAACGCAAATCTGTACGGCATTTTCCTTATCCATAAGCCAACGTGACATAAATCCCAAGCAGTTGTAACGTCACAGGGTAGCACCAAAGGCTAAATCTGGGGGAGCGGGTAAGCCCGAGACCCTTGACCCCTAGACACGATGGATGCCGATGTTCCGAAATAAACGATCAACTTCCCCAGCCACGGCGTCATTAATTGGAACGTGGTATTCAGAAATAGCAAGCTCTCTACGCATCGGGACAAGCCTTTTCAATAATCTACGGCGTGGAATGATCGGTGAACAATACGAACAGCATCTCAAAGTCCCAGTGGTTTGCCTACAAGGGGACTAGGCTCGCGGCCAAAAATAGCTACGGTTCTAACTGGTCGTCTCACGCGAAATACGAGATGTACCTAACCACTTCGGGGCTGATCATGCTATAGCTCCATACGAGATTCTGGTCTTTGCCCACGTGAAGCTTTAAGTTGGGGATTTAGCGTGGTAATTCAGGGTCGTAGCCTCGGGCGGAGCGGCACTATGGCTCGAATGGACCCTTCGAGATTCTCGTGGCTGATCTGCCATGCCATGGACTTCAGAGCCTCAAACTCGTATACTGCCAAAGGTCATGTAATCGTCTCATGATTGAAATGTTACATTCCGTGAGACAAAAAACTATATAAGGAGGGAGATACACCAGCAGTAAATTGTTTTCTCATCAGCTTCAACTCAATCACTCTTCACTCGCTTCAATCACAATCGCTACCAACACTCAACTACCTTAATAGTAAGCGACTTCTATCAAGTGTACATCCCAGACAATAAAATCTCCCAGAACCACCAAAAAACCTCCCCCAACCATCATCATGCAGTTCTCTCTCGCCTGTCTCGCCGCCATCCTGGCCACCAGCGTCTCTGCTGCTCCCGCTCCCGCCGTCAACATGATGGCCGCCAGCCCCCAATGGACCATCGAGAACATGCAGCGAAGCTGCGCCAAGGACGACAGCTCCTGCACCTGGAACTTCAAGATCGACACCCACAAGGGTGCCGCCACCGGCTGCAAGTACGTCGTTAAGGGCAGTAAGGCGTCTCAGCGCAACGGAGGACCGGTCAAGTGCGGTGACTTTACCATCACCTCTGGCTGGAGTGGCCAGTTCGGTCCTGGAAACGGATTCACCACTTTCTCTGTTGTTTCTTCCAAGCGACAGATCGTCTGGCCTGCTTATACCGACAAGCAGGTCCAGAGCGGAAAGGTTGTTAAGCCTGATCAGTCTTATACCCCTGCCAACCTTCCCAACTAAGCAATGGGAGATCTCTGGCACCAGTACATAGCAGCATGGTTTAGATGTGGAGATTCATGTTATTAGCCGCAATGTCTTGGATGTTCAATGCAGTATAGTCATTAATACATATGTAAACATCGGTCGGGACAATGGAACTCAGTGACAATTTTATTGCGTGGTGGTGCCGTAGAAAACAGGAACATGAAAAAGGCAGTACTGTCCGAGTTCCTCACCAGGGTCTCTGACCATACTCTCTCAGACTTAACTCTACCTCTAGATGAAATTTCGAAGAATTTGCTCGCCCAACTTCAAATGTGGCAGAAGATCCTGAAGACTTTTCAACTTCATCGGAAAACTGCTACACTTGGCGTCGAACCCACTCTGACCCGTCCTCAACAGATCTTTCCAACTCATTTCCACAACTGAAGAGATCTCGCGGTCCTCGGTGCTCTGCCAAATAATACGACCTTGGTATCGATCGAGTCTCTCGTACCGGAAAACGTCGGCGGGACCAGCTTCGAAATTCCAAATTTCTAGAAGTTGGAGTGCGTGCATCTTCGTCACTGCCTCTGCAGTATCGACTAAGAGGCCCTCAGAATAATTACTGAAAGAAGACGTAAGTGCGAGAGTCTTCAGCGCTTTGAAATCTGTTTGTGTAAACCTATCGAATAGTGTCTGTGCGTCGAAAGCAAAGGAGACAGCGATATGCTCAAGACGATCTGCGGCGTCGGAGATGGAGTCCAGAAGTGTGTTGCTTGGTCGTGGCAGCACCATTTCCCCACTCCACTGGTGATATGGGGTATGGAATTCTTCAAAATATGTCAACCGTTTCGCTGAATCTGGGACTAAAAGCCCTGTTCGCTGGAAAGCTACGAGGTGTTGGTATTATGGACATTACAGAAGTGTAGGAAAGGAAAGATACATACCGCGATCCCAATTTCCATCTTGCAAACGAAGGCCATAACACCATCTCTCAAGATGAATGGATTCGATACACGGGGCAGACGAGATGATCTCATAGAGAGTCGCTGGAGATATGTTTGGGTGGTATTCTCTCCGAATCACCAGCTCAGCTATGGCATCAACGTTGGGCAGACTCGAGGCCCCCTGTAGCGGGAAGGAAGTTCGGTCGAAGCGAGCAGAGTTTGTCCCCATAAAATAAGGACCGAAAATAGCCCAAAAGTCGATCAACTCCGCAAAACGTGGGTCACGGGTGCGGGAACGGTCCAAAGGGTAGTGCTGGGAGGCGCCGATTCGATCATGTGCGTTCCTGAGAGTCCTCGCATGAGAAGAGACAATGCCCAGCTCCACTGCAACACGGCATACTTTCCATCTTGAGAGGATACGCCAAAGGGCGTGCACCGCTTTTGAAAATCGAACTTTTTGACTATCTTCCAACTCATCGCGGTGAAAGTTGTATGAGATCTCAAGAAGAATATGCTTGACAAGTAGCTTACGGTAGGATCGGACATACTTTTTGAAGGAGCCTAGCTCATGTGACGTTATCTTTATATGGCTGTATGTTTCCTTCTCTATGAGAGATTGCCAGGTTTTGGATACGGTGGCAAAGGTCGATAAGCGGGAGGTTGGGTTCTTTGATTGCTTGTGCGTCTCTATCAGAGCCTGGGCGATGTATAACTCGATCTCGGGAGGGACCCTAGTGCAGGATGATGCACTCTGTACAACGGCTGTGGTGGGAGAAATCATGGTGCAACGTACTGCCGTATGAGTATGGCTACACTGAAAGGTGGTGGGTAACCTGGAAGTCTGTTAGTTTGGGATATCGAATGGGTTAATAACGAGAAAAATAACTGGTCGTTTGAGAGGGGATAAAACAAATTCAGATTTTTTATTCTTTAAAGTTAAAGTTTGTGAGCTTACGCTCTATGTAACTAATTGGAATACTCCCGCGTTCGATCCATCCATGACACATATCAAAAGCCTCCAAATCATTATCGGAACGACTCATGTACACTTGTGGATAGAGAACAGATGTGTTATTCGCCGTTGGGACCCTTGGCGGAGAGCTAAAAACCACAAAAAAAGTATTTGAGTCAGAAGCAAGATTTTGAGCTAAGTTTTCGGTAGTGATCAGGGCTCATAAGGCATGAGGCGCAAGCCACTTTTATGCTAATACAGAAGAAAGACCGAAGCGAGATTCATCAAATATGTGAAAGGTTTGTGATTTACAGCCAAGATCTTGCTGAAAGCCTCTGCCTGCGAAACGGAAAGAAGCCAAAAATAATAAACATATCTGGCTCACATTGTAAGTTCCGAAACCCAGTTCCTGGTAGATGCATGGAGAATCTTGTCTTTTAGCATCAAATGCGGCAACATGTCCGAAAGGGTAACGATATCGGCACGGGCGAATCGGTGCTCCTCCATCTCAAGCGTGTAACCCTCCCTACCAGCGAAGACATTCTTCCAGGCTCTGGATATACTTGGATGGAGCCTACGATGACCGCAGGTCTGCCAACTAATCCGACCCCTGGCCGCGCCGAGCTTCTCGTACCTAAAGATATGAACTTGCAGTCCTTGCAGACCTAGCTCCCATACCTCCAACATCTCGAGCGCGGGCATTCTCATGACGCTTGTGAGGCAATCTCCGAGAACTTTTTGCTAGGGATTCCGTTGAAACGATAAGTTAGTGCCAATGTTCTTAGCTTTTTAAACTCTACTTCTCTGCAGCGATCCAAGAAGTCTTCGGCGCTGACGGCGTAAGATACGGCGATATGTTCGAGATGGTCCGCGGCTTGCGAGATGAGATCCAGTAGCTCCATATTGGCTGTTCTTCCTCCTATCTGAGGGTACAGACTAACGCCGTGAAAATAGGAAAGTTGTTTCATTGAAGGTGGGAAATTGAACAACATCGAAGAAGCTTTCAAGTGTCAACATTAACAAAACCAGGAGCTGGGGAGGGAATTACATACCACGACTGTCGCAAATGCCGAACACATTCCACCATCTCTCTATGCGTATAAACTCAATAGCGGTAGTGGACGATATTACGCTAGAAAGAATATTTCTGAAGATATCCCAGTCGCAATCTTCGTGCCAGGAGGGGTTTGTACGGACTTTGAGGGTCATGGATTTGACAAATTGTAGCCGCCCTCTTTGAACAAAGCTCTGGAAGACGGGGAGCTCCTGTACACTCAGTTTAAAGTTCTGAAAAGTGTGCTTCTCCACGATGCGTTGCCAAGTTTCAGAGACAGTGGCCAAGGGTGTCAAGCGTTTCTCGTCGTGCTTGTAGAGCTCTATTAGATCATTGACTATAAAGAGCTCGACGTCGAAAGGTAGTCTGGGACATAATACAGGGATCCGCAAGGCTGTTGAGTCTAGATTGGAGGCCATGATATTGATGCAAGGGAGGCATAAACGTGATAAACGTGATAAACGTGAAATGTTGCGGGAAGCTGGAAAGTACGGAATTGAATTTTGCAGGGCGAGGGCCAGACTTTATAGCCCCCCCTGGGTTAGCAAGTAAAGTTACGTACTCGACGTAGTCCACAAACACAGTATTGGTCCCGCTAGAAATGCTCAACGTTTTTGACTCGAACTTAGTATACCGAGCGACTACATCCTCATAGGAAGCTGAAATGAAATCACCGAGTAAAGTTCGAGTTCACATCCGTCAGCCAATTAAAAGTCCCCCAAGAAGCTTGTGACTCTGAATGATCATCTGGTAGCTCCTGAAACCCCCTCATCTCTGAGCTTGTAGCATCAAGACCGTAGAAATTCATACGGTTCCCCATCTGACGTCCTGATAAGAGGAGATCCTGGCCCAAGTTATCGTTCCCGTGAGAGAAGCACCCCAAGCTAAAGATGTTGATGGCTGCTAGGGTCGTGAGACTGTCTGATAACCTTTCCGCGCGATATAGTCGCTCTGCGTCGTTGAAAAAGCTATGCGCAAGGGTGGCTGCTCTGCCATCGGATGCGGTGTGAGCGAACTACTGGGGCATTAGTGGGCAAAACAAGGAGACGGGAGAGTTACTTACGCAGGCAAGGTACAGTATCGAATTGACGAGAAAGGCAGAGCAGAATGTAGGGTTGTGCTGCACCAGGTCTGTGAGGAACAAATCCTTGTTGATGAAACCAACGGCAGAGTTATCTGTCTCGAGAAACGTGGAGATGAGCATTGACGCGGACCGGTTACTTATCGGTACGCGTGTCCAGTACGAGACGGAAAGCTCGTTCAAGCGAAGATCGCAGTGTTCCTTGGGGCGGGCTTCATTGAGTAGGACAAGATCTGGTTTCCCCTTTTGCGAGAGTGTCAGAAGGTCTAGGATAGCATCTTTTGGAGAGGAAGGCGTATTGATGGGTGGTGAAGGAAGAGGAGCGGGAGACGGTGAGTTGTAAATAGGTAGCACGTTGGGATAGATCGCTGCGGGAGAAGCGACTGGCGTTCTGGGTAAAATGCCACGTATTGTCGTCGAATCTGATGGCCGTTGTCTAGCCATTAAACTCGGTGACGGAGACCTCTTCCGCTTCCCTTGGCCACCCGGATTTCGAGCATGTTCAATGACGGTCCCAAAATCATCACCAGCCTGTATCCTCCGCAGCAGGTCTTGATTTGTTGTCCCGTCCCGCTTCCTCAAACTCTGAAACAAATTCCTAAAGCTTCTGTTCTCATCCTCCAACTCTTTGACCCTCCTTTTAAGCTGGTTCGAGTGCATCTCGCGATCATTAGCAATATCAGCGTAGTTGCACTCGGCCCCACGTCTTTGACACGCAGCACATGTTGGAAACTCGCCTGTGCACTATATATGGTAAGCGTCAGTTCATCGGGGAGACGGGAGACATACCCTGACTTTTCTACTCCTGCACGCGTCACAAGCTATGGCGACAGCGCGTCGCTTGGGGGCGAGAGTAGGGGCGCCTTTGCTGAATGGCAGGGTTCGATCGCGGGGTAAAAGTGGAGGATAGTTCATAATACCGAGTAGATTTGACTCGATAACTTCGTTCATGCACGGACTTGTTATGTTTCTCATGGATGGATTTGTTTGTGTTGAAGGGGGATTCGCAAATTGTTGCGTCATGGGGAGATGGGTTTGTGAGATGTCGATCGGGGTCAGGAGTGGAATGCCGAACGGAATGGCCTCCGTGTCTGCTCATTGGCTGCATTATTTACCAGGGCCTCTCGCTAAGCCAGGCGATATTAACGGGACGGATCAACGATATCCATTTCAGGCTTGCTTTACGGATTGAAATATCTGGTACAAACATGGCTAGTACATCATCAGGAGGTAGATCAATGATTGTCGTCAAGTCCAACGCTCAAAAAATCAACTACAAAGCGGTATGAATATGCTGGTATTACAGAATCACACAGAAGCCGCAGCTACACAATATCATCTCCGTCTCCCCCTCATCAGGCGACCGTCTAAACTGAATCCTAACCTTATCCCAGATCCTCAACCACGACGCAACAATCACCAATTTACACTGCTCATCCAATTCCTTCGCCATCTCCAAATCCGTAAACTCAAATCGTGTAGGTTTATCAGACCCCATATTCAGCGCACCCACCGCCAACACTTCAGGTCTCAAGCCCACGTACAATTTCCATCCTTCGCCATCACCAAGATTCCTCCACTCGAAACTTGTTCGCTGCGGGGTGTTGACGTTGAAAGAATGTGTTGCGTTTCTATCGCCCAGGAGACGGTAGTACATGGTGATATGTGATGGAGGAGACTTGTTGATGAATTCGAGCTCAGCGCTGTGGCGGGAGTATTTTACTGTCGCCAAGGGAGATGCATTTTCATCTTTCCGCGGGAGGAGATTGACTCTTGCTTCGAAATCGTCGTCTGTGTTTTTGTATGTGCATGCGATTGAAAGTGGCGTGCTCCCGGAGTTTCCGCGTATATTGAATTTGACCTCTGACTCGCCTTGTTTATGGATGGTGAAAGACGTTGGCATAATAAAATCCTCATGTTGATTTGATGTTGAGTACCCTGGAGGAGGAGGGAGTACCTGCAGACCAACTTCATCTTGACCCATGGCGACGAGATAATATGGGGTTGTGAAGTGAATTAGAAATAGTGCTGAGTCTTGGCTTTATATACGGGATCGTGCGGCTGAGATCATGACCTTATACGAATGGGCGTTTGTTGTTGCGCCACTGGGTCATTTCTTTGTCGTGATGCCCACGTGTTTCAATCTCTTTGTCTCGTAGGTCGCTGAATCCAAGGACCACCAACTAACTTAGGCTTTCAGCTTATTTTGCTCACAACTGCCTCTACTTTGAGCTTAGCGTCACTCTAGCGGTCGTGACCATTTCGACAATCATATAATAAGCTTAACTTAAGCTTAACTTTCTTGTCAAAGCAGCACGATACGAAATGAATACAAAGGCAGGGCAACAGGGAAGAAGCCGCAGTTATGCCAGTCATGGCACTGTTGGAGCCGAACTGAGGAACATATTTGTGACCACTAGGGCAACGCACGGAGATGAACACCGACTGGCCAGCACAGTCGTTTCGATTGATCACAATGAGGATGTAGACAGGAGAAGCGCTGGGGACGATCTAGAGGGGACAAAGTCCATTGACGTAGCCTTCGCCCGCAAACTGCAACCGGCGCAGAAAGCCAAGGGGAAATGGTTCTGAAGTTGTGAACTATGCTTGTTCGCTACTTCTTGCTGGATTCCTGTTTCCTCGTCTCTCTTTGAGCTTCAACACGACTTCGTCCCACTTTGAATTCATTCGACTCATCAACTGATTCCTCTTAGTAGGCACAAGATGGAACCCAAAAAGTCCGAGGAATGCCAATGCATAGGTCACTCCGCTCAGAACCGCAAAAACAGTCCAGAAAAGCCTTCGCGTAGCTTGGTCTGTGTCGAAGCTGAAAGCATCCATTCCGAAAAATGTCTATAACTCATTTATCAACCAAGTTATCCATTCCATAGATGAGTAAATCACTTACTGCGGCGAATGTTGGGGGAAGAAATACGATAGTCACGATCGTGAAGACCAGCAGGTACCTGTTCAGCTCGAGACCCTTTTGAGCTTCTTTCAAAGAATTCTGCGCTGCCGTAATGGACTGAACGTTGAAAAGCTACTCATTGTAAGTGATCATGCTGATGGGAGCTACTGTACTACTCACACCACTTTGGAGACTCGTCACTTCGTTTGTTGTTCTCTCCAGCATCTGGAGAACTCTTGTTGACGCGTCCCGCTGTCGCTGGCTGACCATTTTCCAATTATGATCTAGGATAGTTTTGGAATCCTCCTTGTCTTCGTTTGTATCCATAGCTGAGCCATTGATCGCCGAAAAGTTTCTCTCGGCTATGAGAGGCGAGGTCATCGAGACACAGCTGTGCCGACCGGACTGCGTCCGAAAAGAAATTCAAGCATTGAAGTGCTTTAAAGTACAAAGAAGCGGCATCGTCATCATTGTCAAGGACCAGTCTCCTCAGTCGGCTTTGGTCGTCAAGAATTTCAAGCTTTATTTATCAGTTGTGTTTCAGTATATCGTAACCAAGGCTCCGACGTTCCTTGAGGAGTACCATCTTGTCGATCTCTCTGATTGTCGATATCCAGTTTTGTTCCCAAGAGCCTATAAAAGCACAAATTTGATACTGGGAAATCGAGACGCCACAACAGATTCCAGCAAGATGGATTCCGTGCTCTCTCCACGGTATTTGGCCTTCGAGATTACCACTTGACTCACTGCTCTGTGTTTTGAAAAGCCTGTCACTTGCTACACGTAGACCTGTATCATCGTGAATAGAAAGTAAGCCGAAGTATCTTGATCAAGCTGAGGAGTTGTTTCATTAGCTCATCCCCGTTAGACCCTTCGCCTCGATCAGGCCCGCGGTTTGTACTATTTCCCATTTGTGGGAACTGCGCCTAGGGCGTGGTCATACTGGACCTGTGTGAGGTATGATTCAGTCAAAGACCAACTTTACTGAAAGCCAGAGCCTTTGCTCATGCTGGAAGAGACCCTGATGCCTAGGTTGTGTTTTGTTATATCATCCGGACTGTATCTCACAAGGAACGGATTATGTTGAGGCTGAGATGGTAAGTAACGCGAGTAATGGCACTTTTCATCGAGAGCCCAAGGACGATGTTAGTTTTTACATTGGGCATCCATGCAGTCGAATGCCTCTGCGAATAGGAGTGGGCGTTTGGTCATCAGTCATTTTCCTTTTGTACTCTATGCATGATTACCCAAGCGCTTAAACACATGCGCTTATTGGTCGTGGTATGGCGAGATCGCGAATTGCTTCCTGTTCAGTGTTGCGGATACGAGTTTGATCGCCACTCCGTCTCAGCGAGCCATCAGCCCTCACTATTAATTCTTGTAGGAAGTTGCGACAGCACATCGGCTCCAGGTTATGTGTGAGCTTAGCTATACCACTATTTAGATAATATATTTGGGCATTGTTCTTGGTACCTCACATGTCTTGATTAATTACTGCCTTTGCTGATGAGCCTATCAGCTATACTTGCTATCTTCAGATCTAAAGATAAGACCTAATAACAACGCTTGCTAAAGATGAGGCTAACCAAACACCCGTCAGAGTCTCTAGCGATGGGAGGCAGAAATCATGGGAGCTCAGGCCAATAAATCCGATCCAGAACAGCCATTGCGCAAGCCAGAGAATAGGCACTCCCATTGCGAGGGTCATGTGAAGTCGTGAATGACGTCTCATAGATGGGGCAAGAGACTCCACTTCGTTTGGAAGGGTACCGTAGTTGTGACTTTCAGATCCCGTTTGTGACCTTGGTAACAGACACTCCTCCTCCTCCTTTGGCCTCGACCACTCCTTTGTACCCTTGTCTGACTCACCATCTTCTTTCTCATTACGCTTGTCGCGAGTTCGTATCGTCCGTATGACAGGTACAGCCATCATCGCCACGACGAACAGCCAAGCGAGTGCACCGCCGAACATAAGCGGGGCAAATGGTGACCTTGTTGCCCTTGTCAAAGCCCCGAAGTAAGAGTCGTGAATCCGGCCATAGTTCACCGTCAAACACATGTAGTAGAATGAAAACGCTTGAAGAATCGCTTCAGCAAACATTGCAGACATTGAGGAGGTCATGTCCTGAAATTCGGGGTTCTTGGTGCCATGGGACGAAATGGGAAGCCAACTGAGGCGAGGGAGTGAGCACCAGAGCAACGCGAGCTGTACGGCAGGAATATCTTCGTAGCCAGGGGTGAACTGGACGAGAGTTGCGTTGGCTAAGTTGGCGAGCAGATGGATGCAACCGAGAAGAACTCCTCCCAGGATCCACCGTGCGGGATGATAGAAAAGCGGACGAGGACTGGTGACATTACTCTGCCGTGAGTTGTTGGCGTGTAGTACAGCAAAGAAGGTTACCAAGTTGATTAAGCCGATACTTATCAGTTTCCATTCATTTGAAGGGCACTGCGCATCGCCATCCGGGGATCTGGGATAGATCCTCCATCGCCATGGGATCATGTCACGGGGCTGGAGGTGTGTCGGCTCATGCCACGTATATCCGCATGTTTCGTTCATCCATCGCCGCTGTATCTCCAGATCCGTTGGGCTCGATGTCGAGCATGGTTCTTCGTGCTGGGACATGGAAAAGGTGTTGCAAAAACAGGCTTTGTCGAAATACTCTCCCGCAGGAATGTGGCTGCTAGTCAGGTCGTAGCTTGCGGTGTCGAAGCTGAGAGCTGTCATGGAGTTTCGTCGGCTGTTGTATTCCCATGGACGAGCTGCATTTCCCGTATGCTGTGCCGTGGCTGTGAAGCTGCATGAGCTGATGACATGGTCGAACGTCTCTTTGGTTCTGGCGGAAGGCGAGTCTCTCAGGCATGATGGCGCTTTGTTGGCGATATCTATGGATGCGTATCCATCGGTCAGACTTTTGGGTGAAAGGCCTTGCAAGCTGTTGGTGTCTCCAACGTCGACAAGCCAGTTTCTACCGGTTGTCGTCTGGATCCAGTCATGAAGTTGCGCCTTGGCGAGGATAGATCTGCTGCAGTACTTGCTGTAGCGCTTGACAATGCTGGCCGAGAACTCAGTGCTGAGACAGCTCAGTTCAGTAAGCCACTGGTAGTGCGTGCAAAAGATAAAGTACGAGGTGCAACGATGGCGAGTGCACTTTGTCATGGCATCCAGCCAGGCGGACTGGTCTTGTTGCGCGATACACTGCGGCATCGGCGCCAAGTCCTCCGGGTTAACCCATCCTCCACGGTTCTTCAGTACGGTCGGGTCATCGTCTCCGCTCGAGGTCGAATCTGTTGCTATTGTTAGCGGTCAAACGGTCTTGGTACAGGGATTTGACGCACTAGTCAAGGATTCCCCAGAGACTCCAGCGATTAGCAGTGCCTGGAGCACCGTCCAGAGTTTCATGTTATCGACGTGCAACAGTCTGCGAGATGGCGAGAATAGAAACAAGAGGAGAATTGTTTCTCTTGGTGTTTCGAGGTCAGATGGTCTTGTTAGCTGATGCGTGGTTACTCGGACTGCGGGGAAGCCGCGTAAGTCGGAGGATCAATCATTCTGACCAATGAATCCCAATTGGTTTTCAACCGTCTCACGAGACTGCATTCGTGCTTCTATTTTTACCGTTAGGAATTGTCCTCGATTTAAGCATGAACTTGAATTCTAAATAAATCCCAAATCCTTAGACTAATGCAATGTTCCGAGACTCAATCTTTGTTTGGAAACATGGGAACATGACCCTGCATGTTTCGTCCAGTCCGTTTTGGGAGATCGTGTGACGAGTTGCTGTTTGTAGCACAGCAGACGCCTAAAAATAACATCGGCTCTTCAACAGCCTTTTCAAATCAAGATACGCCGAAACGTCTTACTGAAACACTAGGAACTGCTGGAAAGCATCTCATAACCTTTAAAAATAATTTTTTCAACGATCTTGATAAGCTCAGTGGCCTATGCCATCGCGCTTCAATTATTTTTGGACATAGTGCTTGTCTCAACTTGTGAAACGACTGAAACACCACCAAAAAGGCTGATCTTTGCCGATATCTACAAACTTCTTGGACTCTTGCTGATCTTTGACTTCTATAGATAGATCTAATCTTTGGCATAAATAAGGCCTCTTTTGCCCAGATCAATCTGCATCCTTCCAAATCAGACCTTCAGCATCATCCTCAGCGACCTATCAGCCGACTCGACATTCTCCCTCCACAATGCGTTCAGCAATCTTTCTCGCGACCCTAGTTGCCCTCCTCCCTACTGCATTCGCTGAAGAGCTCAGCGCAGATGATGTACCCACCGCCTGCAAGACCATCTGCCAACCCATCGTCAACCTGACCAACGCATGCGACATTGATCCAAAGGGCCCCGAGAAGCACAGCGACAGAAGACGAGACCTTGTCATCCTTGATCATGAAGATGACGACGAGCCCATCGAAGCGGCTTGTATTTGCACAAATAGGAGTTTCGACGTCGAGGGCATGATGGGACTGTGCGCGAGCTGCATGGCACAGAACAGCAAGGACACAGAAGGTGAGAGATCCAACTGTGGTTTGACATTGATCTTCTAGCTAACATTTCGTGAAACAGATATCGATAAGATCATGTCGCAATGCTCCTTCTCGTCAACCTCTTATGTCCGCGCAGCAACGAGTGTAGTCTCGGGCATTGAGGTTCAGGCTACCAAACCGGCTGCAACAATAACTCCCATAGCTACGACAACGGCCGCCGCAGCTACAGCGACTGAAACAGTTGGTAACGGGGCTGGGAAGGTCACGGGTTCCATCATGGCGGTTACTTGGGTCACTTGGATGTTGTTGTGTATTCTGTAGATTTCTAGATTCTCTACTAGATTCTCTCTGCGGCTCGGCCGGAATAAGCTCTCAGCCAGTTCTCTACGTCGTCTCTGGCTCCAGCGTTGGGCACTAAACATAAATATAGCCATCATTCCATTTCTGTCTTCCACCATACCACAAGGGCCTTCAACCTTATCACAGCCCCTATCCGCCAATATAAACTTGCGTTCAAAGCTTCGAATTGATGATATACTGTGAGTTGTCAGGTACCGTAGGAGGAGGAGACTTCGCAAGATCTCTTACCTTGCTTCAATATGACCCCGCTCTTCTACAGCTAGTGTCAAGACAGTCCCGGCCTATCTCCACGCGGGTGTGCCAAGTACGCCTTCACGCCGGAGTGTGCAGTTTCGTGGAGGTCAACGACCACTATGAACCCCGCTGTTCTTCAAGAGTAGATGAGATGGAAGGATAGGTCGAGGGATCCTCGCGCGTCTGCCGTAAAGGCTGTCTTGATACAGATTCTTCCCTACTCCGTTCAGTAGATGCTGTGACAGTTGAGGGTCGTTGTATAGGTATTGGCACTGGTGTTGATGGTTGTGGTGGCGGCGTTGATGATGATGGCTTCCCCTCTNNCAGGTACGAGAGGTTGCTCGTCTCGTTTTCCCTCGCTCTTTCAAGATAGGGTGGATCTGTCTTCCTGCTCACCCCACTGTGTTTGGTAGGCCCCCAGGCATCACATCTCGGTAGTGATGTCACTCTTGTCTTGGTTCGTGGGAAAGCCTTTAAAGGTCTTGGGGGAGGGATAGATTCAATGTTCGATGTTCCATATTGGATGCTCGCGATCGCTCGGTCTTTGGTTGTCGGTGTAGCGTGGAAATTTGTTGCTCATGAAGGTACTGAAGCGCTCTTCACCTTCGTCCAACTCGCAGGCCAAGGCCCATTGACAGCGGTTGATGCGCACTCGAAGCGTTTGCTTATTGCGGGTATCTTGGTCATCATGTTGACGATTCGTAGGTGTTTTGTGAAGACGTGGGTAGGTTCGGACTGTGGTAAGGGGCTTAACGAGCATTATGATAGGTTACGCCAGGGGGGTTCGAGATGGACATTTTGCGTAATAGATGATAGGAGAGCTGCAGATGTCAAACAAAGTGTTAGCAAAGAGTTGCTGGTCCTTGAAGTCATTCCGTCAATCCAGTATCAAACTCGCTCGGGAGATGGGCGATTGTGAACAAGGGGCACCGAAGCCAGAACACGACGGCAGAGTAGCTCGCAGGGAGTGCATTGATTCACGATATCTGGAGGCAAACGCACGCACTCAGTGAACCCAAAGGATTGACTGATGGGTGGGTGGCCAGTACGTGACGCTTGAAAAGTCTGAGCTGAACGGATCCGAGGGGGGGGGGGTTTATACTCGCGGGATTGAAGAATAAGAGGCAAGAGCACACCTTGTGGTTTCGAATTCGCTGAAGGAGAGCATGGGAATGGGTCAAGAGCAGCTTGAGTTTGTGCTGGGTTTGGTAAGGTGCGTGTTCTCGTGAGTTCCCTGTTCTGGGCGGATGAACAGGCTGAATTGGGTTGTGGACATGTTCAGCAGGAACAATAGGGGGATTTCTTGCAGGAAGGGTTTCAGATTCAGCGAGTGCCCCTTCCTGTAGTCTTGAAAATGAGACAGCGCGGACGGAAAAAAGATAGAAGGGAGCGCCTCGAAGATGGGCCAGTGAAGGGAGTGGAGGGGACTTGAAAGAGCGGCACTTTATCAGCCTTTCAGAGTCGGGATGTCTTGAGAGAGTTTGTCGAAACAAGAGCAAACAATGGTGGGAGCTTCGAATTTGAAAGAATACTCTTAACAACATCTTTTTCGTTCGCTGAGGCTCGTTCTGTATCACACATTTGGGTCTGCTCTCTCGTCGGGGTCTCCCATACCGCTCCCTGAACGATTGTCTAGCCGAGAAGTTAGAACAAGAGTACGACAGAATTGGGAATAAATATCTGCAACTCGTAAGGAAGCTACCGAGTCTTACCCTCTTCGCTCAGAGCCATGTTGTACTAGACGGACATCCATCTTCATCACCACCATGAACAACGGCCAATTTAACGTTCTCATGTCATTTAGTCGAACAGTTTCTCTTTGTCGGTATCGAAATTCGAGCTTCCAAGTAACAGGGGCCATGTATCGCTGCGTGGATCATGCCTCAGTGTCACGAACTTCGAGAGAGCCAGCCAGATGGCATCCTTATTGGTCCGGGGTCTGGCACTTGCTCTCCAAGAGCAGATCATCCGATTCAGGATAGGCGATATCCAGATCCCATCCAAACTTCTTGCGGATCCGTCGCACTGTAGGGAGCCCAATCGCCCCAGGGTTATCATTCGCTGTTACCACCTCGCAGTACTCGGCCTCAGCATTCCAGCCCTCCGCCTTCTTTGCCCAACGATCGAACATTGTGTCTCTGAAGAAGCGCTCAGAGCAGTCAACGATGAAAACCGGGTGCGTAATTCGGTCTGCAACCACGTTGTGGGGGGCGCTGTCGTCGAGAACTATGCCTCTTTTATTGATCTCGTGTGTTGAATCGACTGCACTCTGTACGATGGAGAACCATTCTTCTTCGGTCGTAGGGGCCCAGGGTGCGGTAATAAGATCACTCAGAGAGCATCCTGCGATGGGTTTGAGTAAGATGCCATGAATGTCAAGATATTCATCCTCCTGTGTGTTTTCCTTGGCGGTCACGACGCGTGCAGTAGCGTAAAGCTTTGGGATAAGCACACACCTTTCAGGTCCTGCATACGTGTGTACGCTTCGGTCTCGGTCTTGAAAGCCTTGTCAGCATTTCTCCAAAGCGCAGCTTCGAACCAGGCAACTCCATCAGGCTCATCTCGGATATCGCTGGCAGTGCGAGGGATAACACCGGGTGTCGACCGCTCAATGTCCAGCTCTTGAAGGAAAGGCTCCATAGCGCCTCGTTGCAGAAAAGCGTGATAGGCTGCCTTGGCTTTATCACAATATGGGATGTTCTCGCCATGGCACTCGCGGAATTGAGCACCAAACCGACGGTCGTAGAGCTTCAGGATGGCGCACCCAGTGTCGAAATTGACGCGTACCACGATAGACATGGTGCTGGTGATGAGCTGACTGATCCTGACCGAGATCGTTTCGGACTGGGGAAGGAGATCGGCGTTGGATTGGAGGATGTGCAACTCCAGGACGTCACCAACGTGATATCTGGCTATTGCTGGTTAGCAATCTGGAGCAAAGAGGAGAAAAATACGATGAGAGAAACGCACGAGAACCTTCGGCAGGGCCGTTCATGACGGAGAGAAAGGCAGATGGTGTTGATCTGTTTGGGTTTTGGAGCAGTTGTGTTGTGCTGTTCTGTGTTGAGGCGTGAGTCGGACGCTTGCTCTTGCTACGTCAGGGCTTCCTGCGAGATTCCCGTACCTTCTGAGGCACTTGACCGTGGCGGGCAGTCCCAGTGCTGAAGCCGCTGTTCTGACGCAGGTGCGCAAATCCTCTCCGCTCCAGTGACTGTCGTTCAGGGGCTCCGCTCTCTCCCCCCTCAGGTCACACAGTCTCATGTTCCCGCCTTGAAGAAGCGACAGCAGTTCAAACCGAGCCCCGTCACATAAGAAATAACCCTGTTGTCCTGTTGAACATGTACTACGCTTGCTGCACACTGGCCACGTGAGTCTGGTCCTCTGCCTGGAGCAGGGAACACCTATACGCGAACATGTAACCTTGCCAGACCCAGCAAGAACGCAAACTAATTGTGACACAGATAACGCCTGCGTTTGATCCCTGACACATAGAACCTATAAACTTTCGCTCAGGCATGCTGATTTATCTAAGATTCAGAACTTCCTGTCAAATACATCGGCCTAACAGTGACTTTGACCCACCTAGCCTGCTTCCATTCCTACTCCTCAACTTCAACACATGCTCCTGGGCAACACACCAAACTTCACCACTACACTCGTCCCGCTTTACCTACAACCACATGAAGGCTCACTTTGACGCATTCGTCAGTCGGTCTATGAGTCTACAAAGCGCATTCACTTATCTCTAGCCATCATTACAGGGCCCTTTGTGGCTTCTCCATGTGTCATGCTGTGGACCAGGTGCCGCCTGCTGGCAAACGCTCGCCCACTGAGCGAGTTTGATTCGTTATTGATGGTGTATTTTTCAGGACCAGAACCTCTTTGCTAACATGGTAGATGATACTCTTATTCTCTAAATGATTCGCCATATAAAATGGCGATGTCGAAAAACTCCAGCACAAAGCCATCAAAACACGATCAACACGATCAACCAGTCCTCTATTCACCGTTGATAAACTTTCCTCGGCCTTGGCACAGACTCTACCGACTATCAACATGAGCAGTAACATCGTCTCCATAACCAATAAGGCCAAGATAAACCTTATCAGCTACTTGGACAAGGCCAAGCGACAGCATGTCGACAACTGTAGTTGTACTGTCAACTGGCATTACGCTCACGGAGAAGGACGGGGCAGTAGCACCAAGGCGAAAAAATTCCAAACCTACATCGCCTACCCTCAAACGAGCGACCGCGAACATCAAACCCGACTCGCCATCAAGGTTGATGGAATGCACCATTTCCTCACCGCAGACAAGCGGGGAGAAAGCACAACTACTGAGATGTGTTAGGGCAAAGAGGCGCCATTGATGAAGGATGTACTCGGGGCCTATCAGACACAGTGGGGATCCCCGTCGACAAGACTCAGTCCGGGGAGGAGGCCGAGTAGTTGCCTTTTGGGCTGAGCTGGCGGTAAATAGCGAGGATGGTTAGGCGGAGTAACCTTGAGGCAGGGTAAGCGGACGCACGATCTGCTGTCCAGTCTCGTCCCATCACAGTGTCCGGTAGCTTGCAGTATGTTATCGGCGTAAGGTCTTGCGTGTAAGGTGCGTATTCGCAGATAGAGGCAACACACATGCTAAAGGGGGGGGATGATGCCTTTCCCAAACTCTTTAAAGCCCGCTGTCAGACAAAACAAAACAGATAGGCATCTTTATATCTAGTATCTGACACAAGAGTTGGAGGTATAGAGAGTCTATGAGTCTACAGGATAGATAATACTATCAACGTAACCTAAGTAACCGCCATGATGGAACCTGTGGCTATAACAATTTACCTCATTCCCACGCTTTACTCCAACTAGCAATCTGATGACAGCCAAAGATACACCAGAGCGACGACCAGGTGGCAAGGACTTGTGGTTCATTCCCCCATCTGACCCTTCCAAAGCTCAAGTGGGGTTGCGCGCCTGTATCCTCCTGCGAGTCTTGATGGCAGTGCTCTCCCTTGGGATTCTATATTCCCACATGGTCTGCATCGGAGGTTCCTCATCCCCAAAGTCTACATCATAATTCATAACAAGATACGCCAGAACAACCTTCATGACATGCGAGCCAAAGAACCGCCCTGGGCATGCGTTCTTCCCATAACCAAATCCAAGAAAGCTCTCGTCAAGGGTCACGGCAGAACGAGACGGCGAAGTCCCATCCGCGAACCGAAACGGTTTGAAAGTGGCTGCATCTGCGTAAAAACCTTCATCCATATGTATACCATGCATTGGGACTTCGATATGAACACCGGGCGGAACGTAAATACCATTGTCGAGAGTTATACCGGGAGAGTTGACGCGCCGCGGGAGGGCAAAGAGACCAAAGTCAGACCAGCGCATTGACTCGCGAATTACTGAGTCGGCAAGAACGAGCTTGGATATTGCGGCGCGATCCCAGATCTTGGTAGAAGCCAGGACTGATGTCGCCTCATCGCGGAGTTGAGAGAAGGTCGAGGCTGCGTGTTTGCCGTTGCAGATGTCGCTGAGAACAGTACTGAAGGGGATCGATCCGCCTTGAACGAGGTTGAAGTTGAGAATCATCATACGATGGCCTATACGGTGGGCGTCGAGTTGCGAGGGATCGCCAGTCGCGGCGCTGGCTTCTATGATCCATTGGAGGATATTGACCTGCATTACTTTCAGCAGAAGTCTAAAGTTGAAAGCAACCCACTTACCGGCTTCTCCCTTGTAGAGTTCTGATTAGCTTTGAGATAATCTTGTATAATCGGAGTACAGTATTTGATGCCTGCTTCGGTGTCCCGTCTTGCATTCCATGATATCAACGGAGCAAGGATGGGCTTGAGGACTTTTGGAAACAGCGTGATGAACAAACCCTGGAACGGCATATCGATGGCAAACCGGCGCATAGTCTCGAGGAACGATTCATCTCTGCCTTGTTCATTAAATTTTGTCAGTAGCCGGTCTTCCGACGGTAGGGGTAACTCACATAATGGAAAGCCCACAAGAACTCTGTTCAGGCCCCGCGTGAATATCCTCTGCACCGCTGGCCAGAGCTTCACCTCTCTCCACTCTTGACTCATGCCGAATTGCTCATCCACTGCAAGGCACAGTTCCTCTTGCAATTCGGATGAAAACTCGTCGAATCTCTTGGTAATCCACTTGCGAATCACATCGACGGTGTAACTGCCCGGATAGACTTCTCGATCGCAGATTGTCCATTCAAAGGATAACGCTTCTGAGGCTGGATCGTGGGCCAGCAGCTCATCTTCGCGTTTGTTATAGATGGCCTTGAGTTGGGCAGGAGGAAGAATGAGGACCTTGCCTTTCCGGAATGAGGGGATGATGAAGGGTTGGTTGTGTCGTGAGTACTTGGGCAGAGGTTAGTTGGACAACGTCTCTATGGATGAGGTACTTACCATTTCATACCCCTCCTTCATCCACTCTTCTGTTTTTGAAAAACTGCGCAGTTTTGCTCTGATCCATGCAAACCACTCATCCTTCCGAACCCCGACGCAAGGTAAGCTATCGTAAAAGCTGCTGTTTTTCGTATTTCCTTGCCAACCGATCCACCCTATGACAAGCAAGACGAACGCGAAGAGTAAAAACGTAGCCATAACGCAGCTCAGATGTCCGCACAATGTTCACGGGGCAAAGCAATCAGGCAATAAACAGGCTCTGGGCTCATAACAAAAAGTCCATGTAAAGGAAATAATGATTCCCCGGAGGGAAGAAAGCATTATAAGGTATGAAGATATGCTGAAACAAGAGTAAGCGCTAGCATTTACAACCAATTGAGAGGTGATCGACAGACTCGATTAATAGCCTGTAAGCCGTCCAATCCATCCAGGCTGTTTGTGTTTATCCCTCTACTTTCATTGGTCACATCGGTTTACATGGCTCGCATAAACGTTCGGATCAAGGAGCGCCAAGGAGCAACTTCAAGGCAGGTAAATCGACGTCAGGCTCACGTGCCGCTAGCCAGCATCACGCTTTTCCGGCCCCCATTCATGCATTGAGTTTTGTGACGCTCTCTCATCGACAATTGCACTACCAAATCCAGCCAAACCCCTAATCAAAATCATGAGCTGCCATTATCTTGAAGAACTGTCTGGCGGAAGAGGAGACGAGCTTTCGCTCTATATCCGCTGGAACGATGCTCGTCTTGTTGTCACCTTGAACCATTGCCCGTTAAAACTTGCGGTACCCCCAGTGGAGAATTCTTTCATCGACAGATACACTCAGGCCTGCGATGCTGATGACATTGAAGAGGCTGAGGTTCTATCAGACGAAATTCTCGACGCTCTTGTCGACGCTGGAAGAGACATATTTAATCGTCTAGCTCCGCCACCTCCCTCTGGCGAAACATTATTGCAAGACCTTCACACCCTGCTGTACCCCAAAGAGTATTTCTTTTCTTTTCAAACGATGAACGGAAAAGCAGAGGTGCGGCGCCAGGATAGTGGTGTTAAGCAACGCCCTGTTTTCGTAGGCCAATCTGGCCAACCATTCCACCTCAAGTTGCACAAAGATTGCAATCTCCCAGCTTAGTCTACTCAGGAAATCCATGTCGTCGAAAATCTTCGCAACGCAGGTTATATCGCCTGTGTACAAGTCGCGGGCAAGGAGATGTGTTCAAAGGCTGGAGATAGCAAGGGCCAGGATGCCGCACAACGAGAGCTTGACTGCCTCTGGAAAATTATGATATCCCCTCACGCAGCTTCCATCCGGGTACCCAAGCTTCTCGGTCTGATCTCAACACCTGCAAATGGCAACACTATTGGTTTCTTGGAGGATTATATCCCAGTCTCAGAAGCTTGGGAATTGTCAACACTTGGAAAGATCGATGATGTCTCTACGATTGACGAGAGCCGTCGGAAGAAGTGGGCATCTCAGGTTCAGGGCACAGTTGATCTTCTTCATGAGATTGGTATTGTATGGGGTCATGGCAAGGCTTCTAGTGTATTGATTCATCGTGAAACGGACGACGCATGGGTCATCGACTTCGGGGGCGGCTGGACAGAAGGTTGGGTAGATGAAGAATTAAGTGGAACTGTGAAGGGAGACGAGATGGCTGTGAAAAAGATATTCGAGTACCTGCAAGTTGCATCAGCTAACAAATGACTCCGATCTTAGTTGACAAGCCGCTTCCACGGTATCTGGGGGTTGCACTCAACATGCTCTCAGCTCCCTCAAATCAAACGTCTCCCTCGACACCGCTACGGAAAATCCACGTTTCTCCCTCATCCGAAGCCGCTTTGACGTGGAATGCCATCATTGCCCACCGCCGAAGCAAACCGTGATGCAGATGCTGTCATGACGACTGACTACAGGCATCTCAGCTGGTGTCTCATCAAGAGCCTCCCTGTCTTGGCGCCCAATTCGAGATAGCTGCAGGGTGACAGGTGTCGTGGTTGGTCGAATCTGAGACACGGGTCATAGCGGGCGGCTGAAGCCGCGGGGCCGAAGATCACCTTCCTGCATGGGACTGATCGGCTCAGAACTATTGAAAGCCACATGCGCTGCTGTCACTGACTAGATTGGGCGGTAAGGCATTGAGATATCTCGGTTGACAGGGCTCCAAAGTAGCTAAGGCCTCGGGCATTGGGCGAAGATGGTACCAGGTACACGAGATGGAGTTGGAGAATTTCTTCAGGCCCAGCTCATACACATTTGTTACGATGCAATTGGCCAAGATTCCTCGGTGTTGCGGTATGTATTATGACCTCAATGACTTCACATGAATGCTGTCTCTGAGGACCCCTTGCTGCGAATCCCGCCGGCCGGTTTCTTTCCGGCCTGCAGGTCTCAGTTTTCTTGAAGACATGCTGCATAGCCAACTCCACTACCAAGTCTTGCGGCATTCCATGCCATGTGATGAGACAATATTTTACGTACGAGATGTTGATCACGTTTATCAATCTTCCAAGGGAGAGAATTCATACGTCAGTCAGTCGGCAAAGATGTAAGGCCCCGAGAATATATAACCTCGCGTCGTGCAGTGTCGGTTGATGGGCTCAAAAGATCCCTTTCATATGCCTCTAAATATCAGTGCCAAGAAACAATCATCATGCCTAAAGACAACGACGACATCCGGGACAAAGAATTCGATGCTGTCCATGCATACTTCATCGGCCCCAAGGGCTCCAACCTCCCAGACTTCCGAGCAAACATCAACACCATCCTCGATGAACTCCTCGCCGCTCGTCAAGCCTACCACCCAGAAGACCAAGTCAGCATCCCTTTCTTCCCTTCCCTCTCTCCCACTAACATCCCCAGGCCTTCATCTCCAAAGAATATCGCCGTTCCCCCGTCTTCCTCAAAGCGAGATCCGATCTCCGCCTCGCTACCGAAAAGGTCGCACAGCTTCTAGGCGAACACTCAGCTCCCTTCTGGTCCCCTCGCTATGAGGCGCACATGTGCACTGACCTTACCATGTCGTCGCTCCTCGGGTATTTCATGACCATGCTGTATAATCCGAACAATGTCGCGCTTGAGGCTAGTCCGATGACGACGCTTGTTGAGCTTCGGGTTGGGCAGCAGCTGTGTAAGCTGTTTGGGTATAATACCGATGTGCAGAAATCTCCGGTTTCGTGGGGTCATATTACCTGTGATGGGACGATTGCTAATCTTGAGTCTATTTGGGTTGGTACGTATTCTCGTCCTGGGTGAGTGGAAGTAGATGCTTACAAGGGTAGCGCGAAACCTCAAGTTTTACCCACTCAGTCTCTGCCTTGCGTTGCGACGTGGAAAACTCCAGTTCATCGGAGATAAGTTCTACGCCACTCGGTGTTTCCACGCAACCAAGAAGACACTGTTCAAGGATCTCAAAGGTTGGGATCTGCTGAACCTTAGCTCCGAGGTCATTCTTGATCTTCCCAATGAACTAAACAAGCAGTTCGGCATTACCAGCAAGTTTCTTGAGAGCGCTCTCAACGAGTTCAACATCCAGACCATTGGACGCGAGGTACTTGAGAAGGAGTTCAAGGTCAAGAACCCGATCAAGTATTTCGTTAGCAAGACGCGTCACTATTCATGGCCCAAGGGAGTCGGTAAGTCATTTCCCCGTTGCGTTCAAGGCACAGGTGCTGATCACTGCTACCATAGCAATCGCCGGTCTAGGCTCAGGTAACGTGATCGGCGTCGACGTCAACAACGCTGCCCAGATTGACATCAAGGTCCTTGAAAAACATCTCGAAGACTGCGTCGAGACCGAAACCGCCGTCTTTGCAGTCGTGGCCATCATCGGATCTACCGAAGAGGGCGCAGTCGACAGACTTACCGAAATAATCCGTCTTCGTGATAAGTTCCAAGACGAGCATGGCCTCTCATTCCTCGTCCATGCCGATGCAGCTTGGGGAGGCTACTTTGCCACCATGATCAACCCCGATCGGCGATACAGCGTTGAGGATCAGACTTCCACTAAGCCTGAGCCTGAATGGTATCTCGATCCCAAGACTGTTGAGGACATTAAGGCCATGGCTGAGGCGGACTCGATTACTGTTGATCCGCACAAGGCTGGGTATATCCCGTACCCGGCGGGAAGCTTGGTCTACAAAGATGGACGGATGAGACATCTTGTTACGTGGTCCGGCCCGTATCTTTCGCAGGGCTCTGCCGAGAACATCGGCGTCTATGGCGTTGAGGGAAGGTAAGTTTCCCATCAGTCACGGCGTAGGATAACGACTAAGTCTCCTTCAGTAAGCCCGGTGCTTCAGCAATGTCAGCATGGTTCTCCAACTCAACCATCGGCCTCAACCACCATGGCTACGGCAAGTTGCTCGGCGAAGCAACCTTCACCAGCGCCAGAGTAAGCTCCCAAACTACTTCCCCCATTCCTCATACTAGAATCTCTTAGCTCTCGGCTCACTACGCGACCATGATCAACGACGACTTCATCTGCGTCCCATTCAACATGCTCGCGGCAGAGAATAACGGTAGTCGAGGATTCCTCTCCAAGCCTGTCGAGAAGCAGCGCGAAAAGATCCGCGATCTCATCATCGGAAAGAAGGACCACGAGATCTTCGCCTCCAAGGATGCCATGAAGATCATCCGTGATCTTGGCTCTGATACCAACATCAACTGCTTCGCACTCAACTGGAAGGACAAAGACGGTAAACTGAACACCGATCTTGAAGAAGCAAACTATCTCATGAAGCGAGTCGTCGATAGACTTTCCATCACTTCCGCCAACACCGATCCCACCGAGATCCCAATCTTCCTCACATCAACCCAGTTTCTCCACGAAGACTATGGCTCTTGCGCTCACAAGTTCATGGAGAGAATGGGCGTCGGAAAGTCTAACCAGAGCCTTTTTGTCATTCGAAACGTGGTCATGAGTCCATTCCCTACTCGTCAGAACTTCATTGACAAGTTGATGGGTGAGTTTGAGGCAGTCATCCGCGATGAGGTCGGCAAAGTAAGAAAGCGAAATGACCCTGGTCAGAAGAAGGTCCAGTTTCTTGTGCAGGGAACACCTGGCTCTTCTGAGGTGTTCCTGTCGTTCCAAGCTTCGTTCCATAGCGCGACGAAACGGCAGCAGATTATCCTGTCTGGAACTCTTGATAGTACCTTGAGAGACTTTCATAAGGAGCTTACGGGAGGCAATCAGGATAGTATTGTCATGCTTGAGTCAACTGAGAAGGTGTTCATTGAGGATGTCGTCGAGGTACTCGGTGACTTGGATGTTATCATGTACGAGAAGGGAACCAAGTAAGTACCCAGCTCGCTATTCAACGTCAGATACTTACCAAAATCTTCAGGAAATACCATCAGAGGGATGGAACCATCACTCTCAACTCAGTAGTCAAGAGTCGCCCCCTCAACTCCATCCACCGCGAAATCGACTACCCGGCTGACTTCATGCCCTTTTACCTCTACGGCAACGAGAAAGAAATCCACTGCTCACACATGCTCGTCAAGTCCCCCAACATCTCCCTCGCAGCCAACAACATCACTTTCAAACCCAGCCTCTCCACCGAGATCAACCACCGCCAATCCGTCGCCGAGCTTCTCGCAGAGGGCATGATCCTCGGTCTGTCCGAAATCCCCGAGGCTTCCATGCAGCCTTTCCCTGAGAGGAACCAAGACCTATCCGAGGAGTTCTTCTTTCGTCAGGGTCAAAAGTTTAAGGTCAAAATTTGGAAGGATCCCAAGGATGCTGCTGCTCATGGACCAGGGTTGCTTAAGGATCTTGGAAAGCATTTGTATGAGGGTGAGATGACGCTGGGAGAGAATGTGTTTGTGGATGCTGAGGGGCCGAATGAGGATAAGTTGAAGGATAGAAAGGTTGAGTCTGACTCGTGGCAGAGAAAGTTGGATGAGGTTGGAAGTTTGTTGGATGGCACTCACGTCAACTGTCAGTAGTTCGGACTACAGAAATCATCAGACCAGCTTTGGAGATACGAGTATAGTTATTACCTCAATCTAGTTGGATCTTATCCCTATTTGGCCTCTTTGGGCTCCGGGTTTGATCTTAATATCATATCCTTCATAGCCACGGTGAACTCTTCCACCTTGGTCATCAAACTCATATGACTTTCTCCCTTCATGACTCTAAGCTCTGCACCAGGCATTAGCTTGACAGCCTTCTCAGACACTGCAATCGGAACATTGACATCCAAGTCCCCATGCCACATTATCATCCTTCCTTTCTCAACCTTGACATCGTCCAGCTTAAAACCCCAATCACTTCCAAACAATCGTGCTTCCCATGCAGTCGCATAGCCGCCTTGCTTCATAGCCTCTCTCGTAGCTCGCCTTAGAGACTGTCTAAAGTCTGGATTCGTCTCCCAAACTTCTTTGTCGCTTGCTGATCTGGCACTTATGTCTTTATCCATCATCTCCTCCAACTTCTCGGGGTGTTTGGTGTCTCGCGCTGTGCTGCCGAGCACTCTATCGGTGATCCAGCCTACGATTCCTGTAGCGTAAGGTGCTACGTTGAACATGAGTCGCGTCATCGTAAGCATTCCTTGCGTTGAGAAAGACATTGGCATGACGCCAGCGACAATGCCGATGCCTACCAGACGATCTGGTGGAAGGTCTTTGAGACAAGCGATAGCATAGGGTCCACCACCGGAAACGCCCAACACGGCGAATCTCTTGATGTTTAGAATATTCGCTAGCTCAAGAATATCTTTGGGGTAGTCGAGTATTTTCCTGTTTTTCTGAAAAGTCGAGTCGCCATACCCTGGTCGCGTCGGCGCAATGACGCGTACGCCATATTGGGCCGCAGTGGTGTTCATCACGAATCCCTCGTGATGAGACCCCGGAAAGCCGTGGAGATAAAAGAAAGTGGGGGCATCGTCATCCTGGGCTCCATAAACAGCATATGAAACCTTTCTCCCGTCGGCTAAAGTGGCGATCTTGTCTTGGTGGTCATCCATGTCGCGTATTTTGGCCTAGAGCAAATGTCTCCAAAATGTTGGGGGTCCGAGCATAGATTGTTTTACGGATATTTTGGAACGGGCTCTCGGATCGACTTTTCGATAATCAGATCGCTCTAGGTTGATCCTTCGAAGGATCTTGGATTTGAGTTTGGTAATTGAACTACCGACAGTTGACAAAAATAGAAGACAAAGAATCGCGAAGGTTGCATCGAGATCACGTGTTGAGTGAAACCGAGTTGCACAACGAGACGAACCAACAAGCGAAATAGTCAAATTGAGTTTGAATAATTCAACGTCCTCTGCTCGATAATATCGATTTGTATGAGGAAATCACTTTAAAAGTCGTTGAGAGACGACCGGTATTCTTTCTGATAATTGTATTGATCAGCTGGAGCTACGTCTCATTTGTTCTAAAGGTACAATACGAATTTCGGTCATGACTGCTCGAATCGACTTAGTATCATAACAGAACACCTGTTTTCTTCAAAACCACAGCTTACCCTAAGCTTCACCAAGTAGAATATCAAGCTGCCAAATTATTTGTCACTTTCGGGCTGTTTCGAAGTTGTTCTTAGCTTCTTCCTATCTAGTGTTGGCTTGGGTACAGGGTAGTCTGGCCCGACAAGCCGACAGAGCAAGGAGACGAGACGAGGAGCTGAAGAATGTCCATTTGACGTGTGCCATGTTCCTTGCAAGCTGTGACCGATCGGACTCTCACATCTCAGCTGATGCCGATGATGGCAACAAGGCGGATGCTGGTGACTGATGAGCCGCAGTCCCCCACGCACGCTGACAGGATGGGATGGCTCGAGCGTCGTTCATGCTCGTTCCGACTCGTTCATCCCGTTTTTGCAAGATCCCGCTGCAGGAACCGAGTAGCTTATCTACGAGCTTATTCTTTCCAATCACCCCAACAGGTTTACCTACGGTAGAAGCAATGTCAACTCAGACCCGAATTCATCACGAAAACCTCACTTTGAAGTGGCAAAACAGCCTTTACCCGCAACCGACCTTCTTCATCTCCCCAAGGTTCAACCATCTGCGCCCAGACTCTTAGTTGAAACCTATCTCCGTACCGAAAATATGGATTACGGCCCGACAACTCTCTGAGCGGAATGATACCCTCCTCGCGTCTCCATCTCGGCGAGACTCGATTTATCCAGTGGGGAAATCCAACTTCCAAGCCAAAAACTCATTCACATGACCCTCCATTTCAACGGCTCAGGACTTCCCTTCCCGACGGACCGTAGCCAAAAGTCGTCCGTTATAATATTCGCTTCCGAAATGGTAGGTGGGAAAATCTGGAGAAATCTCCACACTCTTCCCCATTCAATAACTTGACAAGGGTCCTGAAACCCATGAAATTTTAATCAATCACAGCGTGATATATCGTCGCGGTATTTCGGCCCGCCCTCCTCGGGTCGGTCGCACTAATCGACAAACATGGGTCAAGCCCGCGAAACTATTTGAAACTCGGTACTTGTGTCGTTATTGGTTGGGCTTGGCATTTCGAATTAGGAAAACGGAGGGAGCGGAGATATAGGGATCTTGATTGGTTGGCGGCTTATAACGCTGGAGTCGTGACATGAGTTTTCGGAGCAGTATGGTTGAGCTTCCGTGAGGACCTTCATGGCATTGATTTTTCGGGGTGAGGCCGAAAGTGGACGACCCCTATCCGTGGAGTGAAGGAGAGAGGAAGAATAGATATAAACTGAGTTCCGGCGGCTCTTGACGATGTTTCTCACGCTCTTTATCCCGTCATTCCTTGGAACACTCAAGCCTGATCACTGAAACTCATTCACTATGAAGTCTCTCTCTCTCATCCTCTCAGCCCTAGCCGTCCAGGTCGCCGTTGCTCAAACCCCCGACAAGGGCAAGGAGCAACACCCCAAGCTCGAGACCTACCGCTGCACCAAGGCCGCCGGCTGCAAGAAGCAAACCAACTACATCGTCGCCGACGCTGGTATTCACGGCATCCACCAAAAGAACGGTGCCGGCTGCGGTGACTGGGGCCAAAAGCCCAACGCCACCGCCTGTCCCGATGAAGCATCATGCGCCAAGAACTGTATCCTCAGTGGTATGGACTCGAATGCTTACAAGAACGCTGGCATCACTACTTCTGGCAACAAGCTTCGTCTTCAGCAGCTTATCAACAACCAGCTTGTCTCTCCTCGAGTTTATCTGCTTGAGGGAAACAAGAAGAAGTATGAGATGCTTCACCTTACTGGCACTGAGTTCTCTTTTGATGTTGAGATGGAGAAGCTTCCTTGTGGTATGAATGGTGCTTTGTACCTTTCTGAGATGCCTCAGGATGGTGGTAAGAGCACAAGCAAGAACAGCAAGGCTGGTGCCTACTATGGTGCTGGATACTGTGATGCTCAGTGCTACGTCACGCCCTTCATCAACGGAGTTGTAAGTTCTCTCCTCACGTAGACGATAGATTTACTGACCTTCTCAGGGCAACATCAAGGGACAAGGTGTCTGCTGTAACGAGCTCGACATCTGGGAAGCCAACTCCCGAGCCACTCACATCGCTCCTCACCCCTGTAACAAGCCCGGGGTCTACGGCTGCACGGGCGATGAGTGCAGCAGCTCCGGCATCTGCGACAAGGCCGGCTGCGGCTGGAACCACAACCGCATCAACGTGACGGACTTCTACGGCCGCGGCAAGAAGTACAAGGTCGACAGCACCCGCAAGTTCACCGTCACCTCCCAGTTCGTCGCCAACAAGCAGGGCGACCTCATCGAGCTGCACCGCCACTACATCCAGGACAACAAGGTCATCGAGTCCGCCGTCGTCAACATCTCCGGCCCCCCCAAGATCAACTTCATCAACGACAAGTACTGCGCTGCCACGGGTGCCAACGAGTACATGCGCCTCGGCGGCACCAAGCAGATGGGTGATGCCATGTCCCGCGGAATGGTTCTCGCTATGAGCGTCTGGTGGAGTGAGGGTGATTTCATGGCCTGGTTGGATCAGGGCGTTGCTGGCCCCTGTGACGCGACTGAGGGCGACCCCAAGAACATCGTCAAGGTGCAGCCCAACCCTGAAGTGACATTCAGCAACATCCGAATTGGAGAGATTGGATCTACTTCATCGGTCAAGGCTCCTGCTTATCCTGGCCCTCACCGCTTGTAAGAAGATCAAACAACACCGATGTTCAATATGGATCCTGAGTGTCCACTTGCTGGGAAGCTATTGGAGCACATATGCAAAACAGCTGTCCACTAGCATGACACGTGTGTCGGGGCGAAAAAAACTCTTTCTGGGATAGGAGAACATATTGGGTATTGATAACTGTATATAAACGATAGCCTTTTCAGAGTATATTATTTTCAACATATTTTATTTCATGAACATCACCAACACCAGATCTTGATATTCGTACCCGATATTAACCGTCCCGAGTGGCTTGCATTAGTGGAACTCTTCAGCATCATCCATGTACGTCATCTTCACGTGTGGCTGAGATCTCGCTGATCAAGAGCTAATCCAAGTCTTGGAAAAAACGTCATGGGTCTTCGTGCTTCCAACAATCATCATCAACTTCATCTCAGCCACTTAGAGCATCGCGTTCCAATGCCGCGCTCACTGTCTGCCGTCTCGTCCCTCGAGATCCGAGATCTTAACAGAGATCAGATCCGCTTTTATCATCCCGGCTATCTCAAACCGTTGAACCTTCTTTTTTGCCTCCCGCGGGTGGACTACAATACCACAGAGGGGACTTTTGGTGTGCACTATCTAACGGCTCTTACGGCGTGTCAGATTGTCGCGAATAATGCTTTTGAGAAGGGTTACTTAGCGAGGGATGAGAGAGGAAAGGATAGAGTATCCAGCGATGAAACGATACTGCTGCAACGAGACTACTGGTTCTTCGTCGAGGGCGATGGTAAAGACCAAATTTCACTCAATACCTGCGAAAACTCACTGACACTTCTTAGATCGATATGCGATTGTTCCAAGCTTCAGAGACTGGCAATTCCCGCACGACAGACTCCCTGAATGGTGGAGTGTCCCATCCTCCAGAACATCACTTTATGCAAAGCGATGTGCCATCACAAACACTAGCTATGCTTTCACATGGGCGCATCTGATACCCAGAGAAGAACAGAGTTGGTTCAGCAAAAATGGCATGGGTCTTTACGGCGGTGGATCACATACCATCGATGACCCGCACAATATTCTACCGCTCAAGGCGGATCTCTACGTTTGCTTTGACCAAAGCGTCTTTGCTCTGATTCCAAAGCAAAGTGGTCAAGCAAATGGAGTTGAAGCCAGCAGCCAATATGTTCTTCACGTGCTTGATGGTAGAGAAGCAGAGTTCACTGCCTTATATCAGAACAGACCAGTCGAGACTCTTGTCGAGGGAAGCCGAGAATACCTCTTCGCAAGATTTGCTTGGTCCATCTTCTCATTTCTAAAGCCCTTCCTCACATCCGGTGTCGGACGAAGAGTCGTTAGATTCCGACTCAGAGCTTCCGATGACGACACCGAAGAGGAGCACTTGATCTCAGAAATGCAGAATGTCTTCCTCGACTCTAGAAAACTTGAGTCGCTATATGGAGGGGGAAACAGACGGAAGATGGTATCGTTGGAGGACTCTTATGTGGATGTTGAGGATGAATGGGATGATGAGCATCCGGGACGGACTGAGATGGAAGGGTAGTGTGACTTTTTATGAATTATGTATTTGGTCAGCGTGAGGCGATTGCTAATGATTTGTTCTGATTTAGGAGAAGAAGGCGGTAGTCTTTGAGGACGGTATTTGTTTTAAATTGGCTATAATGAATTTGATGATTTATGATTTTGGTGCTGCATCCATGATGTTGCTTTGTTTAATCTGAATCTTGAACAAACCTTTTAACCAACACTCTTCCGTCTACTTCGAAGTCATCCGCCTCCTCCTCCACCCGCCAATCAGCTCTATTAACAACAGCCAGGATCTTGACCGTCGGCCCTTCTGGCTTCACCAAGCTGGTGAGAGCTCTGAGCAGTGCACGAGCTGCCTTGTGAGATCTTCTCCCTCCTGGCGAGGAGAGCGGTAGCTCACCACAGCACTTATCGACGCGGTCCACCATTATCCAGATATCCTTGCCCCCAGGAAGCATCCTAATCGCCCTCAAGGCCGCATTCTGCAACAGATTCTGTTTGTGCGATCCCTCTACCGGTGATAGCGTCTGATAACGGGCCAGTGTCGCGAGTAGTTCATCGAGTTGTGTTTTGTCTTGCAAAGCGTTACGGTACTGTAACAGGAGCTGGTATATGATCGAAGATATGACGTGGAATTGAGTCTCGTCGTTCTCATGATGCCCGAGCAGGTAATACACAGAGGTAGGTGAAGAATCGTGCTTGCACCCAGTGCCCTTGTCGATTAGGTTTAGTGCTATCAGGGATGCCCAGCAGTTGGTGGCACCGCTGATATAGTTCTCCCCTGATATTATAAAGAGACCAGAATCATGAGATTGAATCCATCCTTGGTATTCCGGGTCATCAAGAACTTGGCTCAGCTGCCACTCGCGTTCCTGATCACCATGCCAGGTCCTTGGCCAGAACTCCGCTATGACATCGCTCCGATGCTTTTCGAGCTGTTGGTTGTGATCTTCCGTTGAGAAAGCTTGGATCCCAAGTAAGCTTCCAATATGATGTAGAGTCTTGAGGTCATTCTCATTCTGTAGATCTATACTGGTTAGAAATTCGGTCAATAATCTTTTGCTGTTTGACCAACCTTGAATCCGTCTCCGAAGTTCTAAAATATTTTCTATGGGTCAATATCTTATTACCTAACATCCAGGGCCTTTTCTTACCGCTGCTGTCAATCTGTAGATCCTTAAGCTGGTCTTTTATTGCGTTGACATTCTTTCCAAGCAAATCCTCACAGCAAACCCTGACACGGACAACAGCCCTTTTCACATCCTCAGCTTTCAGAGATAGCATACTTTGGCTTGTGAGGGATTGAAAAACTCGGTCTGAAGAAAGCATCAATAATCAGTATCTATGTTCCATAAAAGAGGGATGTGGCATACAAAGGCTTCCTTGGGTGTAGAACTCCGTAGCCGCGACGCAGTAATCCATGAATGAGGCGTAAGCATCAACCACAGCCGATTGTAATAAATGATCTAACTCATGTTCATCGTTATAGATGTGTTGATACATATTCATAGCAGGTAGCCGATCGTGGATGTCTTTCAGCATTGGATGAAGCTCTTCTTCAATCCTGACCCTGTTTTTCGCAATCTGTGTGATGATCAGTACATATTGGCGACGATGACAGTTATGTTCAGGGGCATACAGCGAAGAGACAGCACAATGTTCCCACGGCCATGCCACCAAATGGTGCTCCCAAGTCTCTGACTATCTCCACCATAGGACTGAAGTCTCTCAGGACATCATAGGTTGTCGCTGCGAAGCCGTTGATAGCCCTGGCAACATGGGTAGCTCCATAATTGTCTTTAGCGTCAAATTCCAACTTAGCATTCGTGGCATTGCACCAAGCCTCATTGACCGTTTGTTCGCTAGTCACCTGCCAGACGGATAGCTGTTTGGGGTTGAGTCTTTGAGATTTGACCATCTTTTGTTGAAGCCTCTCTTGGCGTTCTTCCACATGTTTGAGCCTTTCTCTTTACCTGATTAGCTTCACTGAATTGAGGAAGAGCATGTAAAAGGCTGAGGTGTTACATTTCACGCTGGCTTAAATTTCTCCCACTTGTATCGTGACTTGTGTTTAGTGACATGGCTGAGGTAGAGCTTAGATGCCAACTCTATGAAGGAGATTCACTCCTTGCCTTGGTTGGTTGAATGAAAAGAAACGCTGATTTTCAGCTTTTCTTGCGTATATGGAAGAGAGTAAAGTCGGGGAGAATAGGTTCATACGCGTCTAGACTAGTCGATCACCCAGCTACTATGGAATTTCTTGTCTCCTCAACAGTACATCTGAAGAAGGTGAGATTAATCAGAAATAAGCAAACGTGCGTTTCTTCGCTAGAAATTGCCAAACAAGGAAGTGATAGACGAACCAGTACCTGCAGAATGCCTATTTCCTCGAACATTTCTAGTCCTGATACGAAATGGTGCGAATACAACCCCAACACGTACTGGGTATCACAGATCTGGTTTGTACTTCTGGCTCCAGTGCTCCAACGCCTTGATATGCCTGGGGTCGATCTCTGGATCTAACTAACCATAGTGATAAGAGCATTCGGCCACCGAGATCGGGAGATATTCGCGGTTGGCTAGATTAATAACCAGTGGGTCTTCTCGTTGTGATATCAAGTGCCACTTGCACAACGTTTAGAAACATGAGTGTAGCCAAATAGTGCGGTGACTCTCACAACTAACGTTGTTATCCGAGCCAAGCGTTAAGCCAGGATTACTGATGCGCTGGTGACTTGATGAAACCGGGGTGGAGCTTCGTAAATCAGATCTTTTGTCAAGTTCTACTACTCGGCCATGTTCTGCTGCGTAACGCATGTTGTGTCTGGGGCTGACCAATGTTTTACAAGGCGACACGGCAAAATCAAGTCATACGAAGCTAAGAATACCCCGCACCCATTCTCCCAATGAAAGCGATTGGGGTGGAATGTTTCGGGGCCCTGATATACAGTGATGGAAATATATCGTCTGGTGCCCGGTATTCGGCGAAGTGGTAACAGCCACTGATAACATTTGCTTTGGCAGAGCTTATCCAAAGTTGCATTCGCGATGCCACCTTACCCAGTCCAGACCGAGCCAGTGAGTAACTCCTTGCCTCGAGACATTAGCCTACATCACTTACAACGTTACAAAGACACTTCTGAGCAGAATCTCAGCTGTTGAGGAGAAGCTGGCGGAATTGGAGACACGGCTTAGTCCTCCTTCAACTAAACCAGATGTGAACGTCAGGCATGAAGTGAAAGATGTTTCGGAGAACCGCGATGGAAACGGCGAGGTATGTGCGAAATACATATGAACTTTCAAATCTTTCACTCGATGATCCCTGATACGTGAATAGGAAGAGGAAAAGGCCACATCAAGGGTCAAAATTGTAATCATCAAAACGAATCCAGAAACAGGAGAATCCATGGAAGTGGACAGGGCACCTAAAGCGATTCAGTCCAAGGAGCCAGAAGAAAGCAATCATGCATTCATCCTCCGCAAGCTAGTCTATGACGCCAAAGACTCAGCCCAAAACGATTCCGAAATCATTATGACAGATACGAATTTGTGGGAGTTGTTGAAGAAGAAGCTTGGCCATATTCCTTACCATGTGTTTCGAGGATCTCCTGTCACGCTCTTCTCTCCATTTCAGGCGATTGTCTTCCAGTTTCATGAACTGATCAAGGAAAGTCAAGAGGCACGAGAAGGGGAGGCCGACGAGAGAACATGGAAAGATCTTAAACTCCTTTTGGATACAATTTCCAGTGGTTCCTCAGGTGATGAAAGGCTTGACAAGTACTTCAAGATCCGACCAAGCTACAGAAGCCGGGAACCGGAGACTATTCAGTTTGAAGATCTCTGGACCACATTCCCCTCTGGTACCCTGGTGTATGGGGAGGCTTTCCAAAACCAGCCTCAGGTGTTCATTGTCATGGCCAACTCTCGACCTTGGCCATGGCAAAGAGATGACGATAGTCTAAATAGTAATCGTTTGGCACCTTGGTATCTTCATGCATGGTCGTACGATTGGAGAGACGGAACCTTTTGTCGATGCCTTTTCTTACTCAAGTTCCATCCTTTCGATGGGCACCTCCCATTGACCTCCTTACACTTCTACCCGTTCAACCTGCACCCGGATTACCACAATGTACGACAAGATCTTATCCGGCGAGGAAAACAGTTCCGCAAGATCTGTGAGGCTAAACAGAGTTCTCGCCTCTACGAGTACAAAGGGAAAGCGATATTCGAAAGAGCGGGTCTTTCTTCTATTGGGAACGATGACGAGGTAGTAACTATAACATACTCCCTGCATTTAGTGACTGACATCTTCATTATGAGCAGAGTGCTAGCGAAGTAGACAGCCTTCGACTTCATCTCGGACGATCAAGGCAAGACACAAGGTACATGGTGAGCTCGACTGAGACCTCTCAATTATGTGAAGTGAGTTTTCCTTTGTAACTCTGGCCTTACGTCGTCTGGTGTCTCTAATTGCCAGAAGGTTGCGAGCAGAGTTATGGTAGACTTTGAGTCTTACTTTCAATACGCTGAATCAGAAGCACGGAATGGTACCCTCATACCATCAGGTGGTATAGAGTGCCTCTGCTCTGACTGCCAACTGAACACTGGACTCCGTGCCCGGTCCCGAAGCCATTTCGATGACACTGAATTTATCAGTAGAAAAGAATGGGATGACGAGCAATACTTGATATGCTCGCCTCGCGTTCTTGGGTACATATTGAAAGAAAAGCAATGAGCTCAGCTTCTGGTTTCTAATCTGAAGTATATTCCTCAACAGGACAGAGAAGACCTCCTGGGGCGCCTCAAGTTAGCTGATGATGAGGCTCCCAAAACTAGAAAAGGTCAGTTGATATACAGATCATACAAACCTCAAAGGCTGATGTCTTCCCTCCAAGGTAATGGTGGCACTAAGAAACTTCTACTGGACCTCGTTACGAGTCACACATCAGCAAAGACTCAAAGGGATGATGAGGATGAACAGGGCCTTGACGTTGACGATATCATTCCCGATAAAGGGAAAGGGCTAATAATTCTCCTCTACGGTAAGTCTGAGCCGCCAACGGGAAATGTGAATTTTAAGTTCTTAACATCAGGCAGGTCCCCCAGGAGTTGGAAAGACATCAACGGCTGAAACCGTCGCAATGGTCACTGGCAAAGCATTGTTTTCAGTAAGCTTATCTGATGTAGGCACCCAAGCAAAGCATGTTGAGTCGAACCTTGGGAGAATCTTTGCTCTGGCCACCAAATGGCAAGCCATTCTGCTCCTGTACGTATCTCTAAATTATAGAAGCTGAAGCTTGGCAGTTCTTTGAGCTAATGCAGAATCAGCGACGAGGCGGATGTATTCCTGGAGAGCCGCGGGCGAGGCAACAAGGTTCTGTCTACAGACAAGAACGCCCTGGTATCAGGTTGGTGATTATAGGCAGACCATCCCAAGCGCGTCGCTGACCATGCCTTTGATACCAGTTTTTCTCCGTGTCCTCGAATACTACCAAGGAATCATGTTCTTGACCACAAACCAGATCGCTGAATTTGATGTCGCGATCCCTTCACGCATCCATCTCGCAATTAGATACGAAAGTTTGCAAACATCACAGATGGAAGCTATCTTCGATAGCTTTCTCAGGGATCTGGATGAACGGAACCTCATCGAGGACTACTCCGACATCAAGGATTGGCTAGATGATAGTGTGTATAAGGAAAAGCTTGATGGTCGCCAGATTCGCAACATGGTTACTACGGCTCTAGGTCTCGCTCGTGCAGAGTCTCGTTCTGGTGGAGGGCAAAAGCTGAACAAGAGGCATCTGAAAAGGGCTTTTGGGAACATCAGTGATTTCAAGAGGGACTTCAATACGCAGATGCAACGGTACATCGACGGGCAGGAGAAGATGATCAAGTAATATGGACGGCTGCTACATATTGTTCTACAATTCGAGTCCTGTCACTAGTAACTCACGCAAGAGAACTGTGAGCTTTTATCCAATATTTTAACTATGACGGAACCTTTTGCTTGATTAGTATCAATGTCTAACACGACGAGTTATTCAATGAAAGTCAAAAGATGACACGTGGATTGTGTCCATAAAGGAATCAGCATCTGCTGCACATCCGACAGGATCGTTTCCTAGGTTCAGTATCAATTCTTCTGTGTCTCCCCTCTAAGTCCTCTCCGCTGATTTAAGCTCTCAGCCCCCGTTGTCTTCAGCACATCTTGTTCTCATTGTTGTCTCCACGACTAAGCCCGAGGTGTAGACCACCACTCATTGCGTGAGACAACATCTCATCATCCCCATTCTCGTTGCCGCTTTCGAGGTCTCCATAATCAGTGAAGAATCCCTGGCCGGTTATTATGACCTCTTGTATGAGCTGTTCCCATGAGAATTGCTTGCCTGGTCTAGGGTCCCTCAGCCATGGCCATTTGTCGACGAGAAGGTCCAGGATCTCGACTAAAACGCAGAATGGCTGCACAGTTTGATCAGCTCAATCACCATAAAGAGTGATACTGAGACCAGGTACTCAGTCTTTTAAGTCGTTACTTACTTCGGTATGGAGTGGTTCATCGGTTTCGATTGGTTGCGGCAAGTCAAATTCGCTAATGGTCAGTAGCTCAGGAACGGGCACGGGAGTTATCGCTTGTGCTTCATCCCGGAACTGGCCATTTTGAAGTAACTCGTAGACATTTCGGTAGATAATGTCAGATAGATCGCCCACGCCATCATGCAACGCCGCGATAAAGACTTCGACATCTTCCTGCACTTGAGTTTGTGGATAGTGGGCATTGATCTGCATTCTGATGTCAAATATCGGTTTGAGTACAACAGACAACGTTTGGCGCAGTTTGACGCCGCAACGATAGCAATCTCCAAGGTTTACTGTGTTGTCACTTTTGAGGCCGTGAGTGTCCAGCCACTGAATCTTCTGGTCAATGTAATAGGTTGACCATTCTGCCGGTGGATCTGCGACAGGAAATGTTGGTTTTGGGTTTGGTCCTCGAGATGGGACCGTCGTTTGAGTGGGAATAGTAGAGTGAACGGCGCCGTTAAGCTCAGTGGGAATCTGCTCGGCCATTATTTCTGGCGATTGAAGGCAGCAATAGAGAGATAAGAAGGGAGTGGTTGACAAGTGATGAGGTTATGGAGTAGTTTTGCTCTGCAAGACAACCAACCGCCTGGAGACAGCCTGTAGATCAGGAAGATAACGATGGGGAGGTATTTATCTTTATTAAGGACACAAGTGAGTTTGACTCAGTTTAACTTCTGGAATCTATTTGAATCGTCGATTTCCACCGATTGCTGGATGTCGGTGAACCGTCTATTCACTCTTTGCCTATTATCAAGAGCGGGGTAGGACTGTTCTGTCTCAGAACCCCCGCTTCACTGAACCATTCATGCACAATGTGGCTTTTCGAACTGAGCTGATTGAAAAGCAATTTCGATGTCTACTGCAGCCCTGATTTGCTATTGACCTGAAGTGGCGCATATCCTCAATAAGGACCGGAGCTTCTCGTCCTAGCCTATCAATATCGCTTATTATGTCTCATAAATAATATGCAAGAGCAATTTTTATTATCTGTCTCATCCTGCAATAACTAATAACGTTAAAGTAGCATGATAATCGACTGGAAGCACAAGTTGCTGATACACGAAAAAGGACTTATCCCATTGGTAAAGATATCATAATCCCCCCAGTCTTTAGAGTTTCGCGTGACAGCTATTCCCGGGCTTCTAGTTGGACGACCTGCATATTCTGTACCGAGCTGCCTCATTAGATCAATTGTGCAAGGGATATTTCTTCACCTCGGCGTTAGAAGTGGTGACGCGTTCCCGTATCGACGCGGGGAAACCTCCGATAGGCTTCAGCTGCATAAACCGTTGTACTAAGTGCATAAATTGCTCAATCAAGGGTCTTCGAGAGGGGCCTCATGAATATATGATCCACAGACCCCTCATTTATCATTCATACAAGAGCTTCGACGTTTTTCTCTTTGTTCGCTTGAACGCCCAACATTAACGAAATTACTTACTATGGCTGATGATTCTCCGCAAGACCCTGCCGCGACGGCTGCCACTCAGCCAGAGGGCCACTTGGAAGTTGACGTGAGTCGTTGATGCTTCGATGATGCCATTTTGGTTGCTAACCAGCTTTTTAGGACAACTTGGATGCCAACGATTCGCTTTATCATTCGACGTTAGTCACCTGCTCTTGATTATTTGTTTCTGGCTTAATAACGCGGGTGGCAGAATCGGAGGTTCAAGCTTTTTATCGTCCGTGAATGCAAGCATATACAATTATAGGTAAGATATACGCGTGAGAATGATTGTCAACAACCATGACTGACCGGTGTCTCATAGATACGAAGTGAGTTACACTCAATCGGCCGCGATGCATATTAACAACAGACAGAATGGACGTCGATATCATGCATTCCGAGAAGGCACTTATCCCGTGGTATGTATCAGAGCACCACTTCTTGACGCCTTTACTCAATCATATCTTAGCCCAACGACGAAGATGAGCAAGATCGTATGGACCTCGTTCATCACGTATACAGTATCCTTCTCGACGGAAAGCTCCACCTTGCCCCAATTGACGACAATCTTCAACGCGTACTCGACCTCGGCACAGGGACTGGTATCTGGGCGATAGATTTCGCAGAGTGAGTGGAAATGAGAACAAGAGCCGCAGGGTATTAGCCCTCTGACCTACTTGGCGATAGTGAGCATCCCTCGGCAGAGGTTATTGGAAACGATCTCAGTCCCATCCAACCAGAATGGTAAGAAAAAAACCTGCCATGCTGCGTATTATTATGCTAAAAACTTAGGAACCCACCAAACTGCACCTTTGAAGTAGATGACTACGAGGACGAGTGGCTATACCGCACACCATTCGACTTCATCCACGCTCGCGAGTTGGAAGCATGTGTAGGGGACGAGGACCTCATGCTCCAGCGAGCTTTCCGTCATATACGTTCAAACGGCTACGTCGAACTACAGGGCGTAGACGCGCGCTTTGAGTCCGATGATGGAACACTCGATAAGGCGCCTAATGCTAAATCGTGGATGAAGCACCTCATCGAAGCTTGTGCCAAGTTTGGCAAGCCTGTCGACTGTGCGGATAAATGGAAGGATAGGTTGATCAAGGCAGGGTTCGTGGATGTTCAGCAGGAAGTCCAAAAGGTATGTAATTTCTCAGTTGTGCTTTGTCCTGTTTTACTGATTATTGAACATAGTTGCCTATCGGACCTTGGCCGAAGGACCCGAAGCTCAAGGAACTAGGTCGTTATCAGGCTATCCAAGAGTCAAAGGTCATCGACTCCTACACGCCCAAACTGTTTGAGTACGCGCTTGGTTGGAGTGCAGAGGAGATTCAGGTGTTGATGGCAAAGGTTAAGAATGAGCTACGAGACCCGTCTATTCACCTGTATCTCCCTGTCTATTTTGTTTGGGGTAGGAAGCCTTAGTTGAGCCAGTGGCAGGAGAAGTTGTGGGCTACAGCCAAGGTAGAAAGAATGGGCTGTTCCATATGGCTGTCGTGATCAGTTCCTTATATAACTAAATGTTGAGCAAGAGAGAGCATTTCGAAGGTGACTAAAATATAACCAGCATCTACTACATTTTGGACAAGTTTTCATTACAGGTCAAGATCGTGGCTTTTACTGGTAACGCATAAATCACCCCTGTCTTTACCAGCCACAAGAATTGTCGCTAATAAACAAGGACCTCAACCTATAAGGAGTAAAAATGTCCAATTTGACTATTTACCAGTTGTATTTATAATAACCATGTAGACTGGTTTTGTTTACTCTGAGCTTGAAACAACTCTCACTCCACGGCTTCTGCAATGCATTGCGCACCAGGTATACGCTTAATAACGTGTTATACAATGACGAGTAAGCCACACACGCTGCCCAACACAACCAACACGACCAACAACCAACAAAGTGAGACTCGTCCAAACTCGGATAAATACTCGGGGCGCTTCGGCAGTTGCTCCAACCCCGCGTAGAATCTTAGGACACCAGAACCCCAAGCTTGTGACTCTATCACATATTTCAATAGCCGCCTCCTCCGCCCTCAATCGTGACGCAAAAATATGGCACCTTCGGGTTGTACGATGAATGAAACATACCTTCCAGTTGCCATTCAGTATCTTGGCAAAACACTTTGAGTGGGTTGACAAAATTATCCTGTGAGCCTTGAACACTTGACCTTCGCCGGTAACAGTGATGTCGGACAGGGTATCAGTATTGTAATACCTGGGCTAGTATCAGCAGATGTTCTTATTGCAGTAGCTAGTCTTCGTCTTACTCTTTTAAATAGGAGAGAAAGCTCTCTACTCCTTGAGGCGCCATTGCGGGAGGAAGCGGGGTGTTTGCGTCGACGCTTGACGGAGACAGTTGTTTCAGCTTTGACACTGGCGAGGTTCTTCTTTCTCAAGCCCAAAAGATTTTGTAAGCGATGTGGTCGCTCAGAAGAAGAAGATACGTTGTTATATAGGAAAGATGGGGAGAGCCCTGAGACGTATTCCTCGCAGCTTGTATGTGACTACCCGATCTGCTACCCGAGTGGTTGGCCTCCCGCATAGCAAACTGACGCCCTCTTTGAAGGGCGCGATAAAGACTTCGCCTCCATAGCCTTGTCAGTCATAGAAATCCCCGAATTTGTTTCACCATGGGAAAACACATTCCTCACCGCTGTATGGATTGGTTCTATGCACTAATATCTCGCTTTGGAAAACTGCTTAGTGCGTACACAGGACAATCTATTTCGTAGATCGCTGGTTTTGATTACTCACCTCACTTTCAAGGCATGATCATTTGTTTGTACTGTAACTACAGGGACGCTCTATCAGTTAGCCTGAGCGTAAGCCAGTATCTTCTCCTTGTCGCGAACAAGACTACTTGTGGATCAGACCTAACAGAAGCCCCACGCGTGCAGCAACACGTCGATATTCGCTTCTTGTTTGTCTCATCCTCAACGAGACATCAAAAGCAACGCAGTGATTTGAGTTGCCAAGTCATAAGTTCTGTTTGCTGATTTAAGCTCTCAGTCACAACTACAAGTCTCGGCTGCAAGTAACACATCTGATTTGAGTTGCAATCAGGTAACATGGAGGAGCAAATAAAATGAGAGCCGAGTTAGCCTTTTCTTGCTTTCTATTGCTTCAAACACCGACTTCTGTTAGTAGTAACCAAAAGCCGCATTGTGGCAACTAACAACAGCTCAAACCAGTGCTCTGACGCGCAGTGATATGACGTACTTTGAATAGTTTTTCATGGATTGCCTGTAACATAAACACAGATCTGCAGGGGAATAATGTGTCGCCCCGTGGATGGGCCCACGAAACTACCAGTAAATCCTATCACCTGCATTGGTCCAAGTACCTCTGTACTCAATTTATCCCGCTAGCATTTGACAGGGCCAAGCGGTAGATAAAGTTCAAGGATAAACGGCTGACGTCGAGTTCTGCGCCAGTTAAAACGAGCGGATCTCGGTCCGGAACCTGTGAGCGAGCGCGTGGAACCCGGGGTTTCATGGCGTCACAAGGTGACATGGCTTGGTCAGTTGATGACTCCGTTCAAGATTCACAGGGTCCAGCGAGTTCTAGAACGATGGCTTCAGCAGACACAATTGAACTGCCGTAAGGTGGATTATTTGACCCCTTGCTTGTGACAAAAGTACGAGAAATCGTTTGTAGATTCTATAATATCCCATGTCCTGGTGATAACATACAATTTTTGATTGGTCTTGTTGACGATCCACCCGCTTAACCACCACCTGTAACACCAAAAGCGCCGTGGCCCCGAGTGTCAACCTTCTCGAGACTTGCAACGGTGGTAGAATGATCAAAGCAAACAAGAAAACAACCCTAGAGAAAACACCTTTAAGCCTTAGGAAGGCAGGGAACAAAGAGCAAAAAGAACTAAAAGAAGGAAGACTAAAATAAGCAGGAGAAGAAAACAATTCGTGATCCACATCCAAGGTCTCCCACAAAGGCAACATTCTGCACAACAGGGATTGCTTCTCACTTTATCGTGTTCGGTGTTGTGTTCGGTAGAGTCCAAGAACAATTGCTTGGAATGGAAACTTGTAGTAGGAGTGAAGGGTCAAGAGAACCAGAATGGAGAAGATCTACTATTCTGTTCATGGTGTATTGGGATAGCCACTGTGAGTAATTCTTTCGGGCTGTGTCGTCTCCGTGTGCAGGGGAAGATGGATGTTGTTTAACAAAGGGTATGCTGAGCGGGGCATCTGCAAAGAGAGCTCCGCGAGTATTAGAGATGGTATTTGTGGTCATCGTGCTGTTTAATAAATTCTGCATCTACTTCTGTGAGATTCTTAGGCCGAGCTGCATCGTATTGAAAAGAAATCGATGAATGACCCGGGCTAATATACAGGCCGTGTTGAAAACCATCAGACAATTCACTCACGTTTTAACAGGGGGATTTAGCAGCACCAGGTCTCAAGTTTGCGGTGTAGACCCTGCCTGCAGCACTAGCGCACACCACCAAGTCTAGGTATCGTGTCAGGCGTACGTCACAGGCACGCTAGGCACGGCAGGGTTTAACCACCATGAAAATCAGGGTCCTTGGATCCCCGTTGAAAAGTCAGATCAGCGTTCTGTAGGTATTGCTCTTCATCCCAACAATCGAAAAATATTCATTTTCTGAAATCAATAATTTCAGATATTCTCTACCAAAGTCTTTTATTATGGACGATCCAGCATATACATGGCCTGCCGGGAAGTTTGGTCTGAAGAGGGAAGATCTATCTAACAAGCTTCACGACCAGTACAACACTTATCTCGCGCCGATCCAAAGTCCCGAGGCCTTTTACCACGACATCTCCGAAATTGCCCATACCGCACACTCTGCTGCAGAGTTCCATCATCTAGCCCACGGTCGAAGACAACAGCGACTCGATGAATTGAACGACGCCCTCGAGTCTGCAAGTTTCGAGATTATTGGCTATCCGAGACTTATCGAGACACCTCAGTGGGAGCATGCCGTACAGCTCTTTCGCACCAACTCCCTCGACTCACTCCTTCAATACTTCGCCTCGTATCTCCCCCAAGAACACCGCTGGCACCCGTTACATCAAGACTCTGCCCTGTCAGGCGCTGATGACAGTGGAGGATTAAGCAAAAGGCATACCTCTGGTACTACTGGGAAATTAAGTCAAGTAAGTACTGGGGCCTGTATTCTTGATGGTATCACGCTTGGAGCAGCTGAGCACAAACGAGAGGAGATGCACAACAACAACAATGCACACCGCAGGGCGAGGCCCAGTACAAAGACATGGTCTGGCGAAGTTAGCCCAGAACACACCCACTCAACAGCACAGAGAAGAGCCTCGTTCGATCGTCATGCCGAACCAAGGCGACAATTTCTCAATTTCACTCCCCAGAACCCGTCACACTCGGTTGTTCTCAAACTTCAGCCTGCAGCTGGGCACGACATTATAAGTAAAATCGGCTTAAAGAGGAAACGAGCTTAACTAGAAAAGGTCCTTGATGACAACATTGAACTTAAGACAAATCATGCAATGAAATTATTCCTCTATTGGTATTTAGTGATATTTCTATCCGTGATCCCAGTGCGGCATGTCAATTCGGACTAAAGTAATGAGCAATCTTTCGTCTCACCAACATGTAGGCTTGGATCCAAAGTTACCAATCCTGAAAATTCACACGGTGTGTCGATCTTTATCGCGACTCAATTCACATGCTGTGTTGAGCACATGTGTAAATTTACCTCGGCGTGAAGACGTAAACAAGTTAGTTTTCGGCAGAATTTGTCCCAACAAACTCGATTAGTGGAACTCAACAAAATCGAATAGTCAAAGCAGACTGGGATCCTCATATAGCTTATATACTTATCGCCAGCAGCGTTGTTCATCTATCGAAAGCTATATCCAGAAGCAACTGGCCCTTTACGGAATTGCACAACAAACACTGCCTGAATGTAATGGCGGAAACATCACTATGGGATTACATATTTATGCGCACGTCCATCTTTGTCTTGCACCTCATCGCGCCCCTGAGTATCGTGGTCTCTCTCATCTTATCCCTAGTCCCCCTCCCATTTCAGATTCCGAGGTTTCTCAAGGCATGGTTGATTCTTGAGGCCCTATTCTATATCTTCGTATACCTTCCACTTAACAAGCACCTTCAAAAACCCGCAAACCATCCTACTGCACCCTGTCGAGCTGATCGTCAAAGGCTATTCCAACAATGTCATGACAATATTCCAGACGCAGGCCAGTATCTAAGGAGGTGGTTTCGCGATGCACCAGAGCATGAGATAAAGCGTGAGAACGTTAAGGAATTCTTCCGATGGGGCTTTTTGAACTTGGAAGATTCTGGTTCTACGTATGATGACGAGCTAGAGGAGTATATCGAACAACTGGAGGAGCTGCTTGAAAGAAAGTTGGAGCCTGGGAGGGGGGATGCTAAATGCCTGCGCATGACTCTTGCCAAGGTTGAGATGCTTCATCGAAGTTTAAAATGGTACCTAGTGAGTCTCTATAAAAGCAATGGCGTTCACTTGCACGCAACAGATGACTAACTTTAAGTCTCTACTATCTAGTGTATCTTTGTTGTCGACACGATAGCATCAGCTTACTTGCTGTACCATTCCTTCATCTTTCACCGAGCATCGATGTCCCAGTTCTTTACTACTTTTCCACTTCGGCCTCTAAGTCTACTTATGCCCCATAGGTCTCCCGCCAAGAGGCTTACCTACTGGCATCGGCCACATACGTCCAAAACAAAGCTACCCATTCTCTTCATCCATGGCATCGGCGTGGGACTTTATCCCTATGTGAACTTTCTGGCTGAACTCAATACGGCCGGTAGTGCAGATGGAGATGTTGGCATTATTGCTGTCGAGGTTCTATCAGTAAGCTCTCGCATCACAGGCCCGGCTATGTTGAAAGAGGAAATGTGCGAGGAAATCCATCGCATATTGTCTTCGCACGGATGGGAAAACTGCGTCTTGGTCTCTCACTCGTAAGTGCCATGATGCGACTTGAACTCAAATTGTTAATATTCCTGATGTGAAGGTACGGAAGCGTTGTGGCCGCTCAGCTTCTTCGAGACCCCAAGATCTCCGCCAGTATCGGCCCCGTTGTGTTCATTGATCCGGTATACTTCCTTTTACATCTGCCTGATGTAGCATATAACTTTGTGAGTGTGTTGGAAATCTACGTTGCTGGTCAACCTAACCAAACCTCCTTCTCCAGATATGTCGACGGCCAAGTGAGACAAAGGAACACTTACTGTCCTACTTTGGCTCGAAAGACATAGGTATTGCTCATACGCTATTTAGGCGCTTCTTCTGGGCCGACAATTTACTCTGGAAGGAAGACCTACAGGATCGACCTACGGCCGTGGTTTTGGCCAGTAGAGACAGTATCATCGATGCGAAATCGATTCGGGCTTATCTTGTTGGTTCAAAAGATTGGACACAAAGTCCAAACAAAGAGTCAGAAGAAGTTGAAAGGGATAGTAATTTTGACGTGATCTGGTTCGAGAACTTGGATCATGGTCAGGCCTTTGATTACAAAACGACAAGGCTGCGTCTCGTTGAGACTGTTCGAGGATTGTGCAACGAGGCTATAGGCCCTGAAAAGGCGATGGAGGCCGGAAAAAAGCGCCTGAACGGTCTATTGTAAAGCGATTCGCTTTAAGGATGTCTATGAGTTGAAAGAGTCTTGGCTAATTTCTGCATCTTACATCACCAGCGATTACCGCTCGTATAGATAGCATTATTGAGCTGTTTGTTTTCGTGTTTGCACCAACCTACCTTTGCTTGTTCAGTACCTATTCTGTCCCCCAAGTTTAACGTTTGTTTTGTCCACCCATGGGCACTGCATGCAAAGTTCCATGCTTGCTGATGCGTTGATGCCTTACGGATTGATTGGATCGGGGACTCGGACTCCCGCAGCTGATGTTGATCCGCGGGTCGATGTGATTGGTAGATCGCCTTTGTCATAGCGGGTATCCTGCCACAGTGAATCAGCGCCACTTCCTTCCTCTGTCCAACGTTCTTGGCTTGTTTACCTCAAATTGCTTCGGACAAGATTCACTTTCTTCATCTCATTTCATATTCTCTACTCACTCCTACATTTACTTCGACTTCTGTGTCCTCAATCTTCAAACTCATCCAGTCATCGTCCTGATCATCCAGTCAAGATGACTCAGACTGAACGAAATTCGCGATACAGAGCGCATAACACGTTCAGTGCAAAACCGAAACTAGGAAAGTTTCATCTCTTTCGATTCCTACCGTATGATCTGCGGCACTCAATTTATATCCTCGCAACCCCTCGGCGGGTCGTTCGTGTGGAGGAAGGGCCAGTTAACCCAAAGGAGAATCGGGCTTGGTTTGACCAAGACTATGAGAGCTACTTCGACTATGCATTCGAAAAGTTCTATCAAGAGATGCTAGTCGATATTTCACTTCCACTGGCGAAGCTACACCCTGACCTCGCCGCCTTTGCGCACAACTGGCGACACAGAATTCCATGGGAATCATATAATCGTCGACCCAAACAGACATACTTAGAGGCGTACGGTTTCACCTCCAATCGACCTGCTCACGAACCTTGGAAGCCATCAGAGGAAACACCGCGCATTCCCGCGGACTGGCTCGTCGACTATCCTGAACTCGCGTTCGAATTAACCCGCAAGTCTGCTTTGTACAGCGACGCCGAGATACCTGCATTCTTGCATGTATGCTCAGAATCACGACAAGTACTGGTCAAGTGTGGTTACCGGCTCTTCTTCGCAACTCGATCAACAGGCCCAAGAACTTGGTTTCACCCTGGCCGAGATCGTCTCTACATCCCTTATACAATAGAAACCTTTCCGAGAACATATGACAGCGATTACGGATCTGGTCTTCCGGGGGAAGCTCGTACGCCATATCCATGCCCTGAGCCCGGTTTGATACTCTCAGGTTGTCACTGGGATATAGGGCAGTACCGCGTGAGTGACTTGAAGCAAGTCGAGAACGTTATCCTCGAAAGCCCCTCCACAGGTAAGGATCAGGACAAATTGGTCGCGGAGCTCCAGTCTCTTCTTCCCCTGCTTTCAGGTCTCAACCAGCTGTTTCTTGAGGACTGGGGACTAGAAGAATTTTGGGATTGGTTCAATCCATTCAGTGGTTTTCACGCTATGGATGTCAAGATCCCAGCCAGCGCCGTGGCTTGCATTCCTGTTGAGGATATCGATGCTATAGGATATGCTTTCTGGGAACGGTCTCGACCAAACGACGACAACAAGCTCGGTCCATTATGCTACACCGGGTATCGTAACAGCGACTTCAACCAGTATCTGGAAGACCCATCTCGATCTCAACCGTACCACGAGGCACACGCCGAATCAGTGAGGGCTCGGCTTCATGAGTGGAGGTCCGAACTTACATCCCAAGCTCAGAAACCTCGAATCCCGACAATTTGCCACGTCAATATCTGCCCCGATGCATTTTCAGAGGCCTATATGGCCAACCGACACAGGTTTTGGAAAGCCATCACGTCTCTCCATGATATGCAAGTTCAGGATCAGGACTTTCGACAAAAGTTCTCAATGCAGATGAGCGATTGCCCACGCCCTTTCAGGATCAACTGGCGGCAACTGGACTGGGATCACGACTGGCCAGACACAGTCGAGGTTGCACGACTGACAGATGCGAATGGGATCGATTGGTATATGGAAGGCACGCTTCAGGCTTGGTATTTGAGGCGGTTTTCTATTCCGGAGCCGCAGTTTATTGAACTGTAGCAAGTACCAAGAGTCTGCTGATGGCAGTGGGAGGAAAGAAAAGTCGAGGCCTTGATCCTGAATGATCAAAAGACCTAGGTGACGATAGGTTTAGGATACTTGCGTCATACATGGCCATGGAGTTGTCTTCTGAAACGCTTTTGTCCCTGCATTGAAACCCACAAAATAGCGATTTGCTCTTATGCTGATCAGGGTCTCATCCAGCGATTACTCAGAACCAATCATACGCTCCTGCTATCCTAAAGCCATCGGACAGTAGGGGGTTGTGTTCTGGCGTAGCTTCTATTGGACGGCTATATAGCTGGTTAAATCTATATCTCGTCACCTGTCAGGCTGGCACGTCATCTCTGCGGCACGGTTCATCAGGTCGTGCCTTCTTAGGAACTCAGGGTCTAAGCTGATGTCACTGTGGCAATGCTATCGAATCGTTGTGTCTTTTGTTGAAGCTTCGGAGACTTGTGGGGGGAACGATAATCGATATGACATCGCAATGGCGAATTCTCGTGGTTGAGGTATGATTCTTAATGATATGGTTGTTTCTTTGATTGGAATCGATCACCACTTCCATTATCTATATAACAATGCCTCCAGCCCGCTCATATCAAAATGAACTCAAGAACGTAAACACAAAGCTCTACGCCTTTACAACACTACTTTCACAAATTTGCACTTGAATCATAACTACTATCTCATATCACGATTACCATAACAACATGGCTCCCAAGTGAGTTTCCCACCTTCTATGAAGTGCATGCCAGTACTAACATATACTCAGCTCTAAGCGCCGCTTCTCCCTCAGTGCCCTCTCTCCCGCATCACGGAGATACAACAAGGTCATGAGCGATAGACCCGACAATCGTCGATCTATCGACACTACAGCCACTACCTCTACATTGGGCGGCATGCCTGTCGTTGAGGTCGAGAGCCACCTTGTTGACCCGGCGTATCGCTGGACAACTGCCAATCGAATTGGGTAGATGTGGCAAAAAGAAAATGGTCTTGTGTTTGATGCGATAGCACGGTATACCAATGTAAATTAGTCGGCGATTAAATTTGAACTGTCTTTTCTATACCATTCTATGTTTACTCAATGACACCGAAGTCCGATCACTTAAAAGCGGGCTCCGGTTTTGAGCCGTAAGGAATAATCCTAACCATGTGCCTCCGCTCATTATCTCGGAAATCAGGCACAGCAGAATGTGCTGTTCCTCGTTGATCCCAAACCACGACCGTACCTTTCTCCCACTTAACTCTGCAACTGAAGTCCATGCTTCGAATGTGATTCTTCAAAAACGACAACAAGTGGTCAGACTCTTCCGGTAGAAAGCCCTCAACTTGGCGAGCAATCGTAGGATTGACAAATAGAGCTGGTTTGCCGGTGACAGGATGTTTGATGATGAGAGGATGCGTCGCGTTGATCGCCTCTGCCAGAGCACGTTCTTGTCCGACTCGTCGTACCTCACCCTCGGAGGCTGATGTGTGATGAAGTTTGAGATCGTGAAGAGTTTTTCTAAATGCAGGTGAGAGAGCTTCATAGGCTGCTGTAAGAGACGTAAAAGCCGTGTCGCCACCACCTGATTCCGGGATCTCGAGGACCCAGAAGAAGGTGGTGGACGGTACATTTGGTGTAAATGTTTGGTCGATGTGCCAGAGGTCATATGTCGTTCGAGGTCCTAGGAGCTTTCTCAAGTTGCCGCTGCATTTCATCAGTGCTCTTGTTGCCAATCAAGTTGACTGAATGACTCACGTCTTCTCATCGGCGTAGACAACATGAAACTCTGGCCCCGTACCCTTCGGATACCCCATAGTAGGATGCTGATGAAGCGGTCCATAATGCTTAACTATCTCCCTTTGTCTATCAAACCCCGCATCCGCAAAGTCCTGGTCCCTCTACAAAAGTCAGCACTCTTCAATCACAGTCTCAAGATAAACTCACAAAAACTACAACACCCCGTTCAGCAGCCAGCAAAGCCAACTCATCGAGCCCCTCCCTCCCCAACGCACTAATCTGCACACCCCGGACTTCCGTGCCAATACGTGGGGTAATATCAACCGTCGTAGCGCCCTTTAGCAGGTTCGCTTTGGCGGGATCAGCCCGAAGCCCTGGCTCTTCCGCTTCAAAAAGCGGCACAGCTACCGGCGCATTGTAGCCATCCGAGCGGGTGGGAAGATAAGCGGGATACAACGGTTCAGACGACATTTTACTTTGTTAGCGATTGAATTGGGATGTGCAGCCTGCGTCTTAGATATCTCCGCCTTCGGATGGTGTAACCCGAATTCGTCGGGGCTTGTCCGACGGTTCTAGCTAGAAGAGGAGATTATGGGCTCGTTATTTGCAGGGCTGAAGGCGTAAGCCGGGTGACTGTACCCGCTCTGTAGATCGAGCCAATTGTATCTGTTGTGATTCAAGATAAGCAGTGGGGTAAGCTCATGGTGTTTCTGCTAAATCGGACCCTTGATCACGACAAACACGGTAGTTTAACTGCTCGGCTCCGATCTTGGTACCACTGACTCGTGATCTTGCGATATTTATAGTCTAAGCTCGTCATGGCTACCTTCTTTCACTGAGAGAACGATACTTGCCGGGGATCGAGAACGTCTCTAGCCCAGAGTCAAAAGTGGCGGGCGGGAATTTTTTTTAAATATTCTAGAGGACCCCAAGTGTCGATCATTTCTCAACTCCTCTTTTTACTTTTCAGCGGTCTCTGAAGCAACAAAGATGTCGACCCCAGCTAATGATTCTGCCTCTGAGGAGAGGCAGAGTGTTGCTTATGTTGAGTCGACGTCGTGGTTGGCCAAGGTCCATCCATATTTCAAGAATCCGGCTCATGTTTTGGTCCTCAAGCTTGATTGCTTGTTGCTGGTCTGGGCTTTTATTGCTGGCCTTTTCAAGGTACTTATCAACGCTTTTCCGCGGACTGAAAGATGTTGATGACTTTACAGGATATGGATCAATCTGCGACGACAGCTGCATATGTCTCGGGAATGAAAGAAGATCTCAAACTATACGGCAATGAATTGGTGGAATTTACGACATATTTCTCCATCGGTTACGCCCTCTTTATCGTCCCATCGCAGCTCATCCAAACCCGCGTTCGACCATCTCTCTTCCTCCCTCTCTGCGAGATAATCTGGGGTTTATTCACGCTCTTCACCTATAGAGCTCCAAATGCAAAGACTGTTTTTGCCCTGCGTTTCTTCCTTGGAGTTTTTGAGTCTACGTCGTGGCCCGGCATCGTGAACTTGATCTTCAATTGGTATGTTCACTAATCACAAGCCTCTAGCTTCACGAGTGGCTAACCAGCCATTAGGTATCGACCCGAGGAGTTAGGAAAGCGACTGGCGATCTTTGGCGTCAGTGGCGTCGCGGGAAACATGTTTCTCGGCATTGTTCAAGCCGCCCTCTACAGAAACCTCAACGGCGTGTCTGGTCTTGCTGGTTGGCAATGGCTCTTCATCATCAGCGGTGTAATGACTATTTTCTGGGGCCTCGTCGGTCTTGTCATCATTCCAGACTCACCTGCCATCACTCGAGCTCTTTGGCTCTCTGAATCCGAGAGGGAGCTGTGTCGTCTTCGAATGAGCGATAGCGGCGTCAAGACTTCCAGAATCATCCCCTTCAAGACCTTGGTTCACAAGATGAAACTTCTCGTCCTCAGCCCCCTTTCTTATCTCTTTCTTGCAGGCTATCTACAATTTGCCTGGAGTCAGCGCGCAAACGCCTACTTTCTCCTCTTCCTCAAAGGTCTCCAAAACGCTGACGGAACACCCCGCTACTCAGTCTATACTGTCAACCTTATCCCACTTGGTGGCTACGCTATAAGCATAGTCTGCAATATTGGTCTCAACGCCCTCAGTGATTGGAAGGCCTGGCGCTGGCAAGTTAGTGTTGGCGCCGCCACTTTACAGCTCATCGCTACCTCGGTTCTCTCCGGCTGGCCTGATTCGTGGAAGACCGTCATGGCTTTCTATTTTCTCACTTTTGCTACGGCTGCTTGGGGCTATGCTCTCCTCGCATGGTTGGCGGAGATCTTGAGGAAAGAACCGGAAGTGAGATCTATCTTGGTGGCTATTGCTGTTACGCTTGTTTATGCTGGACATGCTTCTATCCCACTTCGTGCGTGGCGGGTTAGCGATTCACCTAGATATCCGGTTGGGTTCCCGCTGGCTACTGCGTTTAGTGTTGGGAGTATTGTGGCTATTATGGGGATGTGGCTTTACATACGGAAATACCCTGACATTGTTACCTGGGGACTGGATCCTGAAGGTGCCCAGGCACATGACGAGGAGGAGACTATTCCGAGGGATGATGACCAGAAGACACCCGTGGAGAGAAGCGATCGAGTTTAGCTTTTGACGAGATGACTATATGCCTGATACAAACTTACGCTTTGCTCAAATTCAAGACTAAGGCACATTTCTCAGAAATGTACCTTCACTATCAGACCGTGTTATGCATAGCCTCAAGTGTCATTAAAGCATAACAATGGCGAAATATAAAGCTAGCTCCATATACCTCAAAGGATCAAGATGATGACATCTTTATACAGCAGCCCATCTCTTAGCGGCTGATGTTGGTCCTCCTTCTCCTCCATCAGAGCCAATAGTAACTTGATCAGTCCTCACTATGCCCTCCTTGGGACTCTCTGGCCGAGACGAAACCGTGTGGGATATCTTGTCGGCATCGACTATGTTTTCCTCACTCCCTTCCTTCCCTTGGATCGTGAAACCATAAGCATCAACCTTCTTTCGTGGCTTATCTTTGAGCTCGATGCCAGGTTGCTGCTGCCCGCTCTGCTTGCTGTAGTCTTCGTACTGGTGCTTACCAGTACCTTTCTTGGTGCTCCAAATATTTCTTCCCTTCAACATCTCAAGGATGGGCTGGAGCACTGGTATGCAGGCTGCTATAATGATCAGGTTGCCTTCGACACTTCAACGTTTGTAAGCTATTCGACGGGCTCTGGTAAGGAAACGGATGGGTTCACTTACGACGTCCAATACAAAGGATCGCATAAATCGTCTGAAGCTTGATGTTAGTGCGTGAGTTCGAACAGCTGTATTCTTGACGACCTACAGCTAACGTCTTGGCTGGCTAGTGTTGGAACGCCTGTTGCCTTGACAATACCAATAGCGCCGCAACTAGATTTGTCAGTGTAAGATCAAGGCTACATGATAGCTTCGCACTTACACCACTCCCATGCCAAGTGCAAGACTAAGTATCAGCTTCTTCTTCAAAGGCATGAGAAGTCTCCAAAGAGTGATGGCTGGATACACAGCGAGATAGAAGTCCAGAAACGCGGAAAATGCTAACAAATAGTTAACTCGATTTTCCATATTGTGACGAGCTCACAAGACTAACAGCTTGCCCAAAACGCCAGCCCTTCCAGTTTATATGGTGCCAAACAGTCCCTTGGCATTGTCAGGGTCCAGAGGGCCCTTGGGGGACTGCATTGCAAGAGCAAGGTGGTCACCATGGCCGTGAGAGACAGACAGCAAATAATCCCCATGGTCCACAAGACTACCAGGTGTATTTTGCTAGGCATGAGAAGTCGAGCTAGTAGAGCGATGACCGCTAGTTTAGGGAAGCCGAGCGTTTCGATACCGGGGACATATGCGGCCATCATCCACTTGATGGTATTCTCTTTCTCTTCAAGGTTCAAGACATCGAAGTGTTTACCATTGCCCCAGTATACCGACATCGTAACGAAAACGTTGGAAAGAATGGCGCAAATCTATTGTCGATTAGTTAATCGAAAGATCCTGTAGCAAATATAGAACTGAATAATTGCTTACAATCGATAGAATGATGAAGTAGTCGTCGATGAAAAGCGCACGATGGACAGCACCACGGACGTAGAGGCGAGCTATCACAAAAACAAGCGCCAAGACCGTGAAGGTCCAACAGACTGCAATTATCATTGGTCCTTTGTCTTCCATCTTGTCGATGATTTTTATCCGTGCACTGGTGCTGTGAAATGGTCACCGAGTTGAGAGCGTCTGTCTGTAATAATAGGATTGCATTCGCAATGTAATCAAAGCGAAGAGCGACAGCGCCATCCCCTTTTTCTTTTTGGCATAGGAATTAATCTCTCTTGTTGGTAACCTGTTGCATGATGCCTGATGTAAACCAACAAGCAAACTCGCCTCGGGGATAAGTAACAGGGGTACAGAGCTATTGTCGACCCAACACCGTATGTGTCATGCAGTTGAGATGTGATATCACACAAGTGAGGCAACTTGCAAGCTTCGGAACTGTGAACCCGGACACTCGATCTGAACTCGAATACCAGGTCTAGAGTCATTCCGTAAACGATACACAAATAGTCTATCACCTGAACTCTGATGTAATTCAAAAGAAATTTGCTCTTTGTTTGTACAAAAGCCTCTAATCAAAAAGCCTCAACGGACAAAAACTTTCATCACATTCCCTTCTTAGCAGTCAGAAACACAACCAACAATGGGACATGGGTACAGCCAACACATTTGTGGGGTCGGAAAACCTGTCCCGTATGCTACTTTCTGATATTATTGGTGGCTAGATGAGAGAAAATCACTGACACGAGAGAAAATAGCAATTAATGCAACGTTGAAAGACTTGGCATCGTACGTGCAGGCCTGAACCAACAAACATTACCCTGGTCGACGGAGCAACTCCTCCAATCATTCGCACATCAGTAGGGCATTGACTAACCGAGATGCCTTTTCTTGGTATAAGTGGAACTCAATTGTGCGTGATTCCTAGAAGTATAACCCCTTCCCCTTGCTGGTACTCCTGGATTGCCATCCTGATCTTTCCTGTTCTCAATCTTCACGAAACTCGCTTAACACGCCATGACTGAATCTGTCGATCTCTCGTTCGCAACGTGGCCCGGAAACATTGATGCCGTAGGAGACTTGATTCAGGAGTTATTCATCCTTCAAAAAGATCTGAATCATGGAGACGAGAACATCCGGCAGACGATGCTTGTCAAAGCTCGGACCCTTGTCCATTCTCTTCAAACACCCAGGGAGATTATGGTCCAGCACACATGGGCTGATGTACGTTGGCTTAACCATTGCTTAACCATACAATCTGACAATTAGAAGCCAGGATTAAATGCAGTGCTTATCACTGGAGTTGACATAGGACTCTGGAAGCTCATGGTAAAGAATGGTGCCGATAAGGCTCAAAAGGTGGAAGATCTTGCGAGATCTCTAGGCATGGATCCTATTCTCTTAGGTAAGTAGTGATATCCAAAGTGATCAGTCACGCTAATGCTTCGTAATTATAGGACGTCTTTTACGCCATGCTGCTGCCATGGGGCACCTCGAAGAAGTCGGCCAAGACGAATACAAACTTTCGAGTTTCACCAAGTCATTGAGCCTCGATGTCATTGGTGATGGGTATCTCGCACTGTATGTCGTAGTTCCAAATGCTCAACACAGACAATTCACTAATATTCTCAAGACTTGGCGGGATCGGTCGCAGTCCAATCGAGTTCTACAAGTTTCTCCGCCAAACTCAGTGGAAGAACCCAACCGATGCCAGTCACACTGCAATGCACGTATCTTACGACACCAAGTTGCCAAATTGCTTCGAGTATCTGAGGTCTATTGGTCTGGGCCCTCAAACTAACAATCACAGTCAGTACATACTCATTCCCTCGGGTGAAAGCTGTGAATACTGATATCAGACAGTGGGAGGCTACAGACAAGGTCGATTACCATGGATGCATCCCTCGCTTTATCCTGTAGAGGAAACCCTTTTCACAGGATCAGACGAATCTCCTGACGCCCCTCTACTGGTCGACGTTGCAGGAGGTCTTGGCCACGATATCCACGAGTTCAAACAGTTTTACCCTAACCACCCAGGAGTGAGTCGCATATTCGCAGTAAAGACAGTCAATACTGACAAAATACTCAAGAAATTGATCCTTCAGGATCTCTCAGTTGTTATCAACGACGTAAAAGGCATTGATCCTTCTATAGAACTAATGCCTCATGACTTTATGACCGAGCAACCCGTGAAAGGCGCAAGAACATACTTCATGCACTCGATTCTCCACGACTGGCCAGACGATGTGTGCCGCAAGATCCTGGCTCGCCTTGCAGAGGCCATGAAGCCTGGCTATAGCAAACTTCTTATCTTCGAGTGTGTCATACCACGAACGGGAGCGTACTGGGAGGCTACAGCTGGTGATATCCTCATGATGACACAGCTTTCGGCTCTGGAGCGCACAGAGGATAATTGGTACCAGCTAATCGAGGGAAGCGGGTTGAATCTTAAGATCGTCAAATTCTGGAAGTGTGGAGTCGCTAGTGTTGAGAATCTTATTGAGTGTGAGCTTGTGTGAAGGAATTAAGCAGCGAATGATATTACATAAACATTGCATTCACTTGAGTTCTACATAAGATTGTATAGCTATAGCCATATCTCGCCTTCGAAGGTAATTGTATACAAGTTAAGATCGATGCCTTATCCTTGCAGCTTAGCAACCAGCTTATCTCCTAAAGCCTTTATACTCTTGGAGAAGTCCGCACGGTTCGTAGCTTTCCAATCAGCACCATTCTTTCCAGGAACAGCCTCGTCACCCTTAAAGGCAATGTATAGAACATCCTTCTGACCATGTCCATTGTCTCCATTGAGACCCTGGTTAGGGAAGCAAAGCTCAGCGAGAGAAATTGAAGCTTCGCCGGTAGAGGTACCTCCGTTTGTATCTCCCCAGATGCCGTAGTGCTATAAAATATTAGCAGGGAATTTGGATTATCCATTATGGACCACTTACCACTTGACCATTGCAAACAACGGCCATGATACTCAGTGGCTTGATTCCATGCTGCGCAGGGTCGAAAGACGGTGATGCTCCATCGTTGCCGAAAACCACGTAGGGATGAACATTAGCATCCAAGTCCGGGATGCCGTACTGCTGGACAGTGTCCTTGAACGCAGTCTCGCCCTGTCCGGATGGATCGTTCGAGCAAGCACCGGCATGATTATTGGCTCCATCACAGTCGATGTCCATATTGTCGTAGTTTCCGTTAGAGCCCTTGAGGTAGATAGCCCCTGATATATCGCCGCAGTATCTAGCACCCTCCGGGAACCTGTCAGAAAGGCGGTTGGAGCATGAGCCAGCCTGCTGTCGTTAGAGTCATACTTATGAGGGACAGGGCAAGACTTACCTTGTGGTTATCGTAAATCGATTTCAGATTTTGGGGGAGCTGGTAAGCACAAGCTGCTGTGCCCATCGCCAGGGTGGTAAGAAGCGAATATGAATGCATGGTTGTCTTTAGGTACAGCACAAGAGAGTCTTTGACTTGATAGCGTTGAGAGTGTATTCTGCATAGAATTCGAAGGGGATCACTAGAGCTTTTATATCTGATGTACTCATTCATTATGAGCCTACTCTTGTCATGGTTCGACAAAGATTAAGTACACCCTGCCCCAGTGTCAAAGTCCTCCATATGTTATTCTAATCGACAAGTCACAGGTCTATCTTCGCTGCCGAACTCCCGAAGTGCTTTGACTTCCTAACCGCTTAACCTTGATGGGAGAGTCAAAACATGCCCCCTAGAGTTCTCTGGTAACGCTACGGAAATAAGCAAGGGGTAAACTGCCTAGAACGCTGATTTGTAGTTCCGTGTCTTAAGCTTGCTTCACCCGGCTTACATGTGACTGGCATCGCTTGGTATAGTCACTTAGCTCTAGTCAGAACGAACTTCTCATGGATTTGGGACTATTTAGCATAACTGAAGGCAAAGCAGATCCTATCGTTGAGGGTATTTCTTCAAGGTTCATGTAACTAATAGGGCGCATGATTTACACCTTAGCAAAGGCCTCCTATATTACTCGTTTATATCATGAAACAATGAGCAAGGTCTGAAGGATCTGTTGACGGAAGGCCCGATAACCCCTGGTGATGGTCGTTCTAGTGTGAAGATCCTTGGGCCCGAAGCCAACACTGGAATCTGTGGTAGTTTGTGGTTCAACTAAAGTTCCACGTTATTCACTCACCTTAGTTCTTCCGACATCAACTGCCTCTAGGACGATCATCCTTCCTCGGCATTGGTGTCACTATATGTGTCTCAGTCAGTTCGATGGAAGCTACGGGGAAATCGCAAGTCATAAGTTTAAGTCTAGGCAGCCAAATAAACGACAAGAAATTAATGTTCTTACTTCTAAAGCCGTACTCAAAGCTCTTCTAGTAACCATCAAAGGGAATTTTGTCCTAAATGAGCAACCAAAGTTACGTGGGTAGATACCAATAGAGGCCGGGACGTCCCCAAATTTTCATCCCGTCTTGATCTCACCCGTGGCATTACGACCGGGCCGCTGACTTGTCTAGTCAATCCAACATACCCCTGCATTCTTCCTTAGGGCTGAAAAGGGAGTGCAAGTCTAGGCAGCTGTACCATCGAACCATTCTCTCGGCAAGTCCCGACTTGGCAATCCGTATTATACTTCTAATGCTTATACGGTTTCACTATTCAAGACTACGGAGTACCCAGGCGGGTATTGAGATCAATATGAAGAAATCCGGAGAGACCGACTGCAATGCAACGTCGGCCTCCACTCGGCAATCTATATGCGGGATGAGGATCGTTGTGGTATGATCATTGCTCAAAGAGGAAGTTCCATTGTCTCTCCGCACAATAGTTCCCCTGGGATCGGCCGCCCAGCCTGATGATCAAGGTTGCGTTCGATGGCATCAGTAGGTAATTCGTAACGTAGCATATTCTTTGCAGTTGAGTCGCCAATGAATGGCCTGCTTTCAATGCCGAAACTACTGAAATCCTCCTGTTTCTTAGTTCAGTCTGGGGTGAAGCTAGCCCAATCGAGTATCCCATATCCATACCCAGGCACGTTTCGGAACATGAATTGAAATTCGAAGGGATGAACTAGTATAAGGACTTAAGCATTTATTGTCATGAGCAGTAAATCCAGTAACTCACAGTAAATAAGGAAATTCGTATATTCATAGTAAGATCAGTTTGTCCTGGAGGCATCATGAGTGTATGAGGTCTCACCACAGGTTGAAATCCCCGCTTACTCAATGGCCTCGACTTTCCGCAATGGCACGATCCGGGGTGATTTAATGCAGCTTAACGGGCCGAATAAGCTCAATATCCTGATCAGCTGGCCCTATGCAGTAAGTTAAAGGAAAGAAATGGCGAGAAAGCAGGCTGAGACAAATAAGCGGAGTTCGAAATGATCGGCACCATGTGAGGCTGATGTAAATAGGCTATAGTCTGAGTAAAATACCCAGAGTATATATCTACACTATCTATCGCTGATGACCTGGTTATTCTTGTTCTCATCTCGCCACCTGAGCAACAGCTTCTCGCCAAGATGCATTACTCTACCCTTCTTCCCTTGATCCTCGCTGGCTCAGCCTCAGCATGGCTTCCCCATGAGCGCGACCTAGCTGCCTTCAACCAGACTGCTCGCCACGAACAGCTTGGGAAACGCTTCAAGCCAAATTTACCCAGCGGTGTAACCAAGATCCGCGGAGTCAACTTCGGAGGTAAGTCCCCAATATTCCTCTCATGGCGTATCTGCTAACAAGCAAAAGGCTGGCTCGTCTGCGAGCCCTGGATGCAGCGTGATGAATGGGCAAACGTCCTCAAGTGCGGCGACTCTGTATCCGAGTTCGACTGCATGCGCGATCACTACCTAGGATCAAACCGCGAAACTGGCAATAGTCGTTTCGAACAGCATTGGAAGAACTGGATCAACCCCGCAACTGTGCAGTCAGTCCATGACGTAGGACTCAACACCATCCGAATCCCCATCGGATACTGGTCCTACACTGATATTGTCGACAAAGCCAGTGAGCCGTTTGCCGATGGTAACCGCATGCTTCCTTACCTCGACGCTGTGGTCCAAAAGGCTGCTGATCTTGGTATCTATGTCATTATTGACCTTCACGGTGCTCCGGGTGGTCAGCAGGAAGATGTCTTCACTGGCCAGAACAACAAACCAGCCGGCTTCTTCAATGACTATAATTTTGGTCGTGCCCAGAAGTGGCTTGCTTGGATGACGAACCGCATTCACACCAACTCTGCTTACTCAACCGTTGGTGTAATCGAAGTTCTGAACGAGCCTGTTTCTCGCCATGATGCGAATAACCGCTATCCTGCCCCCGGCGAGGACCCAGGCTTGATCCAAAAGTACTATCCCGCCGCCCTCAAAGCCGTCCGTGACACCGAAGCTTCTCTCAAAGTCCCCGACAACAAGAAGCTTCACGTCCAGTTCATGTCCAGCAAATGGGACTCCGGAAACCCCCGCTCCGTATCCTCCGTAGCCAATGATCCCTACACTGCCTTCGACGACCACAACTACATCGGTTTTGCTCTCGGCAACAACAATGGCGATCAGTACCAGCTCATGCACAGCGCTTGCACTGACTCCCGCCTCGTTAGCGGCCAAGACTTTACTTTCACTGGTGAATGGAGTATGACTTCTAACGCTGATTGGCATGATAAGGCTTTCTTCAACAAGTTCTTTACGGCTCAGCAGCAGCTGTATGAGAAGCCTGGTATGGCGGGGTGGATTTACTGGACTTGGAAGACGGAGACGAATGATCCGAGATGGACGTATTCTTATGCGACATATCTGAATTACATCCCCACTGATGCTGCTGGTCTAGAGAAGAATGTCTACCAAGATGTTTGTGCTGGTTATCGCTAGGCCACTTGTTGTTTCTTGTCGAGATCCAGAGGCTGCAGGAAAGGCTCTTGGCACTGAACGAGGTAGTCTAAAGGTTTTGCGAAGTCTGTACTGAATTTACCTGAGTCTTCTTATGATTTCAGAAAGGATACTCCAAGTTTCCCTACCGCTTCTTGACACGCAATTACACACTATCTTTAGAGCCTCCCTGGTCTTTTTTAACATGAATCATTCGCATCTCGACTAACTAAATGGTCGCTTTGTAGGTCCTGAGTATAGGTTTCATGTACTTTCCCCTACAACCTATAGACATCCATTCTTGATCATTTCATCATACTCGTCTCCTGAGCTTCAACTCTCTCTCCAAAGACCTCCAACGCCTTCTTGCTAGCCTCCCTAGCGTCCATCCTCTCGAAATATCTGACAACATTCTTTCTCCCCGGATGAAGTACCCACGGCGCCATACCCGTAGTCTTTCCCTTCATCAGACTGTAGAAGTGAATATCCGCCGCCGAAAACCTCTTCCCGCAGAGATACTTCTTTCCCTCCAACTCCTCATCCAACAGGTTCAGATACTGCTGAATGGTAACCTTCTGCGCCAATCTTGCTTCGGGTATGGGAATCCGATGTCCTATGTAAAAGTCGGCAGTCCCTGGATCATTACGAACCCATGATATGACAGGTTCTGCGATTTCGAGGTCCATTCGTCTAAGCCACATGCGTGTTTCGGCACGCTCGAGGGGTGTTTCACCAAAGAGTGATTTACCGCCTTGGGCCATCTCATCGAGATACTCGCAAATGGCGGTTACTTCAGTCAGGACAAAGCCATTATCGAGAACGAGCGCGGGAACATCCCATCGTGGGTTGATCTTTCTGTATTCAAGGCCTCTATTCTCCATGTTCATGACGTCGATGGTCTCGACGTCAAGGGTGATGCCACCTCTTTCGAGTACAAAGAGGCGAACAACCATAGGGTAGGATGCTGGGGCGTCATAGAGCTTCATTGCTGCTCTGATCTGAGAAACTGATGACAATATCAAGAATTTGGATGATAAAAGAACAAGGTTGGAGGCTGGGCTTCTGTCAGCAGTGACGCTATATATCATCAACCCAGATAGAGTTTTGGCCCCCTAGATCTCATGTAAGCCCGAGAACCCATCCAAGGTTATATACTAATATACACACTCCAGCAGGACAAAGAAATTCCCAAAACTATATTAAGCTAATGGCCTGCACTAGCCTAGCTAAGGTTTCCAATGCCCATGCGGGATGACAACCACCAACCCTTCGCAGCATCATATATACTGAATAATAGTGTAAACGCTCCACCAGCCAACGCGACAATCTGATCCAAATCCGTCAGAGAGACGTTACTCTTCGGTGTAAATCTCATTACTGTATGATCTGGTCTGAGATACCCGTGATAATACTGTGTATTGCCAACAAAACCATATTTGACACTAGAAATGATGATTGCGATGAGAACTGCCGCGAACATATTCGACCATTTCTCAAAACCGCTAGCCCTGTCTTTAGGTCTCGCTTGGCTTCACTGCTAGAAGGCTTTGCTCCGCGATATATGGTGACGACAACAGTCCGAACAACCGACACACCAGTCATGATAGCCATGATCCCCGATGTAAATCCTAATGCAAGAACAAAGTTGAAGAGAAACGGTCGAGCAAACGTACTTCGTGAGACCGGAAGATCAGGGTACGTGAAGAAGATAACCAACTGCGGCGAAAAGCACAAAAGAGTTGATAAAGTAACACAACCCACCCTCTTCCACTGATATTTCCTCAATGCAGCGCTATGCAGGAAGATAGCCAGCACAACGTAGACTTCGCATATAGCAAGTGGGGCTTCCAGCGCAGCGACGAGCTGAATGTCTTCTGGTGAATCGCTCAACAGCAACCGTGGACGGTCGGGTCGATCATATTTGGCGAGTTGGTAGAGTGCATCTGCAGCTGCGACTATGGGAAGTGTAAGCGCTGCGATTGTGTCGTTTGTGATTGAGTCCAAGCGTTTTGTGACTGGGTTTATGGTCCAGCTTGTGAAGACGGAGGCTACGATGATGAGCCAGCTCCAGAAGGTGCCAGGGCCGTAGAGTGAGGATACTAGGGCCCAGCGGTTGAGATTTTCTGTTGTATTTGACATTTATCACAGGTTTTGGTCAATTTGTGGAGTTGAGGCGATCTGAATTAGTCTGAAATGGTTATGAAGAAGTGATTATGCCTTGCAAGGACGAAAACGCCTTGGCGCTAGAACTGAGTTGGACAACGCAGTGTTGAAGAAGCCAATGAGATTGAGGGTACGTAAAGCTGAAAGACGTACGCAAAGGCGCGTTGCGCATCTGCTGGGACAACGAGAGCTTGGGCTTCTCTGAAACCATGTATAAGTACTTGAATTGTAATACTTCTTTATATGCTGTTAACAGTGATTGATTGCTGGCTGGGAGTACCCTGTACTTGTGAGGTTGTAGGAGAGATATTCACTCTAGAATGTAAAGGAGATACAAAATTATTAGATAATTGAGTGTAGTTATAAATGATGTGCTATAAACGATGTGTTATAGAACTTCCAAATTTATTGGGCTTATAGATATGTAATTTGGAGGTCTGTTCAATCCTCTTCATAATTAAGGTCAGCTTCCCTGACGTTCGCCAAGCTAATCCGGGCTATCTCTGTGACGGCACATTTTGGCTCAACGCCATTATCAGATTGTCGTCACCTTTGTTCACCAAATTCTGATCGGACGCCATCGTAGTACGTTATGCAGAAGCAACATGTTTTCCAAACACCTGCTGTAAACTACAGAGCAAGTCCATCAGGTGAGCGGAGATCTGTCCGCGCCCCCGAAAACCCTCCATCTCCAAGCTCAAGCCACCACCAAAAGTGTCGGACCCAGAACTGACCCCGACTCCGCTAAGCACAAACAATCCAACAATGATGTCACACTTCAATGATCCGTCAGATGGTCAAGATTTCAATGCTCAATTGCTGGGGAATTATCATCCAATAACATCTATGTAGACCAACAGAAACATATCCCAAAAAAATAGCTACGCAAAATGTCATTCATAAGAGTACAACCGCTCTTTCTTTCTTTTCCCCCTCTTTCATTAAGATATAGCCAATTGCTTACCAAGGCTTAACCTTTAGCATGCTACCCTCCTCAGCCAGAGCCTTGTGCAGGTCGAAAGCGTTGAAGAGAAGATGAGGCTCGTGGCCCATACCCTTCTTCAGACCCTCCGACTCAGCCTTGTCGAAGTAGTGGCTCAGGATGGGCTGGTACTTGGGGTGCGCGCACTTGTTGATGATGACGCGGGCGCGCTCACGGGGTGAGAGACCGCGAACGTCGGCGAGACCTTGCTCGGTGACGATAACATCAAGATCGTGCTCGGTCTGGTCGACGTGGGTCACCATGGGGACAATGCAGGACACGCCGTGGGGATCGGTCTTGGAGGGTCGGCTGGATGGTGTGTGCATGATGGAGTACTTGGAGTTGCGGAGGAAATCGGCTGAACCGCCGAGACCGTTGAGCATACGTGTTCCGCTAACGCAGGTGGAGTTGGCGTGAGCGAAGATGTCGACCTCGACGGGGGTGTTCATGCCGATAACACCGAGACGCTTGATGATCTCAGGAGCATTGGATACAGCCTGACTTCGGAGGAGGATCTTGTCGGCGTAGGCATCCCAGTTATCGTAGAAGCGCTTGAAACCATCGGGAGAGAATCGGATTGATGTGGCAGTAGCGTAGTCGAGCTTTCCAGAGTCGAAGAGATCGAGGAAAGTATCCTGGATGACCTCTGTCCAGACCTTGAGGTTCTTGAACTTGGACTCGTTAAGACCGCCAACAATAGCGTTGGCGACGTTGCCAATACCGGACTGGAGAGGCAGAAGGTTGGCGGGCATGCGGCCCTGTGCAACCTCGTGCTCGAAGAACTCAATCAGGTGGCCGGCGATCTGGCGAGACGACTCGTCGGCATCAGCGTTGGGGCCGGTGGCATCCCAGTAATCGGACTCGACGATAGCGACGACCTTTGAGGGGTCGACCTTGACTGAGGGGGAACCAATGCGGTCCTCGACAGCGGTGATGTTGTAGGGAGTGCGGTGGGGAGGAACGTCGGTGAAGGTAATGTCGTGGAGACCCTTGAAAGAGGGGATGGCGGTGTTGACCTCGATGATGATCTACAAAGCGCAATTGTCAGTAACTAAAAGTTGGCGATGCGGGCTTGAGCTTGGCGGTGACGTACCTTGTCAGCCATCTGGATCAACTCGGGAGTAGCACCAACAGAGGCACCGGGAACAAAGCTGCCATCCTCGAGAATGTCTGTCGCTTCCACGACGGTGACATCAAGGTTGCTGTTTGATCGATCCTTGGTGTAGAAGCCCTAGAGTCAAAATTGTCAGCCGATTGTCTTATCGGAGCCGCAATAGCTCGGTGGGAGATTAAAGCGAAGCCGAATGGTGGGGCCGCAATCAACAGATTTCCATTGTGCGCTTTTGCGGTTACGTACATAGACGAGATCAGAGGGGAACATGGACAAATGCTTGTCGAAGAAGTTGATTCGTCCAGAGTTGATTCCCTTGGCAATGTCCTTGCCGACCTGGTGAGGGCTTCGTCGGTTGATCATGTCGAGAGCAGCCCATCGGTTCTCCGTCTCGGAACCGGCCGAGGCACCGACGAACAGGGAGTACTTCATCTTGCTCTGGAGGTTGTTCTGCTCGACGTAGTCGGCCATAGCAGCGGGAACCTTCCTGTTGCGATTGTCAGTTGCATTGTTTGCGCCAAGCTCGGGTAATGACGATAATAGCCGGTGCGGAGTCTGAAACTCGACACTTGAAGTAATTACAGAGCAACGAACTGCGCAGGAGAGGTGAGTTCACGTACTTGGGGTATCCAACAGCTGTGAAGCCAGACCAGCCGATATAAGAGCCATTGGGAAAGTGGTGCATCAGATCCTCAGGTCGCGCAAGCTTCTTGAGCATAGCGGGATTGCGAACGCGCGCCTTGAGGGCGGCAGAAGCAACAGGTGAAGCCATGATGATCTGAAAGCAGAATATACCAAAAAAGAGAAGAAAGAGGGGAGATTGTTCCGTTCAGGAGGAAGAGTAAAAAAAAAAGAGGAGGAGGAGGAAAGGATAAATAAGAGGGAAGAAAGAGAAGACAGGACAGCTCCAACCTTGGTTAGTGGAGGTCACTCAATTGGCTTGGTGACGGTGACGAGGGGTGGATCACCGAAACCCACTGAGTCCTCAGAGCGGGGATGCATCCCCTTCAGTGGTTGGCTCGTCGGTTACAGTGGACGCTTCAGCGTGTCCTTTCTCCAAATTTGCATTCAGGTACCATTGTGCCTTTTGGTTCAGCGAAGAGGTACAACGCGGAGACAAGGGAAGTTCTGCCAAGCACCGGATTTACAATTCCGTTATATCATAGGGAGAGACAGTGTAACCTACGTAGAGAGAATAACTTGCTGATGCAGTTGATCTCCAGATCTACCGACGTTGCCGAGAGGAGAAGTGCATCGGTCATGACACTATTAGGCAATAGATGCGTGTGGCCTGATTCTCCTACACATCCTTGACTTTGTCTCTTGTGGCCTCACAACTGCTCACCTTGACTTTCTTGACCTGGTGATATTTCGAATTAATCCCCATTGTGTGAAATACTTCTCCGGTGAGCTTTACAACTGTAAATGTTCACCGGCTCTTCCGCCGTCAAGCACCTCCGAGTCCGTCCTGTGGATCCCCGCCATCTTCTCCAAAATGGAACCCCACGCGCCCTATCTTCCGCCCGGCCGAGATGAGCACAGACCACAATCGGCATCACTCGGTTATCAGCCTCCAAAAACAGACAAAGGCACTCAGATCGCAAGCCATGGATATTCTAGAACAGCCCGTAATCAAGACGGCGCTTCTTTTTCATCCGGGGTCTAGCGTCTCGGTGCCGTTTTATCTTACCCCGGAAAATTTGGTCGGTAAATCATTCTCGAATCACCGTGCTTAAATATACCCTTAGGTTCGTCGGGACAAGGGTAAGATCTGGGGTAAAAGTATGGAGTGCGCATTCGGTGGTACCTAGGTTCGACATTGGACTGTACTGTAAATTCCGAGAATTGACTCGCTAATAGAAACACCTGTGCAAGTTTAGTGTCTTTTCATATGTCGAACCTGCTCTTCGTCACCCTTGCATGGGTAGCAATTGTCTCTCGCACCCCAATTGAATGCCCGAAGGCTTTATACCAAGGCTAGGGGAGGAAAGAAAACTCAGAATCTTGATCCTGGCTGACAAAAAGACTGAGGTAACTTGATATAAGCTTAGCCCAAGTTTAGTATAGACGTAGGATGCTCTCTACCAAGTTTATTTTAACACCTTACACTAAGGTTCGGTGTTTTCTTGCTCCTTGACGCAAGGCCACACAGTCAGGTCTCTGTTTCAGTACAGATTTAATAGACCTTTGGACTTGCTTCGAGCTCACAATGTTGACTTCCGTCGACCAAGCAAGTGCGATCCAGGCACGATGGGTTCCTCATTCTACCCCTCTCAGCCAGACAAGCATTCAGTTCAATCATCATCATCACGGCCATCATCAACCATTACTCCGCCATATCTATCTTCTACAAGAAAACCCCATACGCACATTCTAACAACATCATCAAATATGGCTTCTCCAGACTGGCGAGTCGATGTGAACTAGCAAGAGAACATGCGACGCGTCCTCGGCCCCCTATCCCACAGAGGTTGGGTCAATATGTCAATAATGATAGGCTTGTGCTTACATCGTCACGAGACCAACAATTATATTCCGTTACAAAAGCATTGGACTGCTGTGGATGAGGAAAGGCTTGCGAGGCTACAAGTCTGGGGACTACCACCGTTTGCCCTTTTAGTTCTACTGGGCGTGCCGCTCGAAGGGAGTCGACACGTGGATTTCAGAGCGATTCACCAATGGAACGAGGATGAAAAGAGGAGATTGGGAATGATACATGAGCTGGGGGGTGTGCAAGACTTTGGAAGTGAGCAGCAATGGGGCCCATCCCAAGCAGGGGCATTCAACCGTCTTGCAAGCGGGATCGACGTTCATCATCAGAGTGCTGTGAATACATCCCAAGCAGAGGCAATCCACAGTGTTGGAAGTAATAACGGGGCTCTGCATAGGGGTACTGAGGCTCCGTATAGATTACAGGAGAACGTATCGGCGTCCTTGGGGATGACAAACGTATCGGGAGGAATTGAAGAAGAAGACTTTGGGCCTGCGTATCAGGGTAGTCCTCCCCAGGAGGAGAGATCCCAGCGGGCTGGTAACGGCAGCAAGAGACCACGCGATACAGAGGAGATACATGGGTTAGGAGGCTTCGACAACTTTGGGTATAGGGAACGAAGTAAGCGTATCTGAGAGGGATCCAGCAATACTGATAACAGCACCAAGGAGATGAAGAAGCTAGCAAAGGAGTCGAAGAAGCTATCAAAGAAGATGAAGAAGCTGCAAAGGGATGCAATTCAGATACTTGGAATCCTTGAAGACAGTGATTTAGACTCTGAGGCGTCGGTGACATAAGAGTCATCTCTGGAGGGATAGTTGGAAGCAAATTGCTTGAAGTCAAAGAAACTGTCTAATTGTCTATATTTGCCTTTCTGGCATCCCATTAGTCTAGAGCTCTGTCTTTCTATCCCACTGTATTAAGCCATAGGCCATCACGTTCGTCTAATCCCTTTCTCAATCCCCCTGCAGTGCATTCGCGGCTCGCTCACATTTCCGGAGAGGGAGAGAGCTCTTTCTGGCGTTCCTCAAGATTGGCGCGAGCCTCCTGCGGTGTCACAGGAATATACTTCGACTCGTTAATAATAGCTTTCTCGAAGTGCTCAGCCTCCTCAGGAGTAAAATTCGGATTGGCCGGCCAGCCGATGAGCGCTACAATCACATCTAGATGAACGCCCCATATCGAGAGTCTCCCGAAGAGCTCAATCTCGTCCGAATTCCACTTATCGGTCCTCTGGTTTCGGTTTTTCTGCTTGCGGAGGTGCTTCCAGCATTTGTCCGTCATGTCTGCTAGGTCCTTCCAGTCCCTTCGACTGTATATACCGCCGAAGGCGCGCTGCAGATTCTCATCCCACTTCTCGTTGACAATTGTCTTGCCAGGGATGAGTGTATTGTCAGTGTAGGATTCGTTTGGGCGCGGTGTGTCTGGTCTTGGAGCTTGAGAGCTTGGGGGTATGGGACAAAATTCCTTGAGGGCTGGGGATGGAGGGGGAGGACCCATCCTAGGATCATAGACAGTACCAGCGGTATTGCGTGCGAGATCATTGACCTTCCTGTAGAAGGGGGTCGAGTAGATCTTGGCGACCATGCGGGCCTCCTCATCAGGGGATTGCTGGGTAGACATAGTGTTTGAGTTCGTTGTAGTGAAAGTGTTGTTGTGATGGTATAGTGTCTTTGTTGTAGTGTGGTTCTTGTGTTGATGGACCAGCACATTGTTACGGCGCCCAAAGCATCCTTATATCAGCTCTTCCTATGAGCGAACTGTCCATGGACAGCTATCCCATTGAGTGGATTGAGAGTGATGCGGTGGAACAGAGGACTGCATATCCCATTCTGATGAACAGCTAACAACACTTCGCGTCTTATTCAGGGGGTAATTCGAAGGTGATTATGCCATCTACACCTCAATTTGGCTGTGATTATACTTCAAATCGATACGAAACTCACGGCTGTCACCTCCCCGAGTTCTCATTCGGCGCAAAAAGAAGGGTCTGCGATTCGCCTCTCCAAAATAACCCAAACCGTTGAGTGTGATTCACAGTTCAGTTGCAACTCTCCTGGTCAACGCTTGAGCTAGATTAGTTAATGAAACCGTCACTCTTGTTAATGCGTACGATTGGGGTTAACTGCGAGATCAATTGTCTGGCTAAAGCTGTCGGAATCGCTAACATCAAGTACTCCTGGCTGCGTGTTCCCAAACGCTGCTAAGCCTATCGCTCATCTGCCAGATCCGCATCACGATCCTCGCCGCCTCGTTCCCTGGTCGCCATCTCGCCATCTTCCATTATCTCGCCTTCTTTGAGGCCTTCGTCTCCTCCCATTGCCTCGGCCTCTTCAAGATCGTCGTGGAGTTCCGGCCAAACTTGGTCCAGGGACGTCCGAGCCGATGAGATCCCTCAGGCTTGTCCTCAAGCTCCTCTTTGGCCTTCTCCGTGTCGGCACAGTTCTCGTGCTTATCGTCCATAATCACCTTAAACTCCTTACCGACCTCATCTGTGATCGGGTCATCTAGAAACTCATTGAGCCCGAGCATCTTGACAATGTCTGAATCAACTCCCTACTCCGTCAATTCCGCAGCTTTGTCAAACTTCTTCTTGGTCCAGGGACGTCCGAGCCGATGAGATCCCTCGGACTTGTCCTCAAGCTCCTCTTTGGCCTTCTCCGCCATGTCGGCATAGTTCTCGTGCGTATCGTCCATAGTCACCTTAAACTCCTTGCCGACCTCGTCTGTGATCGGGTCATCTAGAAGCTTATTAAGCCCGAGCATCTTGTCAAGGTCTGAAAACTCCTCTTTGGCCTTCTCCGCCATGTCGGCA